CAGAATGAAAATGAGAGACTGATATTAAATTTAGTTTTAAGTTTAGAGAATCACGCCAGAATCGACACCATAATCAGCCATTATTTTTTATTTATTATTAAACGTATACTTTCGTCATTTTATTGAAGAAAGAGTCCAAGACCTCAAGCGTGTGGTTTTTTCTATGTTTTAGCACAATTAATTAATGTCATACTTAACTACACAATACGATGATTTGTATGAAACTTGTAGCGCAAATAATGATTAGGTCACCTACTTTCCCGTAACACTATACCTCTTCTGACATCTAATGTTTTACCGTACCACCACATTTAGAAAACTTTCACTTATTTAATACATAGAGGATTTAGATTTTTGACTAGAAAATACTACTTAATTACCTATGATAATAGGAAATCTAAAGGAATAACTTACGAGACAAAAGTCCTAAACTAGAGACAAAAAGTTATTTAAAGAAAAGTTTACTAGAAAAAATCCACGCGGACCAGGCAGTGGACGGGACTGGAACCCGCATCCTTCGCAATCCGGCAAATGCACTGACCATTTTGCTACCACGGCCCTATTAGCCGCGTCGAAATTTTCCTAGCCTTAAGCTGCAAGGCAGCGCCATCTCTTCGCATTGTAGGTAACCAACAATGTCAAATGAATACTTTTTCAAGTATTAAACATTAGAAAGAAGAAATAGCAATTATAATTATGATTTTATTTATTTTTTAAGCATTTAACTGCTAGATGTTTAAATCTAAAGAAAAGTTTACTAGAAAAAAAAAACATCTAGCAGTTAAATGCTTAAAAAATAAATAAAATCAAAAGGTTATTTTTTTATATAAACATCAATCAAATGCTTAAAAAATAAAAATAGTTATAAAGTTATTTTTGTTATTCATTTTAGGTTAGTAAACTATCCAATTTGATTCATTTTTTTAAAAACCCATAATTCCATTACATCTAATAGCAAAAATAAAATCCAAGTTTCTTATTGCGATTATGATTGAATCTAACGGACGCGCCAACCCTATACAGAAAAAAGCTCACAGTTCGCGAACAACGTGAAAGAGCTTATGCTTAACCTACTTTGAGGCGCTCAGCTGAGACTCAGACCTACTCAGTTCGGGCGCGAAAGCCTGTATTCAGAGGAGCTGGGTTTGTTTTGCACACAACCCGGCACAGCTCCGCATATTTTCCTCTGCGAGAGGTAAAATAAGACCTTAGCGGGTAAACTAGAAGGTGCAAATTAAAACCTACCAATTTTCAGGAATTTTCAAAGTCCATTAATTCGCGAGTTAAATTGAGAAATAGGTTTGTCAGTACAACTTTTGCGAATGAAATCAATGTCTGTCTCTTCCATAATGTCTATTTACTTAAATGCGGCCAAGGAAATAAAAGATAAAATATACTTTTGAATATTTTTAAACAAAAGTATCTATTTAAAGAAGTGGAGGCTTTACAGAAGCGGACAGAAAACAAATTGCATTAGAAAAATAGGACATCAACTAGGAATTAAAACAAAAAAAAAGACGCTGAGGACAGGATTCGAACCTGCGCGGGTAGAACCCATTGGATTTCAAGTCCAACTCCTTAACCACTCGGACACCTCAGCTGTGGTGGCACGGTCGAAATTACGGTACCGGCCCTACATATGCAAGCTGTAGTATAATTTTATGAATAATGTTTTTGGATTTAATGAAATTAATAGTTATTATCATTTAGGCACATTTACTTTTAATTTTGTTTATTCAGTAGTGTTGAGTTTCCTCTACAGTTTTCGGATGTTGTTAATTTTTTTTTTGGTGATAATTTGATAACACAGATTATGTTGAAACTGTTATGTTTATTAGCACACGCGGTACATTTGACGTCAGAACTGATTTGCTTACGCTAAGAAAATTACATATTTACTTTATAATAAATACAATTATAAATTGCCACGTAATGAAATGTTTTGTTTGGACTAAACAAGTAGTTAGGTATGATTTAGGTACTTCAAAGGCATAAAAAATAATTTTAATGGCTTCATAACTAATATTTTTTTTGTTTATATAGGTAATCTATATATATAAAAATGAAACCCGTTTTCCGTTCCGTACGACATAACATGAAAACGGCTTGACCGATTTGGCTGATTTTTTTTTGTAGTTTTCTAATACTCTGTACAAGGTTCTTACGGAAAATAATATAAAGAAAATCTCTCAGAAAGATTGAAAAATATAACGTAACGAATGTCAACGTCATTCAATTTAAAACAAAAAATCTGTGGTAATCTGTGACACCACACTTCTTTAGTCATTGCACCACATCGATAACCGCGCTGACAAATGTCAACGTCATTCAATTTAAAACAAAAAATCTGTGGTAATCTGTGACAACACATCCATAACCGCGCTAACAATGAATAGGTACTCATACATAAGATAGGTCAGCTATACAAAATAAAGTAGTGCATCAAAGCTACGCTAAGGCGGTACGAAGTTCGCCGGGTCAGCTAGTAACAAATAAATTTATTTTGCCGTGCTAGTCAAGTAGATAAGTAGAACAAGACTTTGTCTAGTTTTCCCATAGTTATAAGATGTGTCTATGCTATGGTTACTTTAATGTTCTAAAAAAATGAGATCTGTGTTATTTCAAATTTTTTGAAAAGCAACTTTTTCCTATAACTTCATTCTGCTAATTTTATTCGTAAATAAAACTGTTCGAGGGTCCACATGTTTGACATTATTTAAAAATTTCGATGGAAATATTTGCAATATCTACGTATCTTATAGTTCTTTATAGAGAACTAGTGGCCCGCCTTCGCTTCGCTTCGGTGTAGAGCTGTAGTGAAGACTATAGTTTTTGTTCTCAGGCTTGTATTATAAACAATGACTTTATTTATATAATTACTATAGGCACCACTATGTCCCTTCATCTTAAATCTGGAATATCTTCAAAAATACTCATTTAAATTAGAAATCAGAAATTTATTGGGTTACATGTACTAAAAAAGGTCTAACATTATTATAAGGTACAAACACATAAGTCCTGTCAGGATATAACAATGTTGAGTTTATAGCTAAAATTAAATTTATATTAGCATTATAAGTAGCAGATTATTAACAATTATCAAACAAAATATCAAGAAAATTTTAACAATATACGGAACTAAGAATAATAATAATCTTGTCCAGGTATCTTTAATATTTGAAATTATTTAATAGTCCTATAGTGGTGTCAATTCTGGCATGATTCTCTAAACTTAAAACTAAATTTAACATCAGTCTCTCCCTTTCATTCTATGTAGAGAATGACAAGAATACACTATTGTCAAATTTAAGTTTAGGTTTAGAGAATCCCGCCAGAATCGACACCAGTATTCACATAATTTATAAAAACATTTATTAACAAGGTAATCATTTATTTATGGTTGTAACAAACTTATAGTATTGTCTATCTATGCATATTAGACATATTTCATTTTGTTGTAAGTTCTTAAATTTAGTTTAAGTTGCAATTTGACAAGGATTCCCTCGGTTTATTAAACAAAGGTCGCGGCATTCTAGCCAGTTTGATAATTCATTCCAATTGTTACAGTATTATCGGAACAGTCGAGTAAAATGCGATTCAATTAGGAATAGGAAAGCCAACCTCTATCTGTCAAATGTCGCTTGAAAAGTACGGTTTGCAAAAAAAACTTTGAACCCTTTTTTAGCACTCCGCTAATTCTAGAACAAAAACCAAACATTTGTAAACAAACAATAACAAATATTGGTAATTAATCTAAATCGGTAGATTTTTTTTCACTTATTGAGCGTTGGTCATGAATGGTTGATAACCTAAATCGTCAACCAAATATCACTTTAAGTTACGTTCAAAAACTCGATTTCAAACTTTCGTTTACATAAAGGATGCATGTTCGTATGTGGCCTAGTAATAGTGTATGATTATTCATAACTACTCAGGTGGTAATGCAGAGATGAGCGGAATAGCAGAACTAGATTCTGATTAATGATTTTTCTCACACAGTCCTAATAAATAAATATTATTAAAAATCCATGGTTTCTTTTCTCAATCTTAATAAATATATGTTATTAAAAAAATGTTATGCTTTTTCTCACTTAATCTTAATAAATAAGTTTTATTACATAAAAGCTTTTTTGCTCACTCTACCTATTTGGTTTGAATTGACAGCTATGACGTCACAATATGGCGCCCAGTCGGTCCTATTCTTAGTTTAATCGCATTATAAGCAGAAATATCAGAGAGGTACCTACATAAGTACAAACTGTAATACAAACATATACCATAGCGCAACTAGGTACCTGGCACAAACCATGCCCTCCGTAAATCAACTTAGGACATTGATCAACTCAGGTGGTGAAGGTAGCTTACATAAATATCTAGGAGAAAATATTAATTTTGCTCTTAGTATATTCTGCCTTCGTGTGCGTGCTATGGATTTAGGATTTTGGTAATTCCGTTTTTTTTTTTATTCCAGGCCATTTAACTGAAAAATTATTGAAATATCAAAAATAACGGTTTTTAGGTCAAGTTGATAACTTGTGTGTCAGTCGCAAATGCGTCACAATCACAGAAAAAAAATATAAGATGAGGCTGTACAAACTCAGTATTCTTTATCATTTCAGAAAGAGAGAATATTGCAAAAAAAAACAGTAGTCAAGTATATCCAAGGCAAAAGACAAGTCCATACAGTGCAGACTTCATTATTTTTTAGCAATAAAACTTTATAATTTGTTTATCGATGCAAAATCTGAAGTAATATATATATACCTACCTTCGAATTGTGAAATTAAATAGCCTCCAGAAAGATTTATTATCCTTATATCGTCATTAAATTTTTTTTCTTTCATTGTGGACTAGAAAACTTATTAAAAAATGTTTATTGTTCAGTCTCTTGTAAATTATAATCCAATATATTTTTATAAATTCGCAACCAAGTAATTACTTTATTAATCTGTGGTAGTTTTTTTTAAATTGTAACGGAACGTATCTTTTACTAATGGCAGCTGCTTCACTCACATACATACATTTTTACGTCAAACTCAAATACAAAAGTAAATGTTTTGATTTTTATTGTAATTAATCTATCTAGTAAAACATCAAATGAAACGCTTGAAAAGAACCTTGAACGGGCAATAGTGCCCGTGGTAATATGGGTTCCTAATTGTAATGTTTAGTGAGGGACGTGTGAACTATGCTAGATGTTAAATCGAGGCAGATGCAGTAAGATGCCTTGCGAGAGTTGTGCTGTGCAGTTCAGCGTGTTTAAGCGCAAGCAGGTGTGCTATGAATGCGAAAGGTATTACTGCAGCGGTTGCCTTCGACGCGAAGGCACTTCCGTTCTATGTACAGCTTGCAAAGTGCTGTCAACCAGACCACTGCTCCGTAACAGCATAGCACACCTGAAGGTTCGAGATCTACAGTGCTTCCTGCAGCGACAAAACGTTTCTACCAGGGGATGTGTGGGTATGTCTATTAATAGTTAGCTTTTCTTAATAGTGTTTTGAACAGTCTTCAGAAAACATCAAAGATGCTGATCATATTCAAAATTTATAAGGTTCTTTGTAGAAGGCAATTAGTTTAAAAGTGACTATTTTAATGTGTAATGAATTTTTAAAATAATAGTGTATGGATTACTTTTTATGCCCAAGTGTTTATTACTTTATTTCTAATAGCCAGAAAACCAGTATCTTGTTATCTCAAAGTTTCTTATCAAGACAAAGTTACATAAATATAAAAAATAACATATTCATGCAGATAAAATTACAATAATAAATAGATTAGCATACATGGGAAGATAAGTCTGAATAAGAAGTGTAATTTTTCATTAAAGTAATTTAAAATTATGCAAAACTTAGCTGACAATAATGTATAAATCTTAAATTAAAATTGATGCTCTGCCAATGCCGCAGAGGAAGTATATTATACAGAGTATACAAATGAATGTACAGAGTATTTGTATTGGAGATAAACAGCGAGATGTTTAAACTAAACATTGCAGAAGTAAAAAAAGTTTATGCACGTAAATATTTAAACCTAAGACCTTTAGTGGAAGAGTAGTGATCTTGACAACTGTTCCACTAATTAGTTATTTATGAAAGATTTTAATGATAACATGCTACTGGAAGACGCATAAAGATCTGCTTTTCATTATCCAATGTATTGTGTTACACTTCAAATTTTTTTAAGAAGGACCACTTTTTATTCTTATTGTGACAGCTTCCATAAGAACATGTGATGTGAATTAGCACTTTACAATAAAAACGTTCAAGTAAAACTCATAACAGTTATGTTTAATTTTAACAAAAAATCATGTTTAATAATTAGCACCTTTAAACATTCTGAAAAATTATTAAGTTCATCTAATTCTGAGTCCGACCGACTAAAGGCCACACTCCAACATGTTACATAATTATGTTTTTATTTATTTTTAAGCATTTAACTGCTAGATGTTTTAATCTAAAGAAAAGTTTACTAGAAAAAAATCCACGCGGACCAGGCAGCGGACGGGACTCGAACCCGCACCTTTCGCAATCGGGGCGAATGCACTGACCATTATGCTACCACGGCCCTATTCGCCGCGTCGAAATTTTCCTAGCGTTAAGCTGCAAGGCTATAAGGCGTTTTCTAGTAAACTTTTCTTTAGATGTTACATAATTCTTAAATTTTGAATGTAGTTGGTGCTGTTACATTCTGTGCGATATCAATATAACAAGTCAACACATCCCGCTAATCAACATAGTGTCTACTTTTACTGCCATTTCTGATTTCTGAGGCTACATATTTAAAAATAAGTTCCGCCTCATTTCCAAAACACCAACTAAAGTTAGACTTGGAGTATAAGTAATGCTATCTTTGTTTTTTGTTTAAACATAAAAAAATGACAGCATCAGTTTAAAATCAGATTAAACTTTGGTCTATGTTTTGTAATGAAGCGAGTTGTGTTTAAGCAGTGAATAAAATTGGTCTGTGGTGTAGTAGAGTAGAGCAATTTTAGCAAGTTGTTGTTGTTAGATTGGCATATCTCTGCTAACTCTGAGATTGGTAAAAGAATTATCCTTGCTTTCTACAAAACAAAATCAGTGACTAACTCGCTCAATAATCAACATGTTTTCAGAGAAAGAAGAGTTGGTGAGTCTGTGTGTGTCCCATGTGAACAGTGCGGCGTTCCGGAGGCGGGGGCCGCGCGCGCGTCCCTCGCCCTTCAGCACGCTGAAGGGGTTCACCAACAACCTCAATGTGTTCATCAATAATGCCTTCGAGATAAGAAACAATGCACAGCCAGCACCAGCACCACCACAACATAGTATGTCTTAATATCTATACATATAATAAAATGGTAGGAAAGTCAAAACTGTACAGTGAATATTTTTTAAAAGGATACTTGGAGTGTGATCTACACTCGATACTGCAGCCAAAAATATATTTTTTAGAATTTTTGTCTTTTTGTCTGAATGTATGTCCGGGATAAAATCAAAAAGTACTGCATGGATTTACTTCAAATTTGGCACGAATATTATTAAGAAGTCGGGTCAACATATAGTCTACATATTATCATGAAACTCCACCCCTATGGGGCTAATACGGGGGTTGGGAGTTTGTATGAAAGTGAGAGACTTGAAATTTAATATGTATGCTCTATAGATGGTGTAGAGGTGTACTAATAATGTATCTTTAGAAATAAACCCCCTTTTGGGGCCAAAAAGTATGTGAAAATAACTAACTCCATGTGTATGAAGTTGGGGACCGCCACTAGTCTATGAATAAATAAAAATAATTTATTTTCATATAAATGTTACAGAAGGAAGGAAGTTATCAACTAATAATAGGAACACAGTAACATTAATCTCAAGTATAGAGCATACATTACCGAACTAGGTAAAACTATATTTTGGTGAATATTTCCTACATGAGGAGCTCGATGGCGCAGAGGAGCTCGATGGCGCAGGTGGCTAGCGCGTTCGGCTGCGATCGTTGAAGTTAAGCAACTTTCGCAGTGGTCGGTCATTGGATGGGTGACCAAAAATTTACTATCTCGAGCTCCTCCGTGCTTCGGAAGGCACGTTAAGCCGTTGGTCCCGGCTGCATTTGCAGTCGTTAGCACCCACCAATCTACACTGGGCCCGCGTGGTGGGTCATGGCCCAATCTCCCTATTCCATCCATAGGGAAGGCCTGTGCCCCAGCAGTGGGGACATTAATAGGCTGATGATGATGATGATTTCCTACATACATAAAATAAAGAAAATACTGGGATATCCTTATTTATCATTATTGGTGTCAATTCTGGCATGATTCTCTAAATCTAAACTTAAATTTGACAACAGTGCATCCTTGCCATTCTCTATACAGAATGAAAAGGAGAGACTGATGTTAAATTTAGTTTTAAGTTTAGATAATCACTCTAGAATCGACACCATTGTATTTTTAAAATAGTGATCAATTGTTGAAGTAGACATCATCTATTGACAAGTTCAAATTTTGTCTGCTCAACATTTGGGCGTTCTTAATAAATAAAAACATTGAAATTGTCATTATGGTTTTCATTATGTTAACTTTAATTATAAACCAATGTTTCAATTAATATATTTTAAACCCTGGAACAACATGTATGCTTGTACATAACATAATGCGGATACTGTGTAACAAAAACTGAATGAATGATGAAAGGAAGGTCAAATACCCCCCTATCACAATCAAATTGATTGCATTATCAAGGTTGCCTTGACTGCCACACTCAGTATTACTATTAGAACGTTTGTGTGTAGAAAAGAACTTAAGTGTTAAATACACTTCTAAACTTCATGTTGCATTAAAAGTTACCTATATTTCTTAGTTTCTGCAATCAGTTCTTTATCTCTTTTTTTTCCAACTTTAAGCAGATTATTTATAAGTTCAAGTTGACGGAAGAGCGTGACTACATTGTGCCACCTACTCATTTGATTAGGTACCGCTAGTGAGGTGAATGTTTTAACTATGTCATGTCTTTTTTACCTTTTCAAATAACTCTCTCTCCTGGTATTGTCTGGTGGCACTTTGAATTTCCTCTATTACCGATTTCATCATTAGCTCTTTGTGAATTTCAGCATTGGTAATAAACCAGGAAGGGTACACCACTTATCGATGGCAAGATAGCATTCTGCATTCTCTGAATAATGCTAATTTTGGATTTGCAGGCACTACCCCATAGTTATTCTCCATAGAGCCATACTGGTTTTAGGATCATTGTATATAGATTAATACTTTGCTGTCTATGCTCAGTTTGCTGTTGCGTCCCATTATCCAATGCACATTCTTATATTTGATATTAAGTTCATTTCTCTTGGTCTCACCTGAACAGACTTGCTTGCGCTTGCTTTTATCCACCACTTATGAAGTCAAGTTGTTATTTCATCCAGCCCTTTCTGTAACAATTTTCAAGCCATGGCAGGAGCGGTGTGTAGTAATTCCATCAACCTGTGGTAAGTCGGCAGTATATAGTGTAAAGGATTGGACAAAGAACCGAACCCTGCGGCACTCCCGCCATTATATCATAGAATCCAGACTTGGCATGACCTTCCTTCATCTGAAATATTCTATCAGTAAGAAATGAGATAAGTAAAGAGTAGTATTGGTGTGGAAGATTGATCTTTAGTTTGTATAAGAGACCTTTATGCCAGACCTTGTCCTAGGCCTGTTGAATATCCAGGAATGCTGAATAGCAATATAATGTCTCTCTTTAAATTTTGATCAGTTTTTACACTTCGAGTTTATGGAGACTGTACAGAGCCTTTGTTTCGCGTGATTGAGATCTCTTTATAAACATCGCATCCTTTGTAATTTGCTTAATGTGGTCCGTTACAGAGTGCACTGCACAAATTGCTGGTGTATTGCGATCTTTTTTGGAGCAATCAGAGGTCTTGTGTTGATATTATTAACGCATTTATACAGGTCGCGGCACGTAACTCTAGCGCTGAACAAAACGCTTCAGAGATAGCTGCGCATGGGTACGACTGAGGAGACAATCGGCGCAACGCACGCTCTCCCGCGCACTTCGTTTCCCCCCAACACATCTTAATTTTTACGTCTGCGCAATAGCTTACCGCTATAGTTTCGTACCGCGACTTAAACAGGTGCATGCAGTAGTTCTTTGAGTGGCCGTATTGGTGGTATCGTTGACACTGAACTACAGTCTTGCTTTTCCTGGGATCTTCTATGATTACAGCTTGATGGTTAATATATTTAAGCTGTTTGACTGCCTTATTTTGAGGTCCCGGTAGGAGATTTACAAAGAGCGTCGAGGTCGGTTTTTTGTCAGACTGTGTTTCCGTGTTTTTCAATGTCTGTTTTGATTTCATAGATATAGAGGTGTAGAGTGGTAGAGATTTCTTATGACCACTCCATAACATCGTTCTTCTTTCCTGTTAAAGGTATTTTCGATTAGACCATTTTCAAGAATAATCGATGTTTTTATAAACATTAAGTTCTAAGCAATTTATTCTTAACTGATTTCTATTAACAATCTTATATTTGTATTGGTAGTTCCGTAATTTTATTGACATCATCAATACCGTATAACATTATAGGTGGAGGCTTGCTAGGCTTTCTTTCCTTGGGTTCAGAGCATTCCTTTGCGTCTACTGCTACGTACTTTAACTATATCTGTTCTCCATTTGTATCCTTTCGGGTGACGGTGACTGTTATCTTTCTACGCTTGTGATTTCGATTGATGGGCACTCTTCGTCAATCAGGCGGCTCGGTTTCAGTCGATTGAGAGTTATTAATTGCAGGTTTAATGGCTAATTATTTGCTCAATAGTGAGGACTCGGTGTTGGGATTTGAATTTGTATATTACCTAGTGATGATCTTCTAGGTCTATTGAAAAACAAGGACCGATGAAAGAAAAGCTTGCTGTGCAAATTTACGTTTTCCAGGAGCATTATAAGGCACCCATATTATAAGGGTTTGAAAATTCATACAATAATAAAGTTTTTCTTAATTTCTTTATGCTTAATAAAACGGACGTAGTAAAGGTAATTGGAAAAATAATGTGTTGATGAAGATAAATTCATTATTGGAAACGGAGAATGCTTCAGTTGCCTTAAGAGCACAACAGTCGTGTTATCTGCTCAAAACGTCAGGGTACGAAATCTTTAGAAATACGTGTTTATATTCCATAATAATATGTGATATATTATAGACGTAAGAAAGAAGGAAATAAATTTTATTAGCCATAAACATAGTCATATTAACATATTAAAACCGTAAGTATTGTTTCATGTAGGTAATTGCTATAATGCCAGCCACGCGCATGCGCCGCGCCCCTCCGCGCCGCAGCCGCAGTCGCAGCGGCCGGCGCCCGACCCACCGAGGGAAAGATTCACTACTACTCCAGGTACACTATTTATTCATTTCATTACGTTTTTTCAGGCATTCATGTTTTAAAATATAAAAACTAGCTGACCCAGCGAACTTCGTCACGCCATAAAAATAGGGATTGGTGGTAGAAGAGTCAAAGTTTAGGGTTGTATGTTTGTTTTAATGCCACATTATAAAAAAAATACAAAAAAAAACAATTATTGTCCAAAACATAATGTTAGGGGTGGACAGCCCTTGTCACTTGGGGTATGAAAAATAGATAGTAGCGGATTCTCAGACCTACTGAATATGCATATAACATTTCATATAAATCGATGAATCCGTTTCGGAGGAGTATGGTAACTAATATTGTGACACGAGAATTGTATATATAAGATTTAGCATTAACTAGCAAACCAGTGAACCAAATGTACACCAAAACCTGATTTAAAAAAAAATGTATTTAATTAATTGAGAACTTCGGAGATTTTGTGTGGTGTTTTGTTTGAAATTTGTGATTTCTCGAAAACCGGAAGTGCTACGTTACTCAAATCCAGTTTGTAGTCTTATCAGACTATTCTTAACTTATAACTTAAACATTCTCTTTATCGATCTCTTACGGTTTGGCCGCTGAAACAGCACCACAGACAGACGGACGGACGGACGGACGGACTTGTCTAATAGATAAGAGATGCTTTAATGAAAATATGATAAAACTAACAACCTTTACTTAAAAAGTGGTTTTGAAGATGTCGTTTACCCTGGGTTCGTATCTTAATAGAATTATGTTTTATCTAAACCCTGGCTATACATTTATTTATATTTCTACAAAAACATCCATATAATATCTACCAATCCAGACTAGCACTGGGGTCTCTTTGTCCATAATTTAGAGGCAGGTTTTTTCAACGAGCAACTGCAATTTGTGTTTTCCCTTTTTCTTACATGTAATTTTATGTGTAGACACATGTAATTTTTTGTTAATGTTAAATTGGTTTTCCTTGAGCACATAGGTACATATTCAGATAGATTCAATGTTACCAAGTGGATGATCATAATTGGCCTACAAATTTACAAACAAATTTTCATGTACAAATATATCGAGCTGTGATTGTCCTTTAAAATATATGAATAAATAAAACAATAGATGTGAGTGTTGTGAACATTTATTACTCGATGATCTCACTAGTGGATGCCGCGACTTCGTCTGCGTGGCAAAAAATATTTCCTATAGAAAATTACACCTCCCTTAAAAGATGATTTTAGGAATAAAATCTATTCTATGTCCTTTCCCGGAACACGAAACCATGTGTATACCAAACATATAAATCGGTTTAGCAGCTTAAGTGTGAAGAGGTAACAGACATACACACTTTCACATTAATAATATAGAATACGTAAGATAATGTTAAGAGAATATGTTTATTTGAGTGCATATTTGAAATGCCCTAGCAGGTTAATGTTTGTATCTATTTATAATAATTTGTCTAAGATCTATGTAATAACATGGTGCAAGAAGGAACTCGGAACTTATACATATTCGAGGAGCTCGATGGTGCAATTTCGTTAGCGCGTTCGACTGCGGTCGTTGAAGTTAAGCAACTTTCGCAGTGGTCGGTCATTGGATGGGTGATCAACCGAATCTTCTATCTCGAGTTCCTCCGTTTTTCGGAAGGCCCCTTTAAGCCGTCGGTCCCGGTCGTATCTGCCGTCGTTAGCACCAATTCGCACTTGCCCGCGTGGTGGGTCATGGCCCAACCTCCCTATCTGCCGTCCTCAAGCTAAAACGCGGCTAAATGATACAACCAACTTTTGAGATATGTCCAAAAAACGGCTCATAAATTTAAAATTATTGCTATTATTCTGTAACCATTCAGCACATGACGGATTTGAAGACTTAAACTATAAAAGATACGAATACGTTAAAAACAGATCGATAGAGTATTAAAAATTATATAAGATGCAATTTAGGGCTGAAAAATGGACCAGGGGGCCATTCGCCTAACGGAAATGCTATGGATAATGCTAACGCTTACGATTTTATTTTGTTATTTCTAGCCGCTTGAGGTTTTCAAATGCCTCGAGCTCTTTTTTTTTCTTTTGCATTGGTAATAACAATATTAAAAAAATTAGAGTGAGGTATTTGAAAACCTTCGGCGGTCAGAAATTACAAAATAAAATCGAAAGCGTTAGCGTTGCCTAAAGCATTTCCGTTAGGCGAATGGCCCCCTGATGTCACTACGCCGCACTTTAGTTTGAGGACGGCAGCTATTCCATCCATAGGGAAGGCCTGTGCCCCAGCAGCGAGGACATTAATAGACTGATGGTGATGGTGGTGATGTGAGGAGCTCGATGGCGCAGGTGGCTAGCGTGTTCTGCTGCGATCGTTGAAGTTAAGCAACTTTCGCAGTGGTCGGTCATTGGATGGGTGACCAAAAATTTACTATCTCGAGCTGCTCCGTGCTTCGGAAGGCACGTTAAGCCGTTGGTCCCGGCTGCATTTGCAGTCGTTAGCATCCACCAATCCGCACTGGGCCCGCGTGGTAGGTCATGGCCCAATCTCCCTATTCCATCCATAGGGAAGGCCTGTGCCCCAGCAGTGGGGAGATTAATAGGCTGATGATGATGATGGTGAACTGAAATATTAGTATGATTGTCGTGTCAGGCGGCGAAAGGGATATCGTAGTGCCGGTGCCGGCGCCGGGAAGCCTCACGCGAACTCCCTCCGCAGACGGGTCTGGGGCTCGCGTGGAGTCGGCCGACTGCTTCGAGATAGAAGACCTCGACGACAGCGGCTGGGAGTTTGTGGCGCGACCCGCCGACCCGCTGCCCGACGGTAACGTAGCCCGCGACACCCTTTTTTTGTGTCTGGAAAATGCCTTACGCATCCTTCAACCACTGGGGGAGCGAGAAGAGGGTATGTGGCACTCCTCCCTGTCCTCTTCAGCCAGCCCTGGAGCTCGCTGATGTGAACAGGGCCCTACCTACACCCTGAACAGGGCCACTAAAAACCAGACAATACTCCTGCACCGTCACCCGACACGCACTATGAGGACCGCGGTCCCCCTAGCCCTAGTGCATGCCGAGAGGGGGGTGTGGTCGCAGAACCCGTCTCCGAATGGCCGGTGCCCCCCCCCCCCCCCCCGACACCCTACCCCTCTAAGCATCTCAATCATAATGCGATACCATAAACAAACATATCAGCATTGACTGTTAAACACAACGATATTAAATACCCTAGATACACCACGTGCGCTCAAAATGTGCCCCTATCAAGAAGTGCTTGAACACGACTCAAGCACTTCTTGGTTCACAGTCACACGCGGACCGTTGAAAGGTAAACATGCCGCTGAGCTCCATGAAAAAATGCGAAATTAATAATTTTAGTATGTAAAATGTCATTTTTTCGACAGATATCTCATCAATGTTTGTTAATTTAACGCGTTTGAAGCAAATTTTGTTTTAATACTTACTTACTATAAACTGGTTTAATAGAAAATATTTCTGATATTCAAATGCATGGTCGTCTCTTTCCTCTCGGTCCGTACCTGCTGTATTGCTAACAGCGCATTTAGAATTGCGCGTAGAGTCAAAGAAATAAAGTCTATATTCTTCCGCATATAGCCATAAGTCGTAAAATTTTACGAGCTTATAACTCGGACTGTCAACTCTTTGCCGCATGCGCTTTGATTAAGACCTTATACGGTGTGCTTTAAAGGTGATTTTCAATGTTTAAATAACGACTTGATTAGACTATGTGATTATCTTACGGAGCTCCGTGGATCGTCCAATGTACCTTTAGGACAGATTTCGGGCATGATTTTGTTCGTGTTGGTGTATCTAGGGTATTTAATATCGTTGGTCAAACAGTCAAATAGGGAATATGCTTTTTTTATTTTAGTTTTTTCTTTATACAGTAATAAAACACTATATAGAGGGGATGTTAACTACTCGAAAAAATAACATTTTAGTGTCTAAAATATTTTACAAATAGCCATTTTGCACGGTCATTTTGAACGCGCTACGTCACGATTCATATAAACCTACAAAAGATCAATGACCATTCAAGATACTGACATTTTGCGTTCCGTTCCTTCCCTGCAAATGGTAGTTGGAACCTACGTCAATCAAAAAGACAGTATGTTTTATAGATTTTTGCTAAAATTTCAAATGTCATAGTGAAAAGTTGCACACGAGACTACGTGTAAAACGCGGCATTGACATCGACGCACTCGCATTATAATCTCGTTGTTTCTGAATATCCTGTGAACATCACATTTGTTTTTTACAAGGTATAAATTTTTACGTCGCAACCGCTCTCGTCGTGTTTCAAATATTTGAATTTCACAAAAGTTATTCGCACTTTAAGTGAGCGGCCTCACTTAAAGTGCACACACCAAACACAGGAGCCACGGGGTACAAGCAATCAACATTTACAGCCAGAAACATATTAACGTGTCGTGTCGTGGCGCGCCAGAAGCACATCGGTTTCATACATTTACTATGGTTAGAGACATATTTACGTATCGTGTCGTGTCGACGCTTTAACCTGTCTATCTCTCTCTAACCCATAATAAATGTATGAAACCGATGCGCCACGTCACGCCACGACACGTTAATATGTTTCTGGCTTACCTTGGCAAAATATGCACGCTAAATTTTTGCTTTCATCTCGCTACTAAATACAGCCGTTATAAATTTGTCCGTGCTGTGCGTGCTTATACGCAGATATATGAGGGCCCTAATTCTGTCGCATTTGAAATGTAGCGCCGCAATTAACCCAACACAGTTGTATGTCTGGGGTGCCGCCCGCTTAATGTCAATAATTTCTTGCTCGAAAAGAAATTTTATTAATAAATATGGATGGAGAGACAACTTAAAAATATGCGGTTAAAGCAACCTTTCCACCGCCGGTTTACTTATCTGCTGAAAGCAGTATTAATTTATATTTCCCAATCAGTGAATATTTCAAGCTGCACCTGTTTCAGCACTTGAGATACCGCTGTCAGATTTATTGTCCTAACTTTGTTTTTTTTCTCTATTTCTAAAACATAATTCTTTAACCGACTTCAAATCAAAAAGGAGAATAAATAAATAAATAAATATTTCCAACACTCACACCAATTAGCCTAGCCCCAAAGTAAGCACTGTAAGGCTTGTGTTATGGGATGCTAGGGTAACGGATAGAATACACATACTGTACATATATAAGTATAGAAATACATATTTTAACATCCATGACTGGAGTACAAAGGCTCGTATTCATCACACAAACATCTGCCCCCACCGGGATTCGAACCCGGGACCTCTCGAGTCGGCGACACCATGAAACCCGGCGTATAAACCACTCGACCACGGAGGTCGTCCAATACGATCGGAGAATGTTCTCAGTTCGACTGTATATATTTTACATATATGTTTATAAAGAATACATGATTTCTTATTCAGATTCGGACGTGCTAATAGCTGAGAACCAAGCACCTACGGCCACTCCTCCCCCCGCACCCGTTCCCCCCTCCGCCCCCAGTAGCCCTCCCCGCGCGGGGGGCCTCACCCCCCTGGGTGGGGTGGGCGGGGTGGGCAGCCAGCATCGAGCCACGTCGGAGCTGGAGCTGCGGCCTCGGGAAGCCCCGCCTGAAGCGGACTCGCTTAGTTTGCATGACGAACCGGATAACGGACCAGGTATATTTTCAATATTAAAAATTAAACTTAGGACTTTTTTTATACTTAAAAAATATGTGTATATATATATTAATTCAATATATTGGAGTTTACTCCTTAAGAATCGATTTGCATATATAAGGGGCCCGGTATGAGAAAAATCTATCGATGAATGACATTAATGACCTCGTTACGTTTTTGTGCGCAACCTCATCTTCACAACTCTTCTCAACCTTTCACTTTTAGCCATGGCAACGGATAAAAAACATTAAGTTGTCACAAATGTCAATAAAATAAATAAACTAAAAATAGATAAAATCGGAGCAAAATTTATTAATGAAAACAAATAAATAACAGAATATAGAGAAATGCCGGTAAGTGTCCAGCACTCTGGAATAGTGATTTTCAGTACAGATGGAATTATAATACATATTTACAAAATGATGACTAGTGTGTGATATTTTTGAAATTGTGTGTTTCCAGAAATACATAATAAAATATATTATGATGAATATCGCTGATGTTAGATGATAAAATGTGTGACATGGAACCTATGATAGTCGAAACCATGGGACGATTCCTGAGGTATCTCACTTGTAACCGACTTCTTCGGACTTGATTTTGTTTTGTGTCTGTTCAAAGACAATCGTTTTTAGAGTGTAAACTCCGGTCGTGCGTCGGAGCTGACACACACAATTTTTTTTTTCGAGGTGCAACTTCTTTTCGTACGGGGTGTAAATGGAAAAATCCTATAGAAAAGTAGAAAACGGCGCCTTCTTCTGCAGTCTTTATATCAGTCTTGCATATACACTAGATAGCAATGCTTCTAGCATCCATCTGTGAATGTGCAGCACACGCAACTTCTATCGGACTGAGCCGTAGTGAATCAGTTTTGAAAACAGAACTGAAGTATTGAGAAAAGACCTTGGCAGCAGCCTGTCTCGCTGCAGCAACCTCAACTCCTTTATCATTGAAATCGTTCATAGATCGCCTATCCCTTTTTTCTTATTCTTAACATATTCTCAAAAGTGGGCTGGTTCCTCATAAATTACGGGCGTTCGGGCCGCTTCGCTCGCATAACCGCTCGTCGCGCGGCCATTATTTATTTATTAAATAAGGAACAAACAGTCATACATAATATCATATGAACAATTTCATCGTAACAGACTGACCTAACAGTTCCATAACATATGACCCAACTTATATAATAATGAACTTAATAGAAGTGGAATAACACCATAATTTAGAAAAGAAATTCAGTACAACTTTTGAGCCAGATGGTATAATGCAATAAACGAAGGGACAAACCTCCAATCTGCAGTATCAATCACCAACACAGGTGCTGGTCTCTGACTCAACAGACCTATACTCCGACCCCTCGCTCATCGCATTACATGAAACATTTGGTGGGCGACCACCAATTTTTTATACATATTCAAAGATAGGAAAAACACATCAACATCTTTCAAAAAACCATTGTAGTACCTACAAGCCCGTCGCATGAACGTATTTCCAGCATAATTAGTATAAGAAGGTGAAATATAAAATATAGATTTAGAACGTGAGGAGGTTCGTGGTATTTTAAATTTAATTAGTTCTAATAAAGGGGCCGAGTCTATTCTATTGTTTATAATTTTGTAAAGAAAAATTTGATCCAAATAAGTGCGTTTATTATGTCTGTGCTAAGCGTTTGACTTTACCGCTACATGAGTATATAGTTTTTTTTAGAATAGTAAAATGTGTTTATGTTCATATTAAATACAGATGTCAACAATTTATACATTATTTTTCATACTGTCAAATAGTCTATTGACGGTGTCTAAAATGACGTCATTTGCTTGTAAACATGTTTTTGAAGTGAAATTACCATGTATTGTTTGACGTTTTGGTTTTGATGAGAGCCGTTTGGCTTTATAAGCCATATTTGCCAGTATTCGTTTAATTTTCGTTTTTTTTTTGAACTGAAATATGTAACAGAATTATAAATATTTACTTTTTATGGAGTTACTTAACACTAATAGCCTATTAAGATGCATGCAACGACATATATGCCATGATGTCCACATCTCTCACGCTAGACTCAAAGTATTGCCTCTTTCGTTGTTCAAAAGAGGACTGATGCGTTTATATGTATTATTACAAGAAGTTTTGATTAATTTGCGGTCCAACTAGACGCGGACGAGCCGGTGACTCTGGACAGGCTCCAGTCCGCATCGCAGCTGGAGTTGCTGAGCGTGCGGCAACTGAAGCAGCTGCTGGCCCGCAACCGCGTCGCCTACCGCGGCTGCCTCGAGCGATCCGACCTGCTGCACCGCGCCCGCACTCTGTACGCGGACCACGCGCACTACCGCGCAGGTATATATACAGCGCGCCCGCGCCCGCGCCCGCGCCCGCACTCTGTACGCGGACCACGCGCACTACCGCGCAGGTATATATACAGCGCGCCCGCGCCCGCGCCCGCGCCCGCACTCTGTACGCGGACCACGCGCACTACCGCGCAGGTATATATACAGCGCGCCCGCGCCCGCGCCCGCACTCTGTACGCGGACCACGCGCACTACCGCGCAGGTATATATACAGCGCGCCCGCGCCCGCGCCCGCACTCTGTACGCGGACCACGCGCACTACCGCGCAGGTATATATACAGCGCGCCCGCGCCCGCGCCCGCACTCTGTACGCGGGAGGCGGGAGCGAGACACAAACACGCAATAACTACACATAATCATCAACCTATTAATGTCCCCCCTTTTTTTTAATTTCTTTACCCATTCTGGATAGGCTAAGGGTGCTGTGCCCATACAGCCAATTCTTTAGTTTATTATTTCAAAATGAAATATGTTATAAATAATATGTGCTGATAAGCTGTATGTCTTCTTTCTTGAGGCCGGAGCCAAATCTTCTTTTAGATATCTTGTCTTCAAAGTACTCCCTCTTCTTTCTTATCGTTTAATGGCCCCCCTGCTGGGGTACAGACCTTCCCTATGGATGGAATAGAGAGATTGGGCTATGACCCCCCACGCGAGCTCAGTGCGGATTAGATCACTGCAAAAGTTGCTTAACTTGCAAACGATCGCAGCCGACCACGCTAACCACCTGCGCTGTCGAGCTCCTCTCGGGAGGCCCGTTAAGGCATAGATCTTGGCTGCATCGACAGTCGTTAACACCCACCAATTCACATTGGGCCCGCGTTATATCCCCATTCCATCCATAGGGAGCCCCAACTTTGGGGACATTAACAGACCTGCGATGACGATGATCATTCAATGATGGCTATCGCGTATGAATCCGCCGCTATAGGCGCTAGTGTAGCGTGAGGTCTCCGAAATGTCAAATGTTATTGCTTGTTGATTGACTACGCGGGTTTATTTCTAATTAAAATAATGTTGTGAATAATTGGTAACAATTCGGCTTAATTATGGCAAATATGAGTTATGTGGCAATGAATGTCAGTTATTAAAAATTTGAGCTTAGAAAAATTATTATGTTCCCATTTTTTCCGAATAAAACGGAACTGGGCGTCACTGTGGCATGGCCTATTAAGTTTAGGATATGGTTCTTTTGTGTTAAAATACGATCTAAATGTAACCTTTGATTTCATGTGCGTATTAATAAACTTTAAAAGTTACAATTTAGGACCTCACTCAACAGTGGCGCCATCTGGTGAGGCAGAAAACGGTAGCCCTCATTACCAAATACAAATCTGTTTCGTTTATCCGTCTAAGATGTCTAATATTTATTTATTGTATTATTTAACAGAGGTGGACAACTTGCCACTTGAAGAGTGCTGCAAAATCTGCATGGCAGCGCCGTTAGAGTGTGTACTGCTGGAATGTGGTCATATCGCCGCCTGCACCGCCTGCAGCCGGCAACTAGCCGAGTGTCCTATATGCAGGCAGTACGTGGTGCGGGCCGTGAGGTGCTTCCGGTCATAGGTATGTGCCGACATATATATAGATATATAGCACCGCCTGCGGCCGGCAACTAGCCGAGTGTCCTATATGCAGGCAGTACGTGGTGCGGGCCGTGAGGTGCTTCCGGTCATAGGTATGTGCTGACATATATATAGATATATAGCACCGCCTGCGGCCGGCAACTAGCCGAGTGTCCTATATGCAGGCAGTACGTGATGCGGGTCGTGAGGTGCTTCCGGTCATAGGTATGTGCCGACATATATATAGATATATAGCACCGCCTGCGGCCGGCAACTAGCCGAGTGTCCTATATGCAGGCAGTACGTGGTGCGGGCCGTGAGGTGCTTCCGGTCATAGCTATGTGCTGACATATATATAGATACTAGCTGACCCAGCGAACTTCGTACCGTCCTAAAAAAATAGGGGTTGTCCAGCGGACAAAATTGTGAATCTAAACCATTCTCAGATCCCCTTGAACACACACAAAAAATTTCATCAAAATCGGTCCAGTCGTTTAAGAGAAGTTCAGTGACATACACACTCACAGAAGAATTATATATATAAAGATATAGCACCGCCTGCGGCCGGCAACTAGCCGAGTGTCCTATATGCAGGCAGTACGTGGTGCGGGCCGTGAGGTTTTTTCTGCATCCTAAAGTCATTATGTAGGGTCACCCTACTTAATGGTCCTTCGAGCCGGATACTCATCATGCATTCAGCAACATCATCATAACAACCATATGGAGGGATCACCTTGCAAATATAACTCATAGAAAACAGATTGAACATTTATTGATTAACTTTAAAATGACGAATCATCGTCAGCCTATTAATGTCCCCACTGCTGGGGCACAGGCCTTCCCTACGGATTGAATAGGGAGATTGGGCCATGACCCAACACGCGGGCCCAGTGCGAATTGGCGCTAACGACTGCAGATACGGCCGGGACCGACGGCTTAACGTGCCTTCCGAAACACGGAGGAACTCGAGATTGGTCACCCATCCAATGACCGACCACTGCGAAAGTTGCTTAACTTCAACGAGCTCCTCGAATGACGATTGATGACGAATATAATACCAAAAATTTTTATTGCCTAGGAATCATTTAAGTTCAGCGGTCGTCTGATGGAGCCAGCGTAGGAAATACGCGATTGTCGCCGTAGAATCACCTCAGTAGGTTTCATAAACGTAAACGCTTGTTGTTCGACGATACAGGAAGGTTGTTTGTCACCTTACAATCAAAATGTCGATGAAATCCATTATCATTATGCCAAACGTACAGAACTGACTTTGTAAATAACATTATATAATGTTTTTACGGTTTTATAACATCGTGGCGTTTAAAGGTTCATGCACATTATGTCGGGCCGCAACGCAGCGAAAAATACTAAGCAAATTAGTGACGGGGCCGGGTTGCAGTGCATTGACGGATTTTGGATACAGTTTATAACTGTTATAAAATTTACGGATAGTCCTTATCAAGAAATACTTTGCCTGTTATTAGAAGAAGAACAGAATAAACAGGAGGCCTACTGAAACTGTACTGTTGAAATAGTCAACGAAAGACGAAATTTCAATCGAAATTTCGCACGTTCCATACTCTGTTTCTATTTCATTTCGAAAATTCATTCGTCTGAAAATAGTTTAAATAAATTCTCTAAGCCTACTCTAAAAAACAAAACAATCAAATCTATTCACAAAACTTTTGAACTAAAAGTTGAATTTGACAGATAATTGTTTGAAATTTTAACCTTAATTGACTTGATTTTCGTTTTGGGATTTTTGTTTAAATTAAACCTAAAATTACTACTACAGTATTTTTAATTCAGGCTGCTTAGCGTAAGAAACATTTATTAGTATGAAAAATTTACAAATAAATCTAATTTTTATTTATTATTGTATTGCCAATACTTCAAAGTGTTACACGACAAATTTAGGTCGAGATACATTCGATTGCATCAACTCTACAAATTAGTCGGCTAACACTGTCAAAAGAGGTTGTTTTAATGTAATCAAAAATGTTGGCATAAAGTAATATTGTTTTGTAGTAAAAAACGTTATCTAAATAGTGTAGACAAACATAACTCATTCCATTCGTTCACGATAATTGTCTGTGATTCCGAACTTTATGCGCGTGTTCGAAGATGAAATAGAGTAGAGTCACTGGCGAAATTTCTTTAAAATTCGTTCGTTGCCGAAATTTCGTTTCAGAGAAAGAGAGTAGAGCTCCAGCTTCTACTAAAAGTTGACCAAAAGAGAAATCGTAAAATTGAATACGTCCAATTTGTTCCAAGAAAAAGGTATTCGGCGAATACATCCATTCATCCATCCAATCCATCATATTTATTCCGATCTTTTAGAAGTCAAAAATATTAAAACATTTACTTCATTCGTCGTGGCGGGGCGGCCGCATCGCTCGCAATCAAAATCTGCGGCTCGCTGTAGCCCGACCTAGTATACTACAGCGAACGGACATAGTATACTACAACGAGCGGGCATAGTATGCTATAGTGAGCAGACATTGAATACTATGGCGAGCGGACATAGTATGCTATAGCGAGCGGACATTGAATACTATGGCGAGCGTTCATAGTATACTATAGCGAGCGGACATTGAATACTATGGCGAGCGTTCATAGTATACTATAGCGAGCGGACATTGAATACTATGGCGAGCGTTCATAGTATACTATAGCGAGCGGACATTGAAACTATGGCGAGCGTTCATGGTATACTATAGCGAGCGGACATTGAATACTATGGCGAGCGTTCATAGTATACTATAGCGAGCGGACATTGAATACTATGGCGAGCGTTCATAGTATACTATAGCGAGCGGACATTGAATACTATGGCGAGCGTTCATAGTATACTATAGCGAGCGGACATTGAAACTATGGCGAGCGTTCATGGTATACTATAGCGAGCGGACATTGAAACTATGGCGAGCGTTCATGGTATACTATAGCGAGCGGACATTGAATACTATGGCGAGCGTTCATAGTATACTATAGCGAGCGGACATTGAATACTATGGCGAGCGTTCATAGTATACTATAGCGAGCGGACATTGAATACTATGGCGAGCGTTCATAGTATACTATAGCGAGCGGACATTGAAACTATGGCGAGCGTTCATGGTATACTATAGCGAGCGGACATTGAATACTATGGCGAGCGTTCATAGTATACTGTAGTGAGCGGACATTCTATACTACAGCGAGCGGACATAGTATACTACAGCGACCGGACATTCTATACTACAGCGAGCGGACATAGTATACTACAGCGAGCGGACATAGTATACTACAACGACCGGACATTCTATACTACAGCGAGCGGACATAGTATACTACAGCCAGCGGATTGGAGTGCACGTTTACGATATTACATACGAGTGATTTAAGTGAATTTTGCGCTGTGGCCCGACCCACTGCGACCCGATATAATGTGTGCGAACCTTAAACGTGTATTGCACTAATGAAATTGTAATATTATGTAAGCCCTTCCTCTCATTCGGCAATATATTTTTATATGTGTTTGCTTTAAGCACCCTCCACTGTTAGTTCTCTGCATGTTGATCTTATATGATTCGCCGCGGATGTTAAAAAGTAACTTGGTTTTTAATTTCTTTAAAATGAATTCTAAAATGTCACAAATACGTCCTTGTTAAACAAGGTCTCCTGCGTCGTCTGCGTCCTCTTCCCGTTCGCGCAGTAAACAATATAAAACAAATTTGGAATATAAATGTCCTTTGTGTTTGTTATTTTTACCTTCGTTGCCAGTAAGATCTTGATAATATTTATTATACTTGTATTTTTATTGTAAATTACCTCTGTAACCCACAATAATACAGGGTGTATAAAAACCTATGACAAAGACTTAAATTACGGATTCTGTACACTCAAACAAGTCATATTACAAAATATTATACGTGGGAAAAAAAAATATTTTTGTGTTAAAAAAAATCCCGTACGCAATATACAGCTGTGGCGCTACGCAAAGAATGTGTCTGTGTAAAAAAGTTAAATCTTGAAAAAATATTTTGACTTTGACCTTCATTATCTCCATAACCATAAAGGGCATGGCTAATAAACTTGCCCTTAACGTGTATAAATATTTCGTATTAGCCCGTAATATTACAATGTTTTTATTAATTATTACGTGTTTATTATTCTCACACAACTTTCGTGAAATAATCAAATATCTAAAAGTATAAAAATTGACTTCATGTCTGTTTCAAAAGCAAAATGTTCCGTGTTCCAAAATAAATGAATAATAAATGTACACAAAAAATATTTGTGTAAGTATATCGAAATAAACAATATCATTTCTAAACTCCTTCAAACTTTGACATATTTGGCCCTAATTTCAATTAAAACAATTCACTGAAGTCCTAAAATAATAGATTTTATTATTCTGATCAGGCTTGAGACAAGGCTGTATGATAATTAAACCTTTAATTTTTGCAAATGGACAAAATAAAACTTCACAGATTTCCTGTCAGGCCGACGATAACAAATTATTTGTATTTATTTTTAGTTTAAAAAAACTTTTTGTGAAGAGTTAATCAGAGAAATGGAAAGAAAGATTCTAAGAACATGCGAAATTGATGACTCTGTAAATAATTGGCAACATCTTTTATCAAATATAGTAAGCTAATGACATAGTAGGAGTTCTCATAATTTTCAAGATTGTGACTTTATCAAAAGTTCCTGAGCCTTTTTTCATAGAAATTATAAATGTTCAGCCATTAACCATTAAATATTACTAAATACAGTATTTATACATTGCCAGGGCAGTCGCTCATACTAAACTTTACCATGTCCTTTCCCAGGTATGGTCCAGAAGCAAAAAATGATCGTCATGATGTTGAAAATACATGGCCTTCGACTTCGTTGTAGGTTTTTACACCCTGTATACTTAGAGCTTAAATAATTTGAACAAACTAGGTAGACAAAAAAAACAGTGTGCCTATGACCACACGACTGAAGTGAAACTTCTTTAGCTCCATCTGTATGTATAAATATATATACATGTGTGTGTGCAATATACACATGAACGTACTAACACATATTTCATTTACTAGCTATAAGAGAAAGAGAGAAAGAAAATGTGCGCGCGCACTGCTTTCACTTGCTTATATCCCCCACTCAACTCCCGTTCGCCTCGCCCGATCACACTTTTCGTAACGCGTTCGCCAGCTTACTCCCCAAGTCAAGCGTGCGTAAAGAAGTTTTACTTCAAAAAGATGTTCTTTTTTTATTAACAGTAAAGTCAATTTCTGAATGAACAGTCTACTAATTTCTGGCCTTACGCCTTTAGCACACTGACGCGGCGAAACGAGGTAGCGAAATTGCTGTTAACCATAGTATACTATTATTTAATATCACGTATATCGCTTTGTCTATTTGTGGTTTCCTATAATCTAATAACTATCTGTATATTATCACTGTTGAACCTCATTACACACCATTATAGTTCGTGTGAGAGATGCAACTTTTTTTATAGCCACCTGATGTCAAGTGGTGATAAAGTCCAAACGCGAAGATAGCTGGTACAGCAGTTATAAACTGCTACACCAACCATCCTCACCTTGCCGGCCTGCAGAAATGCTTCTTCACGCCCCTCTTAAAGGACCCCAGAATGTAGGAAGGTGGGAACACGTGCGCGGGCAAAGAAACTATAGGAAATCACAAAAATAGAGCGAGATGCAACACACGCGATATAAATTCATAGTTTATAACAGAGTACCGCAGTGTGCTAAATGCGTGCGGCTAAGAAATATAGGTCGATGTAGATTAATTGAGATTGGCACATTAGATTTATTTTTATCAAACAGTCTGTGATTGGCGGTAGATTTTTAAATTGTATTCTTTTATGTGGTTCCGTGTGTCGGTTGCCGCTTTTTTGATATTTTTTATATATTTAGTTGTCTATAGAAAGCTTTATAAAGTATGCTGTTTCACAAACATTGATTGGCCTCACGGCGTTGCTTTAAGTAAAAAAAAAAAACGAGTGAACTGAAGTGAAACTTCTTTAACTCCATCTGTATGTGTGTGTGTGTGTGTGTACAATATATACTGTATGTACATATACACATTTCATTTACTAGCTATAAGAGAAAGAGAGGGAGAAAATGTGCGCGCGCACTGCTTTCTCTTGCTTGTATCCCCCACTCAACTCCCGTTCGCCTCGCCCGAACACACTTTTCGTAACGCGTAACGCTGGCGAATCAGCTTACCCCTCAAGTCGAGCGTGCGTAAAGAAGTTTCACTTCAATAAATTACTATTTATACTTTCATAGTTGTATGCTAGCGACAATACGGGCTGTGTAATTCTTAATTTATATCTCGACAAATGGTTGTTACATTGTATGTCTTAAAGGATGTGTTGTTTTCTGGACTACACTGATGTGAACCAGTCATCATGCAGTTACAATGTTGCCGATTTACGGCAGTCTGGCCGATATCGGGGAATAACCGAACTTAATTCGTAATCGGGAATTCCCCGATACGTCTCTTACATATCTTGTGACAATAAATAAAAACTTGACAAGTATATATTTATTATAAAATAAAGATACCAACGTATCTTTAATACTAAATAGGGTATCATTAAAGGAGATTGCTCAGCTTCCATACATGTTTGGCCTAAAAACCAATAACCATGAAAAATTGTTTCCTAAATTCGAAATTATATATAAATTACCGTAGAAACGAATATTATCGACGGCCACTCCTGAGAACTTCTATAAACCATATACACTGAATGATTTTGAGGTTATGTTTGCAAATAGGCACATAGGTATTAGAATAATAAAAACCAAATAACTTATATAGGAAAATAGGGCAATCAAGCCAAGTACCGATATTATGTATTAGATTCAGGTATATAGAGCATGTAAAATAACAGATAATTGCCTGTTTTTAAAATTAATGCACAAGAGTAAGTTTTAAAATCATGATTATGCCATTGCGACTTTCAGAAGCAATCTTGTTTCATTTGACAAGTGTCTAACACTAATTACACTAACAAAATGCATGTCAAGGAACTGGTACCTGCTTACCTATGTTATGAGAAACATGGAACTGTTATCATAATTTTATAAAAACCAATAGGATATTTTCTTAGTAATAATTAAGTTTATAATGGTAAAAGGTAATTCTAATGTAATAATATATTGCGTAGGTTCATGATAGTTCTGATCAATGTGTGAAATATGTATATTCCTGACATAGCTTAAATATTCTGATAAGGTAAATTAATGAAATAAAACAACTTAAGTACTTTTATGTTGCGTTTAATATTACATATCATCTACATCTTGAATTAAAATATCATCGAAATATTTTATCAATCTTTACAAAATAGATTTGTTTTGATGTTATATAAACAACCTCGATCAGTCTTTGTGAATGTTACTACACCCGTAGGGTGCGGCCAGAGTGCACTTCTGATTCAGATTCAGATTCAGACTCAGAAAACAAAGCGCGAGAAAAAGCAGGCAACCTGCTTAGACTACACTGTTTATTTCTCGCGCTTGTTTTCAGAATCTGAATCTGAATCTGAATCTGAATCTGAGTGCACTCTGGCCGCACCCATAGCCAATAAAAATGATTCGTATGTTTTCCAAACCAGTAAAAATAGAAGTCCTTTTTTAAAATTAATATATTATTTAAAGGTGGCCGTTAAAATCTAATGACTGTAAAATAAAGTATAAATTACGCCAAGAATTACTGTATATGTCAATATTTTATTTGCATTTAGGCCAATTTGACCAATCTCCTTTAGATTTTTCTTTTTTCACATTCAAATACATTAACGACAACACTGCACAAGATATTATAAATACAATCGTTTTATTACTGTGGTCTTTTATTAAAAATATGTATTTCTTGATATCTAATAAAATATTATCAAAGTATTCTCTATATAAACTTGTCCATTTAAACGTTAATATTGTTGGAGGATCTGTGAGAGCATATTTGATGGCTATTCCATAAAACACGTGGTCATGTTGTGTAGCCGGTTAGAGAGTAGTGCATATTGAACCCATGTGATAAGAAATCACTAGTATTTTTGTACGTACCTTTAGTTTAAGAACAGGATGGGAGTCTTTGCCTCTGTCCACAAACTTGTCCGTTATTGATAATATCATTGTACTTGTTTAATCTTTCTTTACGGATATGAGGTGTATATACAGGATGTTTCAAAAATACAAATAAAGCTCGAAGGGCGTTAAAGTACATCATATAAGGAGTCTTCTCTAATTTTCTTAAAATATTTGCATGAAGTTTTAACTTTTTATAAAAACAGTTATTTATAATGATTAATAAAAATATCGATCATTTTTATTATCATTATCAAGACACGTCACTAGTTCGAGGATCATTAATGTCGCGGCGTCCGGCCTCCTTGCACTGACTGACTAGCCTACATATGACAGACGGACATCATGACAGTATTGACAGGAAAAAAGATGACAATGGACTACGAGACAGGACGGCGGTGACTGCCAAGTTTCGTTCCACCGACTTCCACGACTATATAAAGACGACGACTCCAACGACCAGACAATTAAAAATAACTGTTTTTATAAAAAGTTAGAACTTCACACAAATATTTTAAGAAAATTAGAAAAAACTCCTTATATGACGAACTTCAACGCCCTTCAAGCTTTATTTGTATTTTTGTAACAACCTGTATAATAAAAGCCATAGTGATTATTTTGTGAATTAAATATAAAATTATTTTATTCCATATAAATATTGTATCACAATCGATTACAAATTAAATCGTTACACAATACGACGTGATGTTTCATTTTGTTCTGCATCGGCTGTGTCTCTTTCTTCGTAACACACTAAAGGAATTGTTGATAGTTTTCGAGAACTATGATATCATTTTGCCAACATTTGTGTCTAAATAACTGCGCTGTAGTTTCGTATGACGAGAGAAATGAGTACATAGGTTATAGTTTTTATTATTTTAAAGCATGTAACTGCTTGATGTTTAAATCTAAAGAAAATATAACTAGAAAAAAATCCACGCGGACCAGGCAGCAGACGGGACTCGAACCCGCACCACTATAATTGCTATTTCTTCTTTCAAATGTTTAATACTTGTGAGATGGCGCTGCCTTGCAGCTTAAGAATGGCTAGAAGAATTTCGACGCGGTCCGTCATAATTGGTCAGTGCGTTCGCCCGGATTGCGAAGGGTGCGGGTTCGAGACCAGTCTGCTGCCTGGTCCGCGTGGAATGTTTTCTAGTTATATTTTCTTTAGAGTAAGTACATAGGTTTTAAAAACTTCATATTGAATATCCAGTATTCATCGCCTTTTCTTCGTAAACCTTTTGATGATTGAATGTACATTGTTCGATATTTATTTACTACGTATAGGTGAGTATTTCGGTTGGCTATTTGTTGGCATCTAGTCTCGACCAATGGCGTGCGTTTGCGCAGGCCGGTCGATCCGTATGAGGGAGTTTGCAGGCACGAAGTACCCCTCGTAGTGGACGGTGCCGGGGGTGGTGTCGTAGTGATAGTGGCCGCCGTCGCCGTGCGCGCTGAACCCGTGGAAATGCTGCACGCGCAGATCCAAACCCTGGGGCAAAATGGACCATAAACACTATGGAGTCAAGGGCGGATCCGGGGGGGGGGGGGGTCATGGGTCAATATACTATATGACCCCCCCCTGGCGCCAAAGCTGGCTATATGACCCCCCCCTGGCGCCAAAGCTGGCTATATGACCCCCCCTGGCGCCAAAGCTGGCTATATGACCCCCCCTGGCGCCAAAGCTGGCTATATGACCCCCCTTGGCGCCAAAGCTGGCTATATGACCCCCCTTGGCGCCAAAGCTGGCTATATGACCCCCCCCTGGCGCCAAAGCTGGATCCGCCCTTGTATGGAGTCTATGAAAAAAACGAGCGAGCCTCACAGTAGTCGCGTATGATGTGAAATATTTTTAATCACATCTTATCTAAAGAAATGTTTTACTAGAAAAAAAATCCACGCGGACCAGGCCGCGGACGGGACTCGAACCCGCATCCTTCGCAATCCTTTCCATTTTTTTTGCGAATGCAATGCGAAGAGATGGCGCTGCCTTACAGCTTGAGGCTAGAAAAATTTCGACGCAGCCATCAGGGCCGTGGTAGCATAATTGGTCAGTGCATTCGCCCGGATTGCGAAGGATGCGGGTTCGAGTCCCGTCCGCTGCCTGGTCCGCGTGGATTTTTTTCTAGTAAAACATTTCTTTAGATTTAAACATCTAGCAGTTAAATGCTTAAATAAAAATAAAAACATAAACTCACCTTATATTAGTAAAAAAAAAACCTACTACAAAAGGAATAAGCAATTTAAATATTATGTTCTAAAATTAAATCGAATAGCGCGCGCTTCCCAAACTTTCTGTTACACACTTCCGTCCCACTTCACGTAATCACTCCCACAAATTGCACGAAAGCGAGAGGAAAGATGTTACACATCATAAAGTCATGATTTTTCAGCACGCATCTCGAAGTAGTGTAGCCATTGGTCCCCGTCGTCGTGGCAGCTTATAAGTAGTATCATCATCATCATCAGCCTCTTAATGTCCCTACTGCTGGGGCACAGGCCTTCCCTATGGACGGAATAGGGAGATTGGGCCACGACCCACCACGCAGGCCCAGTGCGGATTGGCGGGTGCTAACGACTGCAGATGCAGCCGGGACCAACGGCTTAACGTGCCTACCGAAGCACGGAGGAACTCGAGATAGAAATTTTTGGTCACCCATCCAATGACCGACCACTGCGAAAGTTGCTTAACTACAACGATCGCAGCCGAACGCGCTAACCACCTGCGCCATCGACCTCCTCCATAAGTAGTATATATACTGACATGGTCCCCCGTGACGAGCGTGCCTAGATGTGTGATTGGCGCCTGCATCTCGAAGTAGTGCAGCCATTGGTCCACATCGTCGTCGCTGCAAAGCGCCGTGCTGGAGAACTCTGGCATCACGTGGAACTTGACCCGCCCCGAGCGCAGAATGAAAGTGCCGCCCAAACCTGGAAAATATCTCTTATCTATTAGACAAGTCCGTCCGTCCGTCTGGTGGTGCTGTTTCAGCGGCCAAACCGTAAGAGATAGATAAAGAGAATATTTAAGTTATAAGTTAAGAATAGTCTGATAAGACTACAAACCGGATTTGAGTAACGTAGCACTTCCGGTTTTCGAGAAATCACGAATTTCAAACGAAACCACACAAAATCTCCGAAGTTCTCAATTAATTAAATACATATTTTTTTTCTTTTTAAATCAGGTTTTGGTGAACATTTGGTTCACTGGTTTGCTAGTTTTACTCTAAGATTATAAAAAAAGGGGAAGGTACGGTACTCGAGGCTCAAAAGTGATCCGCTTAAATTGTGGTGCATGACCACAATTCGCTTTCGTGCCATGCAATGAATTTTAGTTACTGATTCGCCATTTTTTATCAAGAAAAGGACAACAATACAGCCCAGCCGTCTGTAGAGAAAGAAAAGAAAGCGCAGTCTGTTGCAAAGCGACGCGGACTCGTGCCGTTTCGCTAGCGTTGCGTTGAAGCGTACCGTACCTCTAGGGCTGCCATCTCTAAAATGTGGCAACCAGGACAAGACGTATGATAACCCCGGATTTAGGAGCCCAGAACCCGGACAGACCAATAAAAAAAAACAGTTAAAAATGTCACAAATCAATTTTTTTATGTTGATGTAGGCAAAAGAGCTACTAGTCTACCTCATAATAAGTGGTCAGTGGACACTTGCAGCACCAAGGCCCACTCATGCGTTGCCGGGTCTGAACGAAAAGGTCACACACATTTGTGTCTTTGCTGGGTTAATGCAATCAAATTTTGTTGGCTCCAATTTGAGACTTGATCCAGTAACATCTCAATCTCGGACACAAGTCTGTCTTTACACCCTTCTTCCATCGGAGGGATGTTTGACCGGCCAGTGTAATAAGTGTCAGTGCTGTCATCCATATAGCAACGAATGCTGTTATTGCGTACAGCGTGAGCGACAGAGCTGATCTTTGAGAGAGAAAAGATTTATTTATTTTCAAAGACATTTAAATTGACGGGTCAATTGTCGACCCAAAACAGGATTTTTTTAAAACCCGGACTACAAATGAAACCCCGCCCGGACGCTCCCTGGACGCCCCGTAAACTAGGACAAATCCGGGGAAACCCGGACGGATGGCAGCCCTACGTACCTCTAGCATGAACCATTATCGAATTCGAATAGTTTGCAAACCGAAATGTCAATGTCTTTGTAAGGAAACTTGAACAGCAGCTGCACAAAGTACGTAACGAGAACTAAAAATTAGTACATATTGGACGACCTCGGTGGCCGAGTGGTTTATACGCCGGTTTCATGGTGTCGCCGACTCGTGAGGTCCCGGGTTCGAATCCCAGTGGGGGCAGATGTTTGTGTGATGAATACGAGCATATTTGTACTCCAGTCATGGATGTTTAAGATGTGTATATGTACAATATATGTATTCTATCCGTTACCCTAGTATCCCATTACAGAAGCCTTACAGTGCTTACTTTGGGGCTAGGCTAATTGGTGTGTGTGTTGGAAATATTTATTTATTTATTTGGTAATGACATTTCGGACTCGCAAACGATACGAATTCGATATTGGTTCGTGCTAGGAGTACAGTTCTGTCTCGCTCGCTCGATTGAATGTTTATTTAAAGAAATGTGTGCGTGTGTGAGTTCCTAGTATGAGTGTACCGTATCTGCCCTTTTTGTTTTAAACTAAAATTTTACTCAATAAAGGTCTCGATACCCGAAACAGCAAGCATTAAGAAAATCGTCATAAATTTCAGGTAGATAATGGTTTTTTTAAGCATTTAACTGCTAGATGTTTAAATCTAAAGAAACGTTTTACTAGAAAAAAATCCACGCGGACCTGGCAGCGGACGGGACTCGAAACCGCACCCTTCGCAATCCGGGCGAATGCACTGACCAATTATGCAACCACGGCCCTGATGGCCGCGTCGAAATTTTTCTAGCCTTAAGCTGCAAGGCAGCGCCATCTCTTCGCATTGTAGGTAAGCCACAATGTCAAATGAATACTTTTTCAAGTATTAAACATTTGAAAGAAGAAATAGCAATTATAGTTATGTTTTTTAAAGCATTTAACTACTAGATGTTTAAATCTAAAGAAAAGTTTTACTAGAAAAAGATAATATTTACGAAATTACAGAAGTATTCAAGAATGTATTAAAGATATTTAAATTTATAAATATAAAAAAGAACACGACACTTACCCACAACTTTATCGCCATAGTGCGTCTTCAAAGTTTCTCTGATGGCTGTGATAAAGTTAGATTCGCCTATTCGTTTCTTGGCCACGACTTTGATTACCTGTTAGGAACAAAAAATATTTATAAGAGTTACTAATTTTAGTATCCGTTCTGCTGGTCATGTTGAACTTTTGGAACTCATCTTCATCAATTGACGACCTCCGTGGCCGAGTGGTTTGTATGCTGGGTTTCAAGGTGTCGCCTACTCGAGAGGTCCCGGGTTCGAATCCCGGTGGGGGCAGATGTTTGGGTGATGAATACGAGCATTTGTACTCCAGTCATGGATGTTAAATATGTATTTCTAAATTTTATATATTGAAGTTATACTTTTTTAGGCGCGTTATGAAAAAATGATGAGAGTGAAATTTTAAAATGCGCGCGCATCACTGTAACACAAAAAATTAACGGCATGTCGCTAAAGCGACCAACTTCATGCTGTTACTTTTGTGTTTACCGCACATTAAGAAAATCTACCAACAAACTAGAAATAGAATCTCTATTTAGTGGGTGCTAACGACTGCATTGTGAAGGCCTATCAAAAGTATTTATTAATCTGGAACAACGGAACCAAAGCGCGATTCAGGAGACTACAGCGCCATCTCTTGACCATTGGTGTAGTAGAACCAAAAACCACATCTTTATTTATCAAAAGTATTTATTAATCTGGAACAACGGAACCAAAGCGCGATTCAGGAGAGTACAGCGCCATCTCTTGACCATTGGTGTAGTAGTACCAAAAACCACATCTTTATTTTTCAATGTTACTTTTATGTTATTATTGTAATAAAGTAACAGTTATAGGTATTCATATTTATAATATTTATCCACATGTTTCTAGTTTGTATATTCGGAATACGTGTTTGAGTTTCATACAAGTGCAAATCACATAATATGTTCTAATAAATTATATTCAGTAGCGATTTTAATTGAATATTTTGATTATTTATTTATTTTTTCAAATTAAAACTGAACTTTATTGACTGTGTCCTTTTCCAGACTTTTTATTAATTTATTGTAATTAATTATTTGCATGCAATTAAAAACTAATTTTAAACGATGCCAAAGAAGGATAACTTCTCACGCGCCTACATAAGTACACGCACCCATTTTTTTTTATATATGTATTCTATCCGTTACCCTAGCATCCCATAACACAAGCCTATAGTGCTTACTTTGGGGCTAGGCTAATTGGTGTGAGTGTTAAATATACTTAAAAAAATATTATAAAATATTATAGAAAATTATAAAACGTTGAAAAAAGGAGCCTTTTATTTTGAATTTTTTCGCCCGCGATTTCGTACGCGTTGATTTAAGTTTTTCGAAAATCCCTCAGGAACCTGAATCTTTTACGGGATATAAAGTATCTTATATCTCAATCCAGATCATAAAATATATGTGTAACAAATTGAATCCAAATCTAGGGAAAATTTAGGGTTGTATCTATTGTTGTATGATGTATCAAAAAAAAATAATAAAAACAAAAAATATTGTACAAAAAAAAATTAAAGGTTCTTAGACCTACCCAATATGAACACAAAATTTCATGAGAATCGGGAAAGCCGTTTCGGAGGAGTTTAACCACAAACACCGCGACCAGAGAATTTTATATATTAGATAGTGTGATTGTGAGTGTAAAAAACAGGGAAACAAACACGTTATCTGCGTGCAATGTTTAAACGATGAAGCGTCAATTAAAATGTAGTTTTATCATCATGGGGTTAGAGGGGAGAATCGCGTACCTTTCCAGGCAGTCCACTGCTGAGGAGGTAGTTGCCGAGTAGAGCAGTCCGGGTCTCGCTGGACGGCAGTCTCTGCTGCAGGTACTTGGTGTTACCGCGAGCCGCCCCGCGGGGCTCCACCGTCACCACGCGGGTGCCCTGATCCACTGAGCCGTTGCGAACGCTCAAGTTCACTATACCCTGGGGAGTCATGTATATTAATTTTTGAAGTGAAACTTCTTTATCGGCGTTGGAAAAAAAATTACCGTCACATTTTTTCGGTTACGCGTCACGTTTTTTGGTTACGCGCCATCTTTTTTTTAAAAGAGCACTATTTACCTCATCCGAACAATTGCTTCTTCTGTCAACTTTAAAAAAAAAGTATCGACAGCAAATATTCGTGTTTCACACGAGGTAAGGTAAGGTAAGGTAAGGTAAGGTAAGGTAAGGTAAGGTAAGGTAAGGTAAGGTAAGGTAAGGTAAGGTAAGGTAAGGTAAGGTGTAGTTATACCCCTTTAGTGGGTGAGTTTTTGAAAAATCTTAGCGCACGCCTATATATATATTTCTGGAAAGTTGCATGTAGATCATTTTTCGAAAAAAATAAGGCCATAAAGAAGTTTCACTTCTTACGTGTGTACACTAGTACACGCACACATTTTTTTTTAAAGCTTTAAAATCTCTTATCTATTAGACAAGTCCGTCTGTCTGTGGTGCTGTTTCAGCGGCCAAACCGTAAGAGATAGATAAAGAGAATGTTTAAGTTATAAGTTAAGAATAGTATATGATAAGACCACAAACCGGATTTGAGTAACGTAGCACTTCCGGTTTTCGAGAAATCACGAATTTCAAACGAAACCACACAAAATCTCCGAAGTTCTCAATTAATTAATTACATTTTTTTTTAAATCAGGTTTTGGTGAACATTTGGTTCACTGGTTTGCTAGTAACAATATAATAATAATAATAATAACATTTATTCACCATCAGAAAATACAAACAGTTGTTAAACAGTGTTAGAATATTTACATCAAGTTTATATTAAGTTATGCGTAACAACATCAAAGACTGACAGCTACCCTCCTCTTTAGTAACAAAACTGTATTGCAGCAGAGTAGGATCATCGTCGAGTAAACAAAATAGGGTAGCTTCATATCATTTTACAACTTACGACAGGTCGTGATAAAACTGCGAAATGCTAATACTGTACAGTATACGTAAAGTAAAAAGATAAATATCATTCATCATTATCAGATTATTTATCGTCACTTCCATAGTAAACTTACGAATTTGAATTTCATACAACCTACTGCGCCAAAATGGCGTACAATAATTTGGTAAGTTTACTTCGGGTGCATAATATTCTAACAATCAAACTTTTGAAACAGTCATTGATAAAGTTGTGTGATTTTTCCCTGGTGTTAAGTACCCCATTATTTGCAGTTTTTTATAATAGGTTTTTACTAAAAAAGCAGATTCGTAAGTTTGCCGTGGATGTGACGTAATGTCACCACTGCTGGGGCACAGGCCTTCCCTATGGATGGAATAGGGAGATTGGGCCGTGACCCACCGCCCGGACGCAGTGCGAAGGGCGGGTGCTTATGACTGCAGATGCAGCCGGAACCGACTGCTTAACGTGCCTTCCGAAGCACGGAGGAACTCGAGATAGAATATTTTTGGTCATCCATCCAATGACCGACCATCCCGGTTCGAATCCCGGTGGGAGCAGATGTTTGTGTGACGAATATGAGCATTTGTACTTCAGTCATGAATGTTTAATATGTTTTTCTATATTAATATACTTAAATATGTATCAGTATATGTATTTTATCCGTTGCCATAGTATCCCATAACACAAACGTACAGTGCTTACTTTGAGGCTAGGCTAATTGGTGTGAATGTTGGAAATATTTATTTATTTAGAACTCTTCAATATATTGCATACTCCAGTATCTTTGCACATAAATTAAAAGTTATAAAATATTGACAGCATTAAGCTGACTGCTTAATGCTGTCAATGTTTAACTTATGTTTAAGAGAGGAAAAACACCGCACAGTGGATCGATGCCATACAAGCAACGAGACATAGGGTACAAAAAACCTTGTTGATTTGGAAAAAATGCAGCAAATGCATGTCTTATTAACATATAAAAAAATCAAGTCGAAACACGAAGGGGATCTTAAAATACAGGATTTTTAATGTAGTTTTCCATACTAATAAATCATATCAGGTACCATATTTGTTCAAATAACATTCCCATAAAAAAGGCTGATGAAAATGATTTTTATGAGGTAAGAAGTAGCTGAATTCTATGTACTACTTATTTTTCACAGATCTTCATGTAATTTTTAAATAACCTACGAGTATGTCCCGTCGCTTGTATGGCGTCGATCCACTGTGCGGCGGTGCTGCAGCCGCTCCTACAATAGTCACCTCACAATTGACGCCAGTGTAAGGCCAGGGCCCGGCGCCGGCGCCGGCCAGCAGCGCGGGGTCCCGGCGCTGGTGCTGCAACAGGGCCCGCAGCTCGTACAGCTTGTCGCGCTGCACCAGCGGCAATAGGTACGGTGGCCCGCCGATCTCCACCAACTTGGGGTCTCCGCACAAACCTACATCATGTCACTTGAAAATAGTAACATCGGTTCTTTGGTTCTACTCTATATCAACTACCTAAGCACTTGTATTACGTAAAGTAAAACAACATACTTATTTTTTTTACATCTGTTATTAATTCTACGATGAGCGCGTTTTCACAGAAGCGCAGCTGGGCTCAGCTGAGCTGAGCCGTATAAAGAAGTGTGTGTTTTCATTGAAGTACAGAACCGAGGCTTAGTTAAACCGATTCAAAATGGAGATGAAAGGAGTGAAGATGAGTAGATTTGACTGTAAATTAGGTACATTTTATTAGAAACAAAAAGAAAACACTAACCAACCCCGCCCGTCCTCCTCCACGCATTGAGATGTGTATTTTGAGCAATATCATTGGACAATTTCATTGAAGTCTGCTTTTTTTTTAAGTAAACGCAGCCATTTTCGCTGTCTTGAGAGTAAGTTCAGAGATGCGCCACCAAATCTACTTAACAACTACTATTACCGATACTTCAATCAGTATCGGTAACGGGGGAAATCGGTAAATATATTATAATTGAATGTATACCATTCGGTCGGTGAGTAAGGTTTCAGAGCTCCAAGGGGTAGGGGATTGGGTCAGGATAGGCAACGGTGCCAGTGATATTCATTATATCGCCAGCGCCTATAGGCTACGGCAGCCATGGGTTAACTTTAATCGTTACTCATACAGCTCCATAAGGCGCTTTGCAGACGACGGGGCGGGGCGGGCTTTTTATCCGCGAAGCAATAAAAACCACGTCTGCCCGTCGATGTCTGCGGCTGCCCTCGCCGCGTACACAAAGCACACGACGGGCAGAGGCAGTCAGTTCAGGACGATTCTTTCTTTCTTCGTTCTAGTGAATAGTCCATCACTAAAAAGCGCGTGGCGCGGACTGAGCTACTCAGGGTGACTGAGTCCGTCAATGCCGAATGGCAGAGACGTTGGGACACGTCGGAACAGGGGAGGGAGCTATATCGGTTTTTCCCGGAAGTGGAGGCCCGACTCAAGTATACTTGGGTCGAGCCTGACTACGAAACCTCGCAGCTGCTGACGGGACACGGCTGTTTCAGGGGTAGGCTTCACAGAATGAAGCTTGCGGAGGTGGGGTCGTGCTACTGTGGGGAGGGAGAAGTAGAGGACGCATACCACGCTCTGTGGGAGTGTAAGCTCTACCGGGAGGCGCGTAGGGAACTTCTTGATAGTGTGAAGGTGCTCGAGGTTGGGCCTGTGTACTATCGCGACCTTGTGGGATCGGAGGCGAACTTCAGGCAGCTACGGGACTTCGCGCGTAGATGGCACAGGATTCGGAGTGGACTCGAGGGAGGCGAAGAAAGAAGACAGGGAGCAATACTGGAGGCTAGCGGTACCACTTCGTAGTGGGCACGGGACGGCTGGAATTTGCGACGAAGGCGTTTCGTGTGCGTCCGCCCCAGAAAGGGGAGAGGGACCATAGGGACAAAGGAGACAGATAAAGAACAATTTGTAGGGAGTCAAGAAAGTACGCGCGGTGGAGGCCATTCCGCGCGTATCTCCCGCTGCTTCGGCCTGCATAACCAAGAAGGTTCGCCAGGCCATGGGTGGTTGGTGGGATTTGCCCGTCGTGTGCTTTGTGTACGCGGCGAGGGCAGCCGCAGACATCGACGGGCAGACGCGGTTTTTATTGCTTCGCGGACAAAAAGCCCGCCCCGCCCCGTCGTCTGCAAAGCGCCTTATGAGACTATCGAGATATTGCAGCGCGTCGGGCATGTTTGTCGATGCTCGTATATCGGACTTTTATGCTGTTATGAGAAAGTGCAGAGCCTCTTTTTGGTCAAGAATATGTCTTTCTGATAACAGTATAATTAAAACCATATGCAAAGGACTAAATAATCCTATATTTAAATACTGGATATCTGTGCACCAGAGCGAAAACCGCAAATGACGTAGGTAATCATTAATTACTTGTTTTAATTGTTTTATTTTTCTTTTATGATTTTATTTATTTTCACTCTGTTTACACTTTATATATTTTTTTTATTGTAATTTGAATATGACATTTTTATTGGGTTTATATGACTTTAATAAACAATTATTATAATTATATTATTATTATACCATCATGCGGGCCATATGCTAGTTTGCCACCCTTTTAACATTAAAAAAACGTTAGATCTAAAAATCAAACAGTTAAAATACTTACACACTAAATAAAATTACATAATCTATACGTCAAAGTTATCATCATAACAAATTGGTTTGCGTTGTTCAAGTTCAAATAGCAACAGATAACAACCAACTTGCGGCACATAACACGAGAACCGGAGATTGTATTATAGATACGTGTTTTTGAAAAAATGATAAAATCACTACACTTAATGTTTTCGCCCACGCCAACATAAACTTTAAACACCTCAGATTAAATCATTAATCTAAAGCCTGTGTCGTGTGAGTGTCATCGGCTTAAATGGGTATTACTCATTTTTCATAACAGTAATATTGTACCTATCTAATGCCGCTTCCTATATACTACTTAAAATGTTAACTATAAAATTAATTGTAACTACATATTTATATTCTAGATGATGTAATGGAAAGTGACTTCAGACGTATTTCTGAAGTAATTTTTCAACTTGACGACACTGTATATAACAATACAGGGAGAAAAAAACAGCCCTTGCTGAGTTTCTTGCCGGTTCTTCTCAGTACAAGGTCTCCCGCCGTAGTTTTGCGAACCGATGGCGTAGCTTCTTGACCTTCACAAGTGCTTGTAACAGCCTAGACTGAATAAATGACATTTCATTTCATTTCATTTCATTTACAATCTCCTGCTCAATGACACGGGGCGAATTTTAAAGCTGCTAGCCAACTATGTGCGTGTGGACTGAGTGATCTTTTCAAAAAACTCATCCAATCACAACCAAATTATAAGAGGAGTTAGGAAATAATTGTGAAAACTTAATGGTATGGTACCTATAAAATTTGTGAAACCCAACCAAAGAAAGTAAAAACTAATTAACTGGATCACTCAATCTGGACACCTTAAGAATAAGCCATAACAAGTATCCAAGAAAATATTACCTATGTGTTTATAATTTGTATTTGAAATAATTGTAAAGAATTTGTGAAAGCTGCTAAACAAATTTTCGATTCATTTCAAAGCCATGTTTAAGATTTAGAACGGTTTATATGGATCATTTTTATTTAATAATTTGTGGATAATATTGTGGGTTACAATATTACCTTAGATTTTATGGTACCATGGTACCATATATAATAGTCTTTAGTCATAAAACACATATTGTAACCGTTTTTTATCCCTTAATAAATAAAATAAAAATAAAATCACTCAGAATGCACTATGTTCATTTGAGTGATCTTTTAAAACACTACCTTATACTGAAAAAGTATGAAACATTATCATGTTCATTATAAATTATGCTTCTGGGAAAATTTAATAAATCACTCAGTCCACACACACATAGACAACTCGCTGTCTTGCTGCTTGTAAATTCGCTCCATGTCATCGAGGCTTAAGACAGTAGTTTTTAACCGGTGGTCGGCGGATCACTAGTGGCCTCTGGAAGCACACTTAGTGTACCGCGAAGCCATTCGAAAAAATGATTCTAACAATCAGGGACATAGTTACGCTCTGGCCAAGAGGGCCTGCCTGAGGCGACCGAAGCCATAAAAAGGCTTTTTTTGCTGACCTTTATTTTTATTTGATTTACTAATGCTAGAGAAGAGCCGGCAAAAAAGTGGTCCGCAGCAAAACAGAAATTTTGACAAATGGTCTCTCATCACAAAAAAATTAAGAACTACTGATCTAATACCGGCCATACACACTACGAGAAATCGTTACGATTAGACTCTACAGTCCGAACGGTACCGATAAATCGTAGCGTGTATGTTATAAAACTGCACAGTTTCCTATACTAAACGAAATCGTATAAACTGTACCGTTCGAACTGTACAGTCTGATCGTAACGATTTCTCGTAGTGTGTATGGCGGGTATAAGATAAACAGGTAAACACAGTGAAAAGTACACAGGTTGACAACTCTGTGTCCAACTTTATAAAGGTCCCTTTTGTGCTGTGCAATAAATACAGTTTTTTAACCATTTACCTGGCGAGGTGAGGTCATATTCCGGCTGCGTGAGGTCAGGGCACTCCACCACCGACGCCTCCACACTCTCAAACGTGGAGGGTAATCCGCGCAACAGCACTGGCAGAAATATTAAAAAGATAATATCTCACATGATAATATAAAGACAGTGTTTCCACAATGAGGGGAAATTCCCCTTTTAAGGGGAAATTAGGATCCAGAGGGGAAGAAAAAGGGGACAGACATAAAAAGGGGAAATTGCGGGAAATTATGGGTAAAGCCTAGCCTAAAATAATGCGGCACGGAACAAATTTTTTATAGAATAAGATAGATTAAGACCTTTGTTTTTCCTTAGTACACTAGTGCCAAATCTAAACACTACATCAGAATATTTTTTGAGGGGAAAAATGTCCTAACAAGGCGAAATCTGAATTGAGGCGTGGGGAAAGGAAATCATTAAAGTGGAAACACTGTATAAAGACAACAAGTGCTGTCAACTCAGTCTGCACCTAATTTTTGAACTTTCAGAACAGTGAAATTATATTTTCGTGATATAAAGAAGCATTATTTTATCTTCCTTTTATTTTGATGCAAAAATTAATCAGAACTGGTTAAGCGGTAAAGTGCAATCGTATGGTTTCTTTGACATTTTTTTAACACATTCCAATATATATTTTGGATTAATATTCAGCATAGAGGGCAAATTAAACTAATGAAATCAGAAACCTATATCTTTATTTTGATAATCTGTTTCAAAAGAAACATTTAAACTCACCTTCAGCTATTTCTTCCAACGGCGGCACGTGAAGGGGCTTCTCCTCAATCGTCAATTTATTATAATCCAGAGATGCCATGCTAAAAATGTTTTCTAGGCAATTAAACGACTTAATAGACCACTAGAAACCAATTAACAATGACTACAGTCTGACTTAACCAAATATTTATTAATTTATGTGCTTAATCTTGAAAATACACCGCCTATTTACAAAAAAAACATAATAGTAAAATACCTATATAAAAATACATTTTTGACATAGACCACCATGAGCAGTTCGACCTAGGATGCAGCTACCTGCGTACTAAATGTACCTACATATTTATACATTAGTCAACAGTTTTAAATGATTTTTAGCGATTCTAATATTGTATAAATGTATATCAAAATCAACTACAGTATATTGAGAGTATTTTTATCAATTCAAATATTTTTATATTGACAGAATATAGGAATGTGTCTTTCTTTTCATTTTATTAATGTAAAGAAATTAAGTGGCACCTATTTACAATGATTATCGTGTCATTGTTTTCGCCGGCGCACGCGCACGCGACTAACCTCACTCACCTGGCGTTTGCCGTCAAGGCCGCCGCGTTCACGGCTACAATGTTTACAATCAAAACTAACATCGCTTTCACTACAGACATCGTAACAGACAACTCAACCTTAATTATAACGTCAATAGAAAATAATACTTCAGTAATTTGTATTATTTAAACACATCAACGAACGATATAATTTTTTATTTAAACAAGTTATTTTAAACGCTTAATTTACTGATACGTACGTCGTGAGTGATTGCAAATAGCAATGTTGTGTCAACCGGAATCAAAGCGGCGCGTTGGGCCAGAATTTGTTGTGAAGGCAAGCGGCGCCCACGACCCTCCGTGACCTACTGAGTTTGCGCACGTAATAACTACTCAAATCGCGCGCACAGATTGCTCTCTTATCACTCGAGTACTCTCACGTTTATCATCGACGACAATAGGGGTGATGACGGGGTACAGTAAACGAAATTCTATTTTGTCCGTTAGTTAGATGATCAAAAAATAATGAACACGTATTTTTTCTTTGGGCAATCAACCAAAAAATGATAAAGTTATAGCGCGTCAAAGTTTGGGAGTAGGGGATGGTGACGTCACTTTTTAGTGAATATTCGCTTAAAAGTGTACTCAGACGTGACGTCATGCGACTTTTCAAATCGATATATCTCTGCAATGTTTATATTATGTGAAAAAAGAAAAATACCTGTCCAATACTTTTTGATAATCTACCTGATAAACGAAGAAAAAAAATTAGTCATCATCCCTATTACACAACAAATCAAACGGTATCAAAGCCCTTTAAAGAAATCAAACAAATTTTTCATTCAAATGAACACGTTTATTGCTTGAATTATTACAGAGAATTAACAAAGTATACCACAAAATCAAACACAATAAATAAATAAGTTACAAGGAAAACAAACAACGTAGGTACCTACCTATGCCCGCATAAATACAATAGTCACACTAATTATATACTTTGGCAATAACTAAATCTAATAAAGCCATTGATCTATATAAATACATAGCGGTTTAAAAAATGCCAACCACCGAATAATAATATTGTTATAGTATTAAAAAAGCAAATATTGAACATTAAACTGTCGCGGTACTGGGTTATTTAATAATTTGTTATTATCATATATTCAAACTAGCGGCCCGCCCTCGCTTCGCTTCAGTGTAGAGCTGAAGTGTAGACTTACAGTTTTTGTTCTCAGGCTTGTATTGTACACAATGACATTCATCTATGATTCTTCTTATACATGCATGCAATGCCTCAGCCCGATCGGTTTAAAATTGACAAAGTTTCATACAAACTTTCATTCCCTATTTTATCCCCTTGGGGGCAGAATTGATCAAAACCCTTTCTTAGCGGATGCCTACGTCATAACATCTACCTGCATGCCAAATTTCAGCCCGATCCATCCAGTGGTTTGGGCTGTGCGTTGATCACTATGTCAGTCAGTCACCTTTGAGTTTTATATATACAGATATTTTTTATGAAGCAGCACTACGAATCTGGTTGAAGATCAGCGTTTGAAACTAAACACAACGTAATAGAATAATTCCAGCGGCAAAGTTAATAGATCACAGCCGAGTGTTTGTTCGTAGGAAGTTCCTATAACTACATAAATGTGCCGCGGGAGTGCACTAATTATTATATAAATATATTCTCATATTATATACATAACAAATGTACCTGCATATATATAACACATTATAGTCAGACACATTTATCCAGGTTATATTCACAGAACACAAAAAGAAGTTAGAAGGGGCTTGTTGGCGGGGCAGGCGCGTCAAAGTTAAGCCAGAAACATATTAACGTGTCGTGGCGTGACGTGGTGCATCGGTTTCATACATTTATTATGGGTTAGAGAGAGATAGAGAGGTTAAAGCGTCGACACGACACGATACGTAAATATGTATCTAACCATAGTAAATGTATGAAACCGATATGCTTCTGGCGCGCCACGACACGACACGACACGTTAATATGTTTATGGCTATAAGCAGGCGCGGTCGCAGAAATTTTGGAGGGGGTCACTCACTACACTAACATAAAAAAGGTATTTGGAATATAATAAAAATTATTGCACAAGACACAATTTTATATTATGCATTACTAATTATTTTATAAAAGAAATGGAAGTCGTCTTTTTGGTTTTTGCGAATCGGGTGATAATATTTGAGACGTCTGGTACTATTTCCGGGTGAATGTTTAGATGAGCTAAACCAGTTAATCGCTCTTCTAACATGTTAACTGTCAACCACGTTTTTAACTAAGTAGGCAGCCTTTATCTTGAATCTTTACAATAAATCGACAAATTACATTAATTGAATATTGTTATACAATCGTTATCATAACTACGCATATCAATTTTGCTAGGATAACCAAAACTATGTAGTTCGGTTCCTTGTTTCTAAACTAGTACTACTACTAGTACTAGATGTCATTTCCAAGTTATTTTGGCCATCGTACGTAGTTCATAAAAACACCACTAGATGTCAGCAAACTATAAATTTATCGCTGTTAGGAGATAGCTAGAAATTTCCTTTTATTATTTGGCAAATTTTTGAGATTTTTCAATTTGACTTTAGATTTGGGGGGGTCATGTCCCCTGTGACCCCCCCCCCCCCCCGCTCCTTCGGACCGCGCCTGCAGTCATGTGTGAGCAAATGCTCATAACTTAATCAAAACTTTGTTCTGATTTCGTCGTTGCTTTCGGATGTGAGCTGTCGCTGATTGGCTCAATTGTTTGATGTCGCGCCGTTTGATTGGCTATTATCTATTAGGTGGAAGCGTAGTGGGAAGCGAGCAAGTAAAAACGATCTCATTCTGTGTTCTGTGGTTACATTGGTGTTATATTAGAACTTTGAGAATTTGTTAACCAAATTCAAAATTTTTTGTCCTCACTTGCCGTCAAATTCCAGGGTTCGAATAACACTCCCCAACCAAGTGGATTAGTATAACAATTAAAGTTTTTTTTACCGTTAAACTTTTATAAAAACCTTTTAACTCAAAACTGGACTTCTACTGATTTGAAATTAGTGATAAATTGATATTTAATTTAGTAAAATACTTAAAGAATGCAACCTTAGCATATTATATTATCCTATGTCATTAAGTTACCCTACTGATATTGAAACATGGAAATGAACATGGAAATCCTTATTCTTCTGTAAAAAGTCGTTCTTCTGTAAAATTACATATATTATTGCCAGAGGGACTAGTAAGATAAAGTTTATACATAATTATCTTAATCATCATCAGCCTATTAATGTCCCCACTGCTGGGGCACAGGCCTACCCTATGGATGGAATAGGGAGATTGGGCCATGACCCACCACATGGGCCCAGTGCGGATTGGTGGGTGCTAACGACTGCAGACGCAGCCGGGACCAACGGCTTAACGTGGCTTCCGAAGCACGGCGGAGCTCGAGATAGAAAATTTTTGGTCACCCATCCAATGACCGACCACTGTGAAAGTTGCTTAACTTCAACGATTGCAGCCGAAGGCTAACCACTTGCTCCATCGAGCTTCTCACATAGTAAATTATGATATTATAAATATTCCAACTGAAATAAAGAAATTTTAACATCAGTCATGCATTATATATAATCGTAACCTTATGAACACCGTACACAATATACCTATGCTATTTACAAACAAACTTAAATACATTTTTACTAGTAGATTATACGGGGAACGATGACTATGAAAACATTGTTACAAATACACATGTTTACTAACACATATATCGAAAATCATTCAAAGACCTGCAGGTTTGTGATATACGTCTTCAACCGCCATTTCTAACTGTTAAATATTTACCTTACATTTTTTTTCATTATCTCACTTGAAACCATTCAGACGCACAAGGAGTTGCTGCTGATAAATCTTAATCACTAATAGGCGATAAACAAATGTATACAAGTCATAAAATCTATAATTACAACTTTAACATGCCATCAAGGACATCTCAGTCTTTAAGTACCTATTAGCTAATAATATGTAGGACACTATAATAAGTAGTGTTGTGTTCACTACCAGGCCAAGCCGAGGGGACCGCGCAGTGGAAGTAAAGATTGTATTGTCCCAACAAATACTTCAGCTGGGGCTTGGAACACAATAGCTCCTGCGATGTCGCAGGGTTTACTTAACTAACTAAATGACTTACCAAGTTGTATGTAAGTAAAGTCGTCTGTCGCTTTGGTATCTGCCTAAGAAATGGATAGGAAGGGATAGGAAGGCAGATCAATTCCTCTGGACTCTTCTCATCCAACAACCGCGCTTATAGCGATCCAAAGTAGGTTAGCACTCACACAATCAATTTCACAAATCATGTACATTACACAAACAACACTAGGATTCTTATAATTTAAGTTATTACTACAATATTACAATGAGATATCCGGTACAAACAAATCAAAGCCACATATAATCGGCGATGCAATTCGAACATGAACCTCACGAGTTCTCAAGACGCCATTACAGTGACAAAAAAAAAACGTTTTTACCCGCGCACGAAAAATAATTCAAATTATGCGGACACCGCACGGCAGTGAAGTTAGGGATGTGCCGTTTTATTCGTAACATCCCCCCGCCCCGGACCGTTAAGGACGGTACGTCAATCCACGGGTAATCGGGAGAGCCCACTAACTGCTCTCTTCAAAACCGAATCTCTAACCAAAACCTCAGCAACACGAGGAACTCCGTCAGTTCCTGGGTAGAGTTTAACAATGCGCCCCCTTCGCCAACACAAGGGCGGCAGGTTGGCATCCTTAATCAATACAAGGTCGCCAATCTGGGGTGGGGTTGTTTTATCTGTCCACTTCACGCGCTGTTGTAGGATATGCAAATACTCCATCGACCAACGTGCCCAGAAGTTTTGAGACATCTGTTTCAACAGTTGGTACCGCGACAAACGATGGGATCCTACATCCTGAATCGGATATTCAGGCAAAGCCAAAAGGGGCTGTCCGATCAAAAAATGGCCTGGGGTCAACGCTTCCAGGTCATTTGGGTCCGAAGACAACGGGCACAAGGGTCGCGAGTTGAGGACGGCTTCAATTTTACAACACACCGTATCAAGTTCCTCAAACGTTAGAATCGTTTCTCCTATCACGCGACGCAAATGAGTCTTGGCAGACTTTACACAAGCTTCAAAGATCCCTCCCCAGCTTGGACAAGCTGGTGGACTAAACTTCCAGATTATCCCACGCCGGGAGAGGGCGGTTCCAATGTCTATCTTATTATCAACTAGAAACTTAATTACATCCTTAAGATAATTACAAGCTCCCTTATAATTAGTTCCACAATCAGAACGTATCAATGTCGGCAGTCCTCTACGGGAAACAAATCTGCTTAGGGCAGCTATAAAAGCTTCAGTAGACAATTCCGATACAATTTCTAAGTGAACAGCCTTGGTGGATAGACACACAAATACACACAAATAAACCTTATACGTTTTAGCATTACGTAGCCTCGAAGCCTTTACAGGGAAAGGACCGGCGAAGTCGGTAGCGACTCCGGCAAAAGGTCTACATTCCGTGACGCGATCAGCAGGCAAATCTCCCATCTGGGGTTGCATAGTTGCGGCTTTTAATCTATAACATGGTAAACAACGAAAAATGACTGTGCGAATAACTCGACGGGCGGACAGAATCCAGAATTCATGCTGTAAAATGGCCAACAAAGCATTACAGCCAGCGTGCTGCGCCTTCACGTGACGATCGGTTATTATCAAGCGCACCAAGTGTCCATCTTTAGGCATCAAAAGGGGGTGGCGAGCTCCATACGGCAGGTTGGCATTTCGGAGTCTTCCGCCGACTCGTACAAGACCATTCCCATCCAAGAAGGGATTCAGGCGCGACACCGCGCCCTTCAACTTGCGACGACCTGAACGCAAGATCTCAATCTCTGATTTAAAGCTATCAGACTGCACCATTCGGATCCAACACAAAAGAGCTTCTTGACGCTCATCTGGACTGAGAACCGACGAATCACGCTTTGCGCGTGGGTTCTTACAATTGTGCAGAAAACGTTTGATCCAAGCGGTAACACCAAGCAGCTTATCCAAGGAACTGTACCGATTCAACAAAAAATCCTTGTCATCGGCGGGGGAGGTCTCCAGGACGCATGCCCGCATTTCGGGAATGGCAACGTCTGACAACGCTGGAGAAGGCGGCCACTCAGACTCAGACCGCGTCAACCACTGTGGGCCCCACCAGAGAGGATGGCTAACGAGAGTTGAGGCTGCACAACCTCGAGACGCACAGTCGGCGGGATTCATGGTTCCCGGTACATGTCTCCAAATCAAGTCGACTTCCGAACTACAAATCTGTGACACTCGATTGGCAACAAAAACCTCCAATGTGTGCGCCGGAGCCTTCAACCAACAAAGGACGACCTGACTGTCGGTCCACGCAAAAACTCTCTGTATTTCTATCGACCTACCTAATGTGAGCCATACGTGGTTCAACAAACGCATCAAAAGGGCGGCTCCACACAATTCCAACCTCGGGATCGTATGACGAGTCCGAAGGGGAGCGACCTTGCTTTTTGCAATGACTAAATGCACAGAAACCATTCCATCGACAGTGACGGTGCGTAGGTACACAGCTGCCGCAAATCCACGTTCGGAGGCATCACAGAAGCCGTGAAGGCTAATTTTACAATTTTCAGAAGGGAGGAACATCCTCGGCAAACTCACTTCGTTAATCTCGGGGAGGGACGAAACAAAACCTGACCAATCTCGGAGTAGTTCGTCGGAGAGGGGTTCATCCCACGACGCACCCGAAGCCCATAATCGTTGCAGAAAACATTTGGCCATAAACAGCACAGGACAAATCCACCCATTGGGGTCAAAGGTACGCGCGACAGTAGACAACACCAAACGCTTGGTCCAGATTTTCGGTGGCTTCAAATCCACACAATACGTAAATGTGTCAGAGACTGGTCTATATTGCACGCCAAGGACGGTCACCATATGGGGATTATCAACGTTTTCAAATAAATGAGGGTCCTGCTGGTGCTCTTCGGGTAAACCTTCAAGGACCTCCGGCGAGTTGGACAACCATTTCCTCAACTCGTATCCGCCGGACTTCAAAAGAGCAATCAATTCCTCTCGCAAGACCATCGCCTCTGAGACACAGGAGGCGCCAGTGCAAATGTCATCCACATACACATCACTGGTCAAAATGGCTGAGGCGCGAGGATATCTCAAGCGCTCCTTCTCCGCTAATTCCAACAAAGAACGTATCGCAATGAAAGGGCTCGAGGCCAAGCCGTACGTATTCGTGTTCAATTCATAAATCATCATGGGGCTACTAGGACTCTCTCGCCACAAAATCAGCTGATATCTTCTATCCTCGGGATGGATCACCGTCTGTCTAAACATCATCCGGATATCAGTCATAATCACAATTTTATGCCGCCGGAAGTTGGTCAAAATGTCTGAGATCTCCGTGTGCAACTTAGGACCTACATGCAGACACTGGTTCAAAGACGCTCCACTGGAGGAGGAAGCAGATCCGTCAAAGACCACCCGAATTTTTCCGGATTTCAAAACGGCGTGGTGCGGCAAAAAGAAGTGCTCAACTGAGCGATAATCCAAGTCGCTCACGGTCATGTGCCCTAACTCCTCATACTCCCGCATGAAGTCTATGTACTTCTGACGGAAGACCGGATCCTTGCTCATGCGGCGCTCCATGGACACTAGCCTACGTTCCGCTAGTATTCTGGATTCACCCAGAGGAGGTCGGCCGGCACGAAAGGGGAGGCGGGTGATTAAACGACCAGAGCGGAGGCGACCAGTGTTATTCTGGTAAAACAACTCGCATTCTTGCGCTACTGGGTCAACCCGCGGGGCCGGTGGAGGTTCCTCAACCTCCCAAAACTTCTGTAGCACTTCAGAGAGAGACACGTTCAAAGCGACACCGCGATCCTCTTCTGAAGAAACCAAAACGCGGTGCGCAGGACCCATAACAACCGTACCGAGTGTCGTCTGCAGAGCTACCAAACCTCCTGGCTGCAAGACTCGCTTCCCCGTCAACAAAACTCGCCCCAGGACATCGGCTCCAAGGAGAGCATCAATCGGGCCCGGGCGGTAGAACTTAGGGTCGGCGAGAGCTGGGTCAGACACCAAAGACACCAGGGTCGATCCTAAGTCAACTGACGGGTGATGACCAACAACTGTATCCAAAACAATCGCCGAGGCGTCAATACTCTCTTTGGACCCATAACATGAGGTGAACGTGAAGTTAACATACCCTAACAACCCGGGAACTTTCACATCGCCAATACCTCTCACGCCATGCGGATGGGGGTGCACCTTGAGGCCCAACTGCCTAACCAACCAAGATGACACCACACACCCTTGAGCACCGGAATCCAATAAGGCGCGAACTCTCAACCAGTTTCCATTCGATCCCCTAACAAATACAGAGGCCGTGGGCAACAAAACGGTCTCTGGATGGGCGGACTGGGGAGACGATAATTGCTAATATGTGGGGTACCACGGAGCCCTCTCAGACGGAGAGGGTCGCTCAAAACGATTCAGCGGGTCCCATGCCCCCACATATTGCTTGCGTCCAAGTCTCCCAGTGCTTCGATACCGGGGTGCGCGACGCTCTAAACGCGGGTATACCGCGAGCGGCGGTGTAAATCGGTGCTCGTCACCAGCCGCGTTCATCACCCCATAGTCGCGGGGACGCGGTGGTCTATTTTCCTGTGGAGGATCCTTTGGACCCCCGCCCGTGCAAGGTTCAATTCGCGGCGGAGAGCGTCTGGGGCTGTTGCCACTACCACCAGAACTGCTGCGGGAATCATTCATCGCGGGGGGACGTCCCCCGCCCGTACGCGAGGTCCCTACAGTCACTCGCTGAGGTGCTCCACCGGCCTCGCTCTGGTTCATGCAGAGGATGGGGTGGTGCTTGCCCCCACAAAAGCGGCATGAGCGCGCTTGGGTACAATCACGCTGCAGGTGCAGGCCCAAACATGTGTAGCACCAACCCCTCTCCCGCGCGATCTTTCGACGCCCTTGTACTCGCTGGTCGAGTAACTGCTTACAACGGGTCGTGCTGTGACCCGGTTCCCGACATTTCAAACAGCGGGCGGTCTCTTGGACTGCTGCGTATCGGCCAGGTGCGCGTGGTTCAAACCGGCCTGTACGTGGTGCTCGGGGGGACCTATTCTGTGGCACAGGTCGCTCCGACCTAACCGGATCGGACACAGATGAGTTATCTGCCAGCCGACATTCTCCTTCCAGAAACTTAACGAGATCTGAGAAGGGTGGCAGATAAGTTGCACTGTCCCCACCATACTGCTGCTCAAAGCGGACCTTAAGAGCGTCCGGCAGCTTCCTTAAAATAATATGAAGCAACAAAAATGACCATTGCTCCACGGGGAGCTTCAAATTTTTTAAAGCGTTAAACGCTACCAACAGCGGATTCAAAAGCTCAACCCTCAGGTGAGTCACGCTGGAAACTCGTGGTAAGTTCAAAATGGTGGCCACATGGGTGTCCGCCAGACGTCGTACGTTCTGGTACCGACGGGCAATTAACTCCCGAGCAATCGGGTAATTCTCGTCTGTGGGGGCCAGGTGCTGAATTTGTTCAAGGGCCTCCCCCTCCAAAATAGACAACAAATAGGCCAACTTCTGGCCCTGGGTCAAGTCCTCCCGGGCATGGACCAAACTATCGAAAATATTGATAAACCCCTCCCAATCCTCTAGGCGACCAGCAAAACGCCTTAAGTCTAAGGGGGCCAACCTAGCGAAGAGGGGTGCTAGTCCCTTAGTGGGGCTCGAGGACGTCATCGGACCATGTTCTCTTGCCATTTGCAAGGGTCGAGCAAACTCCGTGAGTGTGTCCGCCAAGTCATAACATTGTGCGACATCACTTTCAACCTCCTGTCGCAGCTGGACATCCTCATCGCGAGTCCTTTCCAAAAATAGAGCGTACTGCTCTTCTACTGTAGCCAAACGTACCGGCAGATCCATGTACCTATTCAACAAGGCCTCCCTCCGATCCAGTCTATCGATAAGGGTAACCGCAGTAGCTAACCATCTCAATTCCGAACGAATTCTCGCTTTGTTAGTAGAGGCCGACATTGTTATGTTACTGGTGGTAAACCTTCCCACTACAAGCAGTAAAGGTAACAATAAAATAAAATATATTATAAATTTTCAACAAACAAACAAATTTCTAATTATTTTTATATATATATACATACAAAATTTCCAATGCAAGGTTTAAGTATGAATTATCAACCTGAAATTCTTTATATAATATGTATGTATGCAAAGTTTCCAAAGCACCGTTTAATTATAACTCCTCAACAAACAAACAAATCTCAAGTTATTTATACATACATAAACAAAGTTCAAAAAGGTTCAATTACAAATCAAAAGAATGAACTTTTAATATTCAAATGCTTAAATAATATTATCTGTGACGAACAGACACACTGATTTTTCTTGATATAGCAAAACTAAGATTAATTTTATCTTAATATAGCAAACCAAATAACCTACAAATCTTAAAAGCAAAACATCTATGGTTATCAATTATTCTCAATAACTCAACAAATTAATTACTAAGTTATGACTATCAAAAACTAAATATATCTAAGTTTTAACTTTTGAACATGAGACAATAAGTAAATTCTTATCTCAAATGTAAACAAGAACTATATAACTACACAACAATGACATAAGAGAAATTGCATAAATGTTTTATTCACCTAATGTCAACAAACAAAGAAGTAAAGAAACTTATCAATGTTTTTATGAAAACAATCTAAATTATACAATTTATGCAACCGGAATTAAGTTCTTTACCTCCTTGTCAACAACAACAATATTATACCAGAACCAAATTGCAAACAAAACCTATAAATATGGACAATTGGAACCTGGTACAAAGAGTATCCTTTTCATAAGCGACCAACAAATTCAAAAAATGTTTTAACAATATTCACAAATTTAGCATGGAGCGTGGACCTTCAGGTCAACAAACTACGCTCTGCTACCAGAAACTGTTGTGTTCACTACCAGGCCAAGCCGAGGGGACCGCGCAGTGGAAGTAAAGATTGTATTGTCCCAACAAATACTTCAGCTGGGGCTTGGAACACAATAGCTCCTGCGATGTCGCAGGGTTTACTTAACTAACTAAATGACTTACCAAGTTGTATGTAAGTAAAGTCGTCTGTCGCTTTGGTATCTGCCTAAGAAATGGATAGGAAGGGATAGGAAGGCAGATCAATTCCTCTGGACTCTTCTCATCCAACAACCGCGCTTATAGCGATCCAAAGTAGGTTAGCACTCACACAATCAATTTCACAAATCATGTACATTACACAAACAACACTAGGATTCTTATAATTTAAGTTATTACTACAATATTACAATGAGATATCCGGTACAAACAAATCAAAGCCACATATAATCGGCGATGCAATTCGAACATGAACCTCACGAGTTCTCAAGACGCCATTACAGTGACAAAAAAAAAAAACGTTTTTACCCGCGCACGAAAAATAATTCAAATTATGCGGACACCGCACGGCAGTGAAGTTAGGGATGTGCCGTTTTATTCGTAACAAGTAGTATTCGACCAATGAGGGCTATCGCGTATGAATCCGCCGCTAGAGGCGCTAGTGTAGCGTGAGGTCTCCGAAATGTCAAATGTTATTGCTTGTTGGTTGACTACGCGGGTTTATTTCTAATTAAAATAATGTTGTGAATAATTGGTGACAATTCGGCTTAATTATGGCAAATATGAGTTATGTGGCAATGAATGTCAGTTATTAAAAATTTGAGCTTAGAAAAATTATTATGTTCCCATTTTTTCCAAATAAAACGGAACTGCGCGTCAATGTGGCATGGCCTATTATGTTTAGGATATGGTTCTTTTGTGTTAAAATACGATCTAAATGTAACCTTTGATTTCATGTGCGTATTGATAAACTTTAAAAGTTACAATTTAGGACCTCACTCAACAGTGGCGCCATCTGGTGAGGCAGAAAACGGTAGCCCTCATTGAATGCTAAACTCGTCACATATTATGTTAATAATAACATAAGAAAATGTTACTAGAAAAAATTCCACGCGGACCAGCCAGCAGACGGGGTGTGCCTGGTCCCGTTTTTAATTAGTAATATTTTCTTTAAAATTAAACAATGAGCAGTTACATGCTTAAAAAATAAATTTATCAATTAATAAAATTATGTGATCAATTTGATGTGTATTTTATTACAGCATCTCTTATCTATTAGACAAGTCCGTCCGTCTGTCTGTGGTGCTGTTTCAGCGGCCAAACCGTAAGAGATAGATAAAGAGAATATTTAAGTTATAAGTTAAGAATAGTCTGATAAGACTACAAACCAGATTTGAGTAACGTAGCACTTCCGGTTTTCGAGAAATCAGGTTTTGGTGAACATTTGGTTCACTGGTTTGCTAGTTCTATATTATTTTGTAGAGGTAGTAGATTGGATCTTTAAATTACTTCACAATCATCCATTAATCAATAAACGTCTCTTAAATTAGAAATTAATATTGTTTTATAAACTGTTAGTTTTAAGTACAAGTTAAGTATTTGTAGTTTATCATTTTATAAATACTTTAAGGTACTTATAAAGGAATATGGCGCTTTCAGTTTAGTGATGTTAATTAACTTCTCAAATGTTTTTATTTGTTCAAGCCTCACATATTATAACTTAAATCTCGAATAAATAATAAAGAAAAACTCTCAAATAAATAATCATTTTTAAAATTATCCTTCAATTTATATGTGATGCGAAGTAAATGTAATAAAAGGCCATACAAAAGGAAATGTACTCCTACACAGGAGTTCAACAAAGTTAATTAATTGCTTAACATTAAAACAAAACAAGTCATGTTATAAAATGTCGTAGTGTTAATATTACATAATTGGAGTTATCAAATCTTAATGCTAACGGCGACTGCATCGAAGCACGGCACAACAAGGATTTTCATACAACTAACAATAAATCTTAAGAGTATGACAATAGGGATGATGACCAATTTTTTTTCTTCGTTTATCGGGTAGATTATCAAAAAGTATTGGACACGTATTTTTTCTTTTTTCACATATCATAAGCATTGCAGAGATATATTGATTTGAAAAGTCGCATGACGTCACGTTTGAGTACACTCATAAGGGAAAATTCATTCAAAAGTGACGTCACGAGCCCCTACTCCCAAACTTTGACGCGCTATAGCTTTGTAATTTTTTGGTTGATTGCCCAAAGAAAAAATACGTGTCCATTATTTTTCGATCATCTAACTGACGGACTAAATAGAATTTCGTTTACTGTACCCCGTCATCATCCCTATTATAATTTGAATTCCAATGTTAAATCGTGTGTAAACACAGAATTTTCTTTTTCTACATATGATATTTACAGAGTTTGAGCGTTAATGTGTAAAAATTACTTTCGAATGTTTTCCATACGAAAATCATTTGCTATGCCGGGGCGATAGTGACCGCTAGCCCTTAGCGTTGGGAATGATCAATGAGCTATCATTTTCTGATATCGTTCAGGCGAGGTCAGGATGCGGATGCAGCGTGTGTGCGTATTCCTTGTGTAAGCGTTGCGCAAGCGCAGCGTGCGTGGCCACCCACGCGCACAGCTCGGCGCTGTCGCACTGCACGCGCGGGCGGCGAACACCCTCACTTATACCTCCCCCTCCCCCTCCCCCTCCCCCCGCCCCCGCCCCCGCGCTGCCCCCTCCACTACCCCCGCTGGCCCCGCCCCCGCGCACGCATAGTTCGACGTAGTGCGCGCCGTCGATCGACACCGTGGAGCACGACACCAGGTTGCTGTAAGAAATTAAGGTGGTTGGGGCTCTCGTCCTCTGAAAGCAGACTGACTTATTAAACTACCGCGACGTTAATGACCGAGGCGAATTTTTTCTAGTATTTTTAGGCCATTTAGGTCGTGGGAGCATAACTGGTCAGTGCATCCCGCTCGAATAGCGAAAGGTGTGGGTTCGTGTCCCGTCTGTTTCCTATACAGTTTTAAACATTTTGCTTTGATTTAAATTGAAAAATTCGAAATATAATTGAACTTTATTCTCTACTGTGGTGCAAAATAAAATATTTAACAACTGTTTTCTTGACTTAAACTCCACGGAAACTGATACTCTTACCACTATGTAAATTTAACGTCTTCGTTTTTCTCCCGGATTTTGAGCATAGCATATGATAATCAAGTGCAGCAGATTAAAAGCCCTTTTACAAAATCGCGTCGCTGCCGTACTGATCGGCGCGTAGGTAGATTTGTACTAGTATATATTGCATTTTACGGGTGATATTTCGAGTCTTATAAAATAATTATTAATGAATTTACTATAAAAATATATACATATTTCAGTAGTTCAATGATGGTAGATTAATTTTATGAAAGTTTTTGATACTAATTCTTTTAATTCAATAACAAAGTACGAGGTAAATCTGTATTATTTTTTGGAAAAACTTACGGAGGTTTGATGTTATTTTGATAAATTAATGAGTTGAAAAATCAAAATTTTAATACATTCTGTTACAACAAAAACATATTTCTGACGTCGTAGCAATTAATTTGATGTAATTTATTGAACATTATTTAGAGATTCAGGCGTTTGAAGTTGTGCATATTATTGTATTTTCCGTAAACTAGCTGCGGTAGAACTATCAATACAAAAAAAGGAAAATGGTAATTGCAAATATTCTACATTAATTTACAAAAGGAAGAATGAATGTACTGTCTACTTTTATTGGAAATAGTCAAAATCTTTTCTAAGGGGGTAAACGAGGCGCTCAAAAATTACGATTTTTGCAAAAAAATGGGTGCGTGTACTTATGTAGGCGCGTGAGAAGTTATCCTTCTTTGGCATCGTTTAATATTAGTTTTAAATTGCATGCAAATAATTAATTACAATTAATTAATAAAAAGTCTGGAAAAGGACACAGTCAATAAAGTTCAGTTTTAATTTGAAAAAATAAATAAATAATCAAAATATTCAATTAAAATCGCTACTGAATATAATTTATTAGAACATATGTGATTTGCACTTGTATGAAACTCAAACACGTATTCCGAATATACAAACTAGAAACATGTGGATAAATATTATAAATATGAATACCTATAACTGTTACTTTATTACAAAAAATAAAGATGTGGTTTTTGGTTCTACTACACCAATGGTCAAGAGATGGCGCTGTAGTCTCCTGAATCGCGCTTTGGTTCCGTTGTTCCAGATTAATAAATACTTTTGATAGGCCTTCACAATGCAGTCGTTAGCACCCACTAAATAGAGATTCTATTTCTATTTTGTTGGTAGATTTTCTAATGTGCGGTAAACACAAAAGTAACAGCATGAAGTTGGTCGCTCCAACTTCATGCTGTTAAAATTTTGTGTTACAGTGATGCGCGCGCATCTTAAAATTTCACTCTCATCATTTTTTCATAACGCGCCTAAAGAAGTATAACTTCAAAAATGTGAAAGGGCTTTTAACACATGGGGACGCGTGCAGCGGCTGCGGGGGTCACCGACCTGAGCGGCGTCTCCATGACGACGTGCGGCGCGGGCGCGGGCGCGGGCGCGGCGTGCTTGCAGGTGAGGATGCGCAGGCAGGCGTCGGACAGCAGCGCGCGGATGTCGTGCGGCTGGTCGCGCACGGGGCGGTAGGCAGGAACCAGCGCGTGCAGCGGCTGCGGGGGTCACCGACCTGAGCGGCGTCTCCATGACGACGTGCGGCGCGGGCGCGGGCGCGGGCGCGGGCGCGGCGTGCTTGCAGGTGAGGATGCGCAGGCAGGCGTCGGACAGCAGCGCGCGGATGTCGTGCGGCTGGTCGCGCACGGGGCGGTAGGCCAGGAACAGCTCGCGGCCGCCGGCCAGCGCGTGCAGCAGCTGCAGCCCGTCCGCAGCGGAGGCGCTGTACCGCGGCAGCAGGCCTCCCGCGCCACCCGCCACCCGGGGCGGACGCACGCGACCCGGCACCCACTTGTCTGACCTGCGATATGACACATGGATCGTTGACGACGGCCGTGCAGCGTGAGACATGAAACGTGGATTGGCTGTGCAGCGATCGAAGAAAAAACGTGCCGAGGCCTACTTTAAAGGGGCAGGGCATCGAGCGACGGAAAAATAGTCGCATGATGAACCGCCAATCAAAAAGCACACTTTAAAAACGGACACGTGGGGTATGCGTATTAAAGTGGGTGCTGTGATTAGTCCGGACTAGATGACTCCAGACGGTCGGGTCAAATCTCTTATTTAAAAGACAAGTCCGTCCGTCCGTGGTGCTGTTTCAGCGGCCAAACCGTAAGAGATAGATAAAGAGAATGTTTAAGTTATAAGTTAAGAATAGTCTGATAAGACTACAAACCGGATTTGAGTAACGTAGCACTTCCGATTTTCGAGAAATCACGTAATTTCTATTTCAAACGAAACCACACAAAATCTCCGAAGCTCTCAATTAATTAAATACATTTTTTTTTTTGGTGAACATTTGGTTCACTGGTTTGCTAGTTAGTATATAAGACGAGACATTTGTAAGGCAAATTGAAGTCAGCCAGGAACAATCAGCATTTTGAATCCGGAAACCTACATACAGTCCACACCAGGGATCCTAAGACCGAAGATCTTCATCACCTTCACATCATCATCATTATCACCTTCATCATCATCATCACTTGCATCACTTTCATCACCGACGTCACAGTATGACGACAGTACAGTATATACCTCCTGCTGGTGTCCCGGAGAGCGGACGCGGTCTCGGCGGCGAGGTCGAGGACCCCGATGACGGGCTTGGTGACGGTGCCCACCAGGCCCTTGCCAGCCGGCCAGTATGACGACAGTACAGTATATACCTCCTGCTGGTGTCCCGGAGAGCGGACGCGGTCTCGGCGGCGAGGTCGAGGACCCCGATGACGGGCTTGGTGACGGTGCCCACCAGGCCCTTGCCCACTCCGGCCAGGAACCCCGGCAGCCCTTCAGCTGCCGCACCCTCGTAGCTGTGCTTCACCAGCGAGGTCACACCGCCTGGTGAAATATGATATCATCACTCTTAATCGGGATTTTGCTGTGTTAACTTAAATCATGCAAGAACAACAAAGATGAAAATCAAATATATTTTTTATATAATTTCATAATTTTAATACTTGTTTAAAAAGAATCTAAACTGAGTCAATAGGCTAGTTGCCTATATTTTAAATAGTGGTTAATAAAATACCTTGATGTTTATTTAACCTCAAAAAAATATTATTTTAAATAAAAAAGTACATTAGCAATATGTATTTTGTATTTTAAAAAACTTATTCAAATTTCCCTCGAAAACGCTCTAGACTGTCATGGCGTCTAGAATGACGTCACGCCGTGCAAAGCAAACAATACGCTGTACGCCGACTATTAAAATTATTTAGTTAAAAATGAATCCATCGTATTACAAGTACTGCATAGTGTCCTAGTATAAAAGGAGAAGCATAAAACGCCAGACAAATTATTTATATGCCACAAATGCGGAAAAAATGCTTAGAACTTACAAGGAGGGATGGTACCTATTCATTGTTTATCAACAAATACAAGAATAATTTTGTGATGAACATTTTGATGTAAGTATTTTGCATAACATAATCAATGAAATCAAAATGTTATACAAGCCGGATAAATTATATTGCATTATATTGATAAAACAATGACAATAGGTTGAGGTTAGGTAAGTTGATTTAATTTTATGGTATGATTTAGAGTCTATTTGAGAATTCAGTATATTTATTCATAATAATAAACACTTCTTATTCTTGTTCTAGTTGCCAAATGATATGCTTAATTATGTCGAGTAGTTATGCGATATTTTTTTTATTTTGGTTAAAATATTATTATTTTTTCCATGGATTTAATAGCCTTCCTTTCAATAATTATCTGAAAACAAACTGATAAATTGTATCAAAGTAACAATAACATGAATGAGAAATCAATGAAATGTATGGAAACGGCAACCACAAGTAATGTTTTGCACGTGGTGACGTCAGTCTTTCTGATTGGTGTTTGCCGTCACGTGATCTAATGCCTATTTTATTCGAATTTATTTTCTAAAAATAATAATCATCTTTAATTATTATGATAAATAGCTTTATTTTTTGTTATCTGTATATTATAATTCATATTTAGAAACTGTAACCCATTCGATTTATTGTTAGTTGACACAAGCCTATTGATTGATCTTATAAAGTCAGTAATTGTACTGAATGTTATCTATACTGCTTGGTAAAAAAGAAATGAAGCTGCATAAAGGCCCACATTTAGAGCATAGCCGGAAATTACAATCAGACATTTATCAGGAAAAGTAGAGTTCATATGGAGTAGACTCCACCCCCAAATTTCAAAACTTTAACTACTATTTATGCGATTAAATCTAATGCTGTTTCTTTTTATTAAATAAAGGTAGAGGAATTATTTTTAGAACGTGTTTAATTTAAGTAAACTTTTTTGTTTCTTAGATTTTCACGCACATCACTCATTATATAAAACTAGTTTTAACAGGTTAATGCACAAACTTTATTTATTTATTGACGTTTCGCAGCCTTTTCAGGTCTGCATCGTAAGAATAATTTTATTCTGACGATGCAGACCGGAAAAGGCTGCAATTAATTACTAACCCGTTAAGTAAACTTATTAAAATAAATATTGGTTACAATATCATATATGTTACCGGCAATCTGTATAATCTGACATTCTATATAATACCAAGGCAATGTTTAGAAAATCTAAAACGTCAAGGCAATGTAAATCAAAAATACAGTTCAGTAACGATGGCTTTGTATGGCTTCTACCGCCCCTTACAGCTCTCGCGGTTGCTCCTCGCAGTCTGGCACCCTGGGCCGTGACCCCTTTTGACTCTAGGGTAAATACGCTCCTAGCTGTATGATCGCTTCTCATATCTCTTTTAGAGAAAATCCCACCTTTGCTATGTATTTGACTGTTTTGAACTGTATGATATAACTAGCGCCCCGCCCTCGCTTCGCTTTGGTGTAGAGCTGAAGTGTAGACTACAGTTTTTGTTCTCAGGCTTGTATTATACACAATGATATTCATCTATGATTCTTCTTATACCTGCATGCAAAGTCTTAACCCGATCGGTTTAAAATTGACAAAGTTTCATACTAACTTTCATTCCCTATTTTATCCCCTTGGGGGTAGAATTGATCAAAATCCTTTCTTAGCGGATGCCTACGTCATAACATCTACCTGCTTGCCAAATTTCAGCCCGATCCGTCCAGTGGTTTGGGCTGTGCGTTGATAGATCACTATGTCAATCAGTCACCTTTAGTTTTATAAATATAGATAGGGAGAACTTAATTATTGTAGATAGTGAGTGAGTGAGTATACCGAGGATGCCGAGCCCGAGCCCCCGGAAGCCGGCGGCGAGGTGCGCTCCGGGCGCCGCGCTCCGGATCCGGCGCCGCGTCTGACACTATGATCATAGGTAGTGAGTGAGTGAGTATACCGAGGATGCCGAGCCCGAGCCCCCGGAAGCCGGCGGCGAGGTGCGCTCCGGGCGCCGCGCTCCGGATCCGGCGCCGCGTCTGACACTATGATCATAGGTAGTGAGTGAGTGAGTATACCGAGGATGCCGAGCCCGAGCCCCCGGAAGCCGGCGGCGAGGTGCGCTCCGGGCGCCGCGCTCCGGATCCGGCGCCGCGTCTGACACTATGATCATAGGTAGTGAGTGAGTGAGTATACCGAGGATGCCGAGCCCGAGCCCCCGGAAGCCGGCGGCGAGGTGCGCTCCGGGCGCCGCGCTCCGGATCCGGCGCCGCGTCTGACACTATGATCATAGGTAGTGAGTGAGTGAGTATACCGAGGATGCCGAGCCCGAGCCCCCGGAAGCCGGCGGCGAGGTGCGCTCCGGGCGCCGCGCTCCGGATCCGGCGCCGCGTCTGACACTATGATCATAGGTAGTGAGTGAGTGAGTATACCGAGGATGCCGAGCCCGAGCCCCCGGAAGCCGGCGGCGAGGTGCGCTCCGGGCGCCGCGCTCCGGATCCGGCGCCGCGTCTGACACTATGATCATAGGTAGTGAGTGAGTGAGTATACCGAGGATGCCGAGCCCGAGCCCCCGGAAGCCGGCGGCGAGGTGCGCTCCGGGCGCCGCGCTCCGGATCCGGCGCCGCGTCTGACACTATGATCATAGGTAGTGAGTGAGTGAGTATACCGAGGATGCCGAGCCCGAGCCCCCGGAAGCCGGCGGCGAGGTGCGCTCCGGGCGCCGCGCTCCGGATCCGGCGCCGCGTCTGACACTATGATCATAGGTAGTGAGTGAGTGAGTATACCGAGGATGCCGAGCCCGAGCCCCCGGAAGCCGGCGGCGAGGTGCGCTCCGGGCGCCGCGCTCCGGATCCGGCGCCGCGTCTGACACTATGATCATAGGTAGTGAGTGAGTGAGTATACCGAGGATGCCGAGCCCGAGCCCCCGGAAGCCGGCGGCGAGGTGCGCTCCGGGCGCCGCGCTCCGGATCCGGCGCCGCGTCTGACACTATGATCATAGGTAGTGAGTGAGTGAGTATACCGAGGATGCCGAGCCCGAGCCCCCGGAAGCCGGCGGCGAGGTGCGCTCCGGGCGCCGCGCTCCGGATCCGGCGCCGCGTCTGACACTATGATCATAGGTAGTGAGTGAGTGAGTATACCGAGGATGCCGAGCCCGAGCCCCCGGAAGCCGGCGGCGAGGTGCGCTCCGGGCGCCGCGCTCCGGATCCGGCGCCGCGTCTGACACTATGATCATAGGTAGTGAGTGAGTGAGTATACCGAGGATGCCGAGCCCGAGCCCCCGGAAGCCGGCGGCGAGGTGCGCTCCGGGCGCCGCGCTCCGGATCCGGCGCCGCGTCTGACACTATGATCATAGGTAGTGAGTGAGTGAGTATACCGAGGATGCCGAGCCCGAGCCCCCGGAAGCCGGCGGCGAGGTGCGCTCCGGGCGCCGCGCTCCGGATCCGGCGCCGCGTCTGACACTATGATCATAGGTAGTGAGTGAGTGAGTATACCGAGGATGCCGAGCCCGAGCCCCCGGAAGCCGGCGGCGAGGTGCGCTCCGGGCGCCGCGCTCCGGATCCGGCGCCGCGTCTGACACTATGATCATAGGTAGTGAGTGAGTGAGTATACCGAGGATGCCGAGCCCGAGCCCCCGGAAGCCGGCGGCGAGGTGCGCTCCGGGCGCCGCGCTCCGGATCCGGCGCCGCGTCTGACACTATGATCATAGGTAGTGAGTGAGTGAGTATACCGAGGATGCCGAGCCCGAGCCCCCGGAAGCCGGCGGCGAGGTGCGCTCCGGGCGCCGCGCTCCGGATCCGGCGCCGCGTCTGACACTATGATCATAGGTAGTGAGTGAGTGAGTATACCGAGGATGCCGAGCCCGAGCCCCCGGAAGCCGGCGGCGAGGTGCGCTCCGGGCGCCGCGCTCCGGATCCGGCGCCGCGTCTGACACTATGATCATAGGTAGTGAGTGAGTGAGTATACCGAGGATGCCGAGCCCGAGCCCCCGGAAGCCGGCGGCGAGGTGCGCTCCGGGCGCCGCGCTCCTGATCCGGCGCCGCGTCTCCTCGTGCGCCTCGTCCGATACCACGCGCTCCAGCCCGTCACCCAGCGACTCTGACCATAAACAACAATAGCATAATAACAAAGAAGAACGAGCCACTCATTTCAGGAGAAATAATAATAGGTAAAAGAATAAGGAGGTTGTACTGAAAAAAATAAATAAATAAAATTTAAGTTATTTTAAAATAAATAACTTTATGGAAGCAAAAGTAGTATTAATACAACAATAAGGCACAAAAATACCTCAAATTCATTGTAATGCGATCCATTTGTACAATTTGAAAACACTCCATTAAGAATATTTCATGCCATCACGTTTACAATATCCTGAAATAACTGAATATTATGCATTCTGCTTGTATAATATTAACGAGTCTAAACAGATCGGCACAACACACCTGTAACCTTGGCCGCAGAGTTGGAGAGGCCATGGGTCACGTTCTGCAGCAGCGCGGCCACGTTGCCCTCCAGCAGTAGGCCGGTGACGCCCTCAGACACGTCAGCCACGAACCCCAGCGGGTTCCCCAGGAAGTCCACTGAGCCCAGGATCTTTGCCGCCTGCCACTTCAGCTCCTATAAAGTTTGCGAGTTATAAAAAATGCTGAGAAAAGAGAGCAAAGCAGGTCTAACCTTCAATTTTAAAGCAAGAAACTAGCCTAAATGCTGCTGATCGCATTGATGAAATTCGATCTCGTAGGAAAATAACTTCAAATGTTTATAGCTCTTATCATAATATTATCCGATTGGCTAGCAAATTAACAGTGATAATATAACTTCAGCTCTTAAATACCCACAAAAAAGCAAAGCTCCTAAAAATACTTCAAGATCGTTGTAAAAGAAAGAACGGCAGATCTTTGCTTGTATTTAAGTGCAGACTTGACAAAAGACTATAGTAAATTAATATTCCTGCAGTGGATATGGTTGACAAATTCCATAATTACGAGAAATATCTTAAAACTTCAACATCCTTAATTTTATTTAGGATTTTACGAGCATAGAGTAAAAGTTTAAAAATGATTCCATTGGTTAAAGAGGAAAGGGACTTAAAGAAGCTGTTACTCCCACAAAATTCGAATGAACGCCAGTCCTTTTATATTTACAAGCGATAGAACTTTTTCAAACGAAAGGCATCTCAATGGCAGTGAAGTTGTACTCACGTCCTTGAAGTGCGCCAGCAGCTGCGCGGCCAGCTGCGGCGCGGGCTCGAAGGCGTGCGCGCGCACGAAGGGCTCCAGCTCTACGGCGGCGTCCTCTCACCAATGGCAGCGAGGATGCAGTGGGGCAGTACTCACGTCCTTGAAGTGCGCCAGCAGCTGCGCGGCCAGCTGCGGCGCGGGCTCGAAGGCGTGCGCGCGCACGAAGGGGGGCGTCCTCTCACCAATGGCAGCGAGGATGCAGTGGGGCAGTACTCACGTCCTTGAAGTGCGCCAGCAGCTGCGCGGCCAGCTGCGGCGCGGGCTCGAAGGCGTGCGCGCGCACGAAGGGCTCCAGCTCTACGGCGGCGTCCTCGAACCGGATCAGCGTGAGCCCCAGGCGCCGCTTCAATGCGCTCAGCTCGCCCTCCAGCTTGCTCGCCGTCGTCATCGACAGCCGGATCTGGCGTAACGTAAGGTTAAGGCAAAAATTCTTTGCACTCTACAATTAAATAAGTAATAAAACAAATAGTGTTGGAAATATTTATTTATTTATTAAGGTTAAAAAGATATTAGGAGTAAGCGGCGGTAGATATAAATTTTTTGGAGTATAAGTGGTATAGAGTTTAATGTTTTATTTTATAAGAAATAGTCTAGGTATGCTGTTATCGACTAGGTGAACGTCGAAGACACATTGTATAGAACACGTAAAATAATTTAATGTAACCCAAAAATTGTAGGGAAATAAAAGAAAAAGACTACAAACAAGTTCATTAGTATACATTTGTTAATAAAAGTAGCACGTCTAGGGCGATTCAAACTTTATAGCAGCAATGAAGTTAGCAGCGAGTAAAACTATATGCAGATTTCAGTTCGGAGAATTCGAGTCCGCTCGCCCCCTTTATCGTACTACAATTCGTTTACTGTGCCGTAACTTGTGCTAACTTCACAGCCGTTATAAGCTTTGAATGACAGTGTAACACTGACCTGGCTGGGCATGACCTTGATGAGTCCGAAGTAGTATCTAGTAGCAGCCAGTGCAGTGAGATCACTGAGCGATCTCCTGGCCGCCCCCTCCGCCTCGTCGGCGCCCTCATCCCCCTCCCCTTCCTGTCCTTCAGCACCACCGCTAGCCCACAGCCACAGCAGAAGGATCAACCTGTGCCAATGGAATTCGAGTAAACCACTAAGAGCTGGTTTCCACTTGTCGGTATATTAATCGGATGTCGGTGCCTTTGTTCACACACACGATTAATAAATCGGTTGTCGGTCACGGTTAAAGCTTTAACCAATTTTAGGCACTCTACGCGAGGCGACGATTCACGATGGACGTTGACGAAGTAGTTGTTGTGTTAAATTATTATTTAAGAAAACAACGAGGAAAGACAGGGAAGGAAAGAAAATATTGGGTGCACCCAATCCTGAAGGGAATATTTAGTTTGGGAACATTTCAGAACTTAATAACTGAATTGAGAAGTGACGAAATTAAGTTTTTCTATTATTTTAGAACTAGCAAACCAGTGAACCAAATGTTCACCTAAACCTGATTTAAAAAAAAAAATGAGAAATTGAAAGTGTGGTTTCGTTTGAAATTCGTGATTTCTCGAAAACCGGAAGTGCTACGTTACTCAAATCCGGTTTGTAGTCTTATCAGACTATTCTTAACTTATAACTTAATCATTCTCTTTATCTATCTCTTACGGTTTGGTCGCTGAAACAGCACCACAGACAGACGGACGGACGGACGGACTTGTCTAATATATAAGAGATGTCGATAAGTACATTCAACCATCTATTGGCTCAAATATCAGTGAGCATAAACTACCAAAATACAATGCGGGAAGAGGGTTATCGGCCCCGACATCCGACAAATGTGAACAGCGCCATTCTTAATCATAGGCGAGCGAGATCCGACACGATTTTTTCCCGGGCGTAGAGGGCTGGCAAAACACCCGACATTTCTCGTCGGAGCCGATACAAAATCGGTTTCCGGTAAGTGTGAATAGCTTCATATAAAATGCTCTGCCACTGGAACCTCCGATTAACATACGGATCCGACACCCGATACAATACAATACAATACAAAACGCTTTATTGTACACCACAGAAAACATTACATTTAGTACAAAACAAATTAAAACTAGTGTATCAATGGGCGGCCTTATCGCTAAGAGCGATCTCTTCCAGGCAACCTTTGGATGGAGAGGACTAGAAGGAAGTTGGAGAGAAGGCGGTGTAAATCACTTGAGTGAAATAGGTAATAATATATACATACATATTAATAAAAATATACAATATATATACTCTTATATAAAATAAATAGATACATACACAACAATAAACAAATCTAGTTCAGTAGGTAGTAATCACAAAAAAGAATATAATCGAAAGTTTTATAAGGACAGATAATAGGACTTAACAAGGTTTTTAAAAGCGTGATTGGATTCCGCACGTCTGATGGTAAGTGGGAGAGAGTTCCACAGATGTACGGCACGTACTGCAAACGAACGGCTATAAAAAGATGTGCCGTGTACAGGAGTCATGAGAGTAAGATTTTCTGATGACCTAAGGGATAACGTGTTAGAAGTATGAAGGAAATTAAAACATAAGATAAGTGGGAACGAGTAGTAAGTGTTAATGAACGGAGTCGAGTACGCACGTATTCGGGTAGATTTCGTTTTGTTTACCCGACCATCGTCTTCCAGCCCGTCTCCCAGTGTGAATATTGCTTCGGGTGTCCGCATTCAAGTAATGTCTTACGTGCACCCGTATACGGGGTAACGATCGAATGTAATTGCGGCATAAAAGATAACGACAATCTGGGTCCGTTACTAGAAGTCTTAGTAACAAAATTATCTTGGCAGCAAAGCTTAAGTAGGCCTACCTTTTACTGGAGTTTGATTTTAATAGATTATCTGTGTTTACCTACATTCTATTGTGAGCATAAAAATTCAAATGTTATATTTTAGTCCTTATTTTAATTTTTTGGTAAAATTTAGTATTGGTCTATTATAATATTGATAAAAATGGACTCGGAAATACTTTTTTGTTTTGAAATTACCTTCGTTGGATTGTAAATTGTGTATATTTTTGTCTCATTTTAATTTTCCTCTCTAGTAATAATACAGTTTGTTTTAATTTATACATTGATAGGAACACTGTTTCATATTATACGGGAATGGGCGTTTTTTGTAAAACTAAAAAAGATTTAACGATTCATAATTTTATGTACATTGCACTTGTTCCAAATAAAGTTATTATTATTATTGATACTCGCCGTTAACGATACCGTTATCGTACAAGCTGTCACTGTGAGCAGAGCAAACCAATTAATGACTTCGTTATTGCGTAAAGATATAGTGTTTATAAGTATTAACACGGGACTCTAAATCGTTTTTTGAGTGGTTAGAGTCGACTTTTGTATGAAGAAGTTTAACCATAGACTAATTAGGATAAATTTTCTATCTCCAGAGCCGAAAATTTATCGTCTACTGTGTGTAGGTTTTTTTTTCATTGAAAATGTGGATTTTTTTAAATTGAATTGAGGTTTCGTGTGTGTAATTTTTCTTTTTTTAGAGGTAAGTGCATTTTTATAGGAAGTATTACAAAGTGTGTTATTCTGCTTATAAAACACCTTTATAGATAATTGGATGTATGAAATATTTTGTGATAATAATGATTTTCAAGTTCAAATCTTTCAAACTTTGTGAGCTTGTTTCCAAGTGATTTGTGATGATTGAATTTCGGAAATACAAAGGAGTATTTACAATATTAATAGTAATTTCTAATAATAATAACGAAATAGCTGTGTACAGTGGATCAAAATTGGCGTATCGTCTGTCAAGTATTTATTCGTAATTACAGGCGTAACCTACTTTCAGTCGATTAGAACCTCTTTTCGTAGGCATATTGGATAGATAGGGAATGTATCGATATTTACAAGATAAAATAATGTATTGCATTTTAGTACGAATTTATGTTTAGCTAATGGGGTATTTGAAAAGTTTTAGAAAACGATCTCACGTTAATGACTAATGTTTATGGACTCCGTAAAAATTGGATATTCATCATTCTGTTGTGTATTTCAGTAAAAATAACCAAATTAAAAACTCCATTTTCAAGTTGCCGCGAAAACGTTTCTCTGACAATATGGCGTCTTACTAGTGTGTGACGTCACACGACTGTTATTAAAACGTCAAACGATACAATGTAATGTCACTTTAACCGGAAGTTTACTTGCGTGTGACGTCATTTTAGGCTCCGCCAATCCCAAGTGTTTTGGGTTACGTGACAATAGATAAGAAAACTATTATCTTTTTCGTAGGTTTTTAGTAAAATTATGAATATTATTTTTGTAAAAATAGTAAACACTCCTGCCAATATTCATTCTAAACACAGATGCTAACAATTGGCACTTTATTTTTAATACTGTCAAATACCCTATTCATTATAACTATTTCATTGTGGTAGTTTTACATATAACATACATATAAATTCATACCTCTCCTCGAGTCTAACGGCGAGTGGCCGCAGCACGACGACCAAATGCTTGAAGAACACGGCGTTGTACCGTCTGTGGCGGGTGCGCTCCACCTCCAGCGACATGTGGAGTGCGGGCAACGACTCGCCTCCAGACCCAGCTCCACCCCCTCGATCTGGCAGGCAGTATAGTAAAACGGGGGACGATGTGCCCAGCAGCTGTATAAAAAAGAGAAAGATAAGCGTTACAAATCCACCTCTGCCAAAATAATGCTGTTTTTTTTAAGTAAGCTTTTTCAAGGTATTAAAATCATTTTAATATTTCTTTTATTTAATTTCTTCCATGATACAAAAACTTAATGACACTTGTTTAAATAAGAATAAAATACAAAACATCATCTTATCAGATTTAAATTTGAAAATGCAAGTGCAATAGGAATAAACAGGCCGCAGGCTGAGGCCGGCCAGCACGCAGTGCAGCAGCTCGGCGTGGGGCGCGCGGGCCACGAGCGACAGCCCCGGCCGGCCAGCGAGCGCGGGGTCACTGACCTGGTTGTCCCACTGCATGTGGCGCACGGTGAGCGCCAGCGCGCAGTGGTCGGCGAGCGCGGCCCGCAGGCTGAGGCCGGCCAGCACGCAGTGCAGCAGCTCGGCGTGGGGCGCGCGGGCCACGAGCGACAGCCCCGGCCGGCCAGCGAGCGCGGGGTCACTGACCTGGTTGTCCCACTGCATGTGGCGCACGGTGAGCGCCAGCGCGCAGTGGTCGGCGAGCGCGGCCCGCAGGCTGAGGCCGGCCAGCACGCAGTGCAGCAGCTCGGCGTGGGGCGCGCGGGCCACGAGCGACAGCCCCGGCCGGCCAGCGAGCGCGGGGTCACTGACCTGGTTGTCCCACTGCATGTGGCGCACGGTGAGCGCCAGCGCGCAGTGGTCGGCGAGCGCGGCCCGCAGGCTGAGGCCGGCCAGCACGCAGTGCAGCAGCTCGGCGTGGGGCGCGCGGGCCACGAGCGACAGCCCCAGCCCCCCCAGTGACACCACCACCTCCCACTCGCGCCGACCCCGCCTCGTCTCCACCTCCTCCTCCTCCTCGTCCTTCTCTATCCAGTTCAGTTCCTGCAAGTATACCGACTTATTATAATTCAACTACACATAACATTGTATTTTACGCATAATCATCGCGGAAGATTTAAAAAAAATACATGAATTATTCCATCGAAGAGTTAGTGAACCCCAAAAACTTTGCCCTGCCCGTTAAATATCATACAAAATCCTAAAAGCTACCTAAAAGTCAAGTAAAACTTTTTTAAAATATAAAAAATAAATGAAATTAGTTAATCGTTTTCAAGTTAAAGCGTGATCAAGAAAAATCGGGTTCCACTTTTATTAATATACTAGCTGACCCAGCGAACTTCGTACCGCCATAAAAATATAGGGGTTGGTGGTAGAAAGTTGAAAATTTAGGGATGTATGATGTATCATAAAAAAATTGAAAAAAAAAATTTTTGGGTTGGATTACCCTTGACATTTAGGGGGATGAAAAATAGATTACATCCGATTCTCAGACCTACTGAATATGCATATAAAATTTCACGAAAATCGGTCGAGCCGTTTCGGAGGAGTTTAACCGCAAACACGACGAAGATTTTATATATTAGACTAGCAAACCCAGCGAACTCCGTTTCGCCACCAGATTTATGTAACGTTTCATTTTGTGATTAAAAGAAAACGATTTTTTTTTTTAATTTTTCCTGAATTTTCTTTGCTATAAACCTCACGGAGCCCGAGACCTTTCCAACGAATGCAAAACCGTGGAAATCGGTTCGTGCGTTCTGGAGTTATAGCGTCAGGAAGGAAAACCCGACTTATTTTTATATAGTAGACTAGCAAACCCGGCGAACACCGTTTCGCCACCAGATGGCTTCGTTTTATGTAACATTTCGTTTGGTGATTAAAAGAAGTTTTTTTTTTTAATTTTTCCTGAATTTTCTTTGCTATAAACCTCACGGAGTCCGAGACCTTTCCAACGAATGCAAAACCGTGGAAATCGGTTCGTGCGTTCTGGAGTTATAGCGTCAGGAAGGAAAACCCGACTTATTTTTATATAGTAGATAGATGATTCGCCCGCTGGTAACGCATACGGACCGGCGCCTCCGCGTCGCGCACGCTGATGACGCGCGTGGGCCCCTGCGCGTGCAGCGACACGGCCAGCCGCCCCGAGCCCGGCCGCAGCGTCGGCCACGACACCAGCTGCGTGCGCGCGCCGCGCTCGCGGTCAGCCACCGCCTGGTACCCGAAAATAAACAATGTTAGGGGCCGTCCATTAATCACGTGAGGTTTTTGACGTGACAACGTCTTAAATTAGGTTGCGGCTGGGAGTCACTTATGAAAAAGTGTAACGCTCGGTAACGTTACGATGAGTCTCTCGTGTTAAGTTTAAGTTTACATGTACAATGTTTTAGTAAACAAAATATATTTCTATAGTTAAAATTTGTGCAATTCTTATTTTCATTCAATTCCTTGTTCCTATTGTGCAATTTAATTATATTCATATCAATAAATATTCTACCGAGAAAAAGACGTTGTCACGTAAAATCTTCGCCCGTAAAACCGACTTTACAGGCAACCATTTTTATTTTTGGGGAAATGTCATAGAACTTTTTTTTTGGTGTTTTTTAACCTCCCCTCCCCCTTGGTGATACATGGTGAGGTTTAAGACTATACCCCCCCCCCCGCACACACACACATCACGTGTTTATTTTATATATTTTTATTTTGTTTAAAATAATTTTATAAAATACAGGTATTATCAAGGTTGCAGTTTGTTATTGACAGACATCTTATACATGAACATTATTTAATGCACAGTATCCTTGGACCACGGAAATACACGTGGTATATTACTACACCCCCGCACACCCTCCTCCCCTGTGATATTTCGTGATTTTTTGTGATCCCTTCCTTCCTATTTCGAGCCTCACGTGATTAATGGACAGCCCCTTATATGCCGTTTTCGTATACATAGTAGTCGTAATAATAAACACAACGACAAGAGTAGGTAAAATTTTGTTATCGCCTTCCTATTCGACTAAAGACAAGAGATATGAGTAAAGGATAGAGTGGGTGAAGATCATAGCGCACTAGACCAACACCGCCTCGCTGCCCATTGGTGGACACCGCGTGCCAGCCGGTCGCGAGACCTTCCACCCGCCACTAAAGCGAACGAGATAGAATGTCACGTTTGACGCTTGCGAGCAAAGCGCGGTGACGGTACGGAGTTGGTGTAGTGAGCGTATCCCCATAGAAATCCATACAAGGAATATTAGCCGCGCGCGCCGAGACGGTGCTGATCGGGTGCCAAGTGGACTAGATAGACCTTCGTCATCGTCATCAGCCTATTAATGTCCCCACTGCTGGGGCACAGGCCTTCCCTATGGATGGAATAGGGAGATTGGGCCATAACCCACCGCGCGGGCCCAGTGCGAATTGGTGGGTAGATAGACCTTAAGGCAGGACAATCCCACTTGCTCTACAATTTCTTCTGTATGTGCAGTTGTATAAGGCTAAGACCTGACTTGGACGGGTGACGATCCCGATATCACGAGATTCAGTATCTCCATTTTCACTATCCAGACGAACGTCCATCTACATATAATATTTCGTTTTTCGAAAAAATCTGTTAAAGATTGTAACATGGTTTGTATATTACATAAATTTTGTATGTTGTTTTTGTAAAGCTCCCCCCCCCCCCCTCCCTGTATAGACACACAGCACCGGTACCAGGGCCAGCACGGCGCGGTTGCCGGGCACGAGGCCGGCGGGCGGCGCGGGCCGCACGCACAGGTTGCGGTGCGCGCACTGCATGCGGCGGGCGCGGGTGAGCCGCCACGCCTGCGTGGAGGCGCGGGCCGGCCGCCCCCCGCCCCCCGCCCCCCCCCCCCTCCCTGTATAGACACACGGCACCGGTACCAGGGCCAGCACGGCGCGGTTGCCGGGCACGAGGCCGGCGGGCGGCGCGGGCCGCACGCACAGGTTGCGGTGCGCGCACTGCATGCGGCGGGCGCGGGTGAGCCGCCACGCCTGCGTGGAGGCGCGGGCCGGCCGCCCCCCGCCCCCCGCCCCCCCCCCCTCCCTGTATAGACACACGGCACCGGTACCAGGGCCAGCACGGCGCGGTTGCCGGGCACGAGGCCGGCGGGCGGCGCGGGCCGCACGCACAGGTTGCGGTGCGCGCACTGCATGCGGCGGGCGCGGGTGAGCCGCCACGCCTGCGTGGAGGCGCGGGCCGGCCGCCCCCCGCCCCCCGCCCCCCCCCCTCCCTGTATAGACACACAGCACCGGTACCAGGGCCAGCACGGCGCGGTTGCCGGGCACGAGGCCGGCGGGCGGCGCGGGCCGCACGCACAGGTTGCGGTGCGCGCACTGCATGCGGCGGGCGCGGGTGAGCCGCCACGCCTGCGTGGAGGCGCGGGCCGGCCGCCCCCCGCCCCCCGCCCCCCCCCCTCCCTGTATAGACACACAGCACCGGTACCAGGGCCAGCACGGCGCGGTTGCCGGGCACGAGGCCGGCGGGCGGCGCGGGCCGCACGCACAGGTTGCGGTGCGCGCACTGCATGCGGCGGGCGCGGGTGAGCCGCCACGCCTGCGTGGAGGCGCGGGCCGGCCGCCCCCCGCCCCCCGCCCCCCCCCCTCCCTGTATAGACACACAGCACCGGTACCAGGGCCAGCACGGCGCGGTTGCCGGGCACGAGGCCGGCGGGCGGCGCGGGCCGCACGCACAGGTTGCGGTGCGCGCACTGCATGCGGCGGGCGCGGGTGAGCCGCCACGCCTGCGTGGAGGCGCGGGCCGGCCGCCCCTCGCCCCCCGCCCCCCCCCCCCTCCCTGTATAGACACACAGCACCAGTACCAGGGCCAGCACGGCGCGGTTGCCGGGCACGAGGCCGGCGGGCGGCGCGGGCCGCACGCACAGGTTGCGGTGCGCGCACTGCATGCGGCGGGCGCGGGTGAGCCGCCACGCCTGCGTGGAGGCGCGGGCCGGCCGCCCCCCGCCCCCCGCCCCCCCCCCTCCCTGTATAGACACACAGCACCGGTACCAGGGCCAGCACGGCGCGGTTGCCGGGCACGAGGCCGGCGGGCGGCGCGGGCCGCACGCACAGGTTGCGGTGCGCGCACTGCATGCGGCGGGCGCGGGTGAGCCGCCACGCCTGCGTGGAGGCGCGGCGTCCGTCAGCGCGGCGCACCACGAGCCGCGACGCGACGCCCGGCCGCGGCGCCGCCTCCTCTATGTCCAGCACCTATATTATATGGTGTTTACGCCAATAAACCCCAAATGCATGTTAGTAGGTGAAAGTGTTGTTGTCAACGGTCACTAGATGGCGCCATCATTTTGCATAGTGTGATGTCTGAATGGCGATGTTAAGATTCTTACTCGATTATATAAGCCTTAGAAAATAAGGTTTCTTTTCGAATACATTTATTCCTTTGAATTTGAACGGTGGTTTATTTTTATCATACTTGCGCCTTTCAAAGATTTTTTGGGATTTGTACAAGGTCCTTCGAGCCGGATTGGCTATCTTGAGAGCGTTGTTAAAGTCCAATTTCGCACCGACGCGGCGGCGGATTGCTGTCTATGGTGTTTTTCCTGGAGTACAAGCCAGGCTTTTCAGAAACTAACACTGGAATTCGGAATAAGAATAACAATACCTACTGGAAGAGGAAGAACACAATTTGATGAACTGACAATAGAATAGATTTGAGGTGAAGTGACAGTGACAATTGTAAGTACTTTGAACCTTATTTACATAGAACAAGTAACTTAGTGCAAATTAAGAAGATCGTTAATAGAGGAATTTGAACTTTAAACTCAAGAAAAATAATACTTAGCAGTTTTAGAGGATCTTAAGGACTTAGAATAATTTGTTGTTATTTAGCTTGTAGACTTAGAATAGTTTTCTTTAAAAGTAACTGACGGGGAATCCATGCCCGATTTTTAATCGAAGTGTATAAACTTCAAACACTTAGAAAAATTTTAGCGATTTTCTATAGATGTTTCTTTTGTCTGCTTAAGTAGTTAGAATTGTAGATATTTGCTTGTAGTTGGTGTTGTTGTAAACATTTAAGTAAGTTGTTGCTTTATATTAAGTTATCTGTTTGTTTGGGTCTTCATAGTATTTAAATCTAATCAAAATGGAATCATTAATTAAATTACAAAATGATTGTAAATCAACTATTTCTAAAGCCCAAGTTAACTTTAAAAAAGCTAGCAAGGATCGCATCACGGTCCCTTATGTAGAAACTCGTTTGGAGGCTCTAGAACAGCAATGGAAGAGCTTTTGCGATATTCATCGTCAACTAATATCCGATCATGTCAGTACTGAATTGCAGAGTTCACAATATTGTACCGATAAAATTTATGATAAAACTGAAGAGATATATTTCGATTATAAGGTTTTATTAAAAGAATGTTTACATAAACTTTTAAGTGGTAGTCGTAATGCGGAAACTGCCAAGGCAGTTGAGATTCCTAAGTCTGATAAATCCTCTCACGTTAAATTACCAAGGATCTCAATTCCTACGTTTTCTGGACTTTATATAGAATGGGCTTCTTTCAGAGACTTGTTTATCTCACTTATCCACAAGAATGATTCATTGGATGAAGTACAAAAACTTCACTATTTAAAAAGCCATTTGACAGGTGAAGCAGAAAGTCTTTTACGTCATGTACCAATCACTTCTGCCAACTATCAAACTTGCTGGAATCAATTAAAACATAGATATGATAATAAAAAGTTTTTATCTGATAATATATTAAAGCGGTTTATGGGCATTAAGCCACTACAAGTTGAGTCATCTATTGCTATTAAATCTATGTTAGACACTACCAATGAATGCTTACATGCTCTTAATTCACTTGGAATCAATACTAGCACATGGGATTTAAACAAGGTCCTTCGAGCCGGATTTTATCATCCTGCCCTACTTTATTTCTTGTAAAAGTATCATTAGGATTATTTTTGGAATGAAGTAGGGAATGGTGCTTCTTTTTACATATTCGACATCTTGAGAGTTGGCGACAAGAGTATACTGAGTGATTTGACCCTAAACAATTATAACATAACCTATTTTGTTGAACAAACTCTCTACGTTCTTCTAACTCCGATTTCGCGAACGCTTTACAGTTACAAAGGCTGTGGGTTTCGTTACAAAATGGACATGACAGTGTAGTTGTATGAAGTGACGTATGAACCTGCGTTATATTATTGGATGTGGTAGTACGACCTGCAACAGGCTTACCTGCTCTGGGCGTTAAAAATTCAAGGGACCGGAATCTATGCTCCATAAAATCATTGAACATTTCAAGAGTAGGCAACTTGTCAAACGATTCGTTTGCCCTTGCTTCCCACAATTTTCTGGACTCTGTATCTAATTTTTGACTAATGATATGGATTACAATGACATCCCATATTAATACCTCGCAAATCTCATATAGCGGATTTGATAATAGCTGACGCACATGAAAGAACTATGCATGGAGGGGTTCAGCTGACAATGAATCATTTGAGATCGCGGTACTGGATAATCGACATGAAGCGACAAGTTAAGGGTCATATACGTCAATGTGTACGTTGTATTCGTTATTCTGCACGTCCAAATCACCAGTTAATGGGTCAACTTCCAGAAGCAAGGGCCACTCCAGCCAGACCATTCTTTCGCAGTGGAGTCGATTACGCAGGTCCAATTGCTGTTAGATCCGCAAAGGGCAGGGGTATTCATGCTTCAAAGGGGTACATTTGCCTTTTCATATGCATGGCTACCAGAGCCGTTCATTTAGAAATGGTCAGTGATATGTCGTCGGAAAGTTTTATCGCTGCTTTCAAACGTTTCAGTGCCCGCCGTGGTCATTGTGCTGAATTGTGGAGCGATAACGGTACCAATTTCGTTGGAGCCGCACGCGAACTCAAGATTCTTTTTCAAAGCGAAAGATCCGGTGTAGCAGTCGAAATTGCTAACTGGCTTTCAAATAATGGCACTAATTGGAACTTTATTCCACCTCGTTCACCCAATTTTGGAGGACTATGGGAGGCAGGGATCAAATCAACAAAGTTCCATATCAAACGAGTCATAGGGGAATCTAAACTAACTTTTGAAGAAATTACGACTGTTTTGGCACAAATTGAGGCGTGTCTCAATTCGAGACCAATAGCACAAATGTCTGATATTGATCCATTAGATCCATATCCATTGACTCCCGGTCACTTTTTGGTTGGAGAACCCTTAGTATTGGTACCTGACCATAATTATGAAAACTCCAATATCAGTAGTTTACGTAGGTGGAAGTTAACTCAAAAAATGGTCCAAGAGTTTTGGCGACGATGGTCGAGGGAGTATTTGACCCAATTTTTTCATCGTTACAAATGGCGTAATGTTTTATCGGAACCAAAGGTGGGAGACATAGTGTTGATTATGGAGGATGACTTACCCCCAGCCCGATGGTTGTATGGAGTGATAGTTGAAAAGCATTGTGGATCCGATAAGCTCACTAGAGTGGTTAGTATTAAATGCAAGGGATCTAGTATAATTAAAAGGCCTATGTCGAAAGTAAGAGTATTGCCTATACTAGAGTGAAATTTATTATAATAAGGTAGGTATGAATGTAATATGCTGGCTTATCTAATGCTTATGCTTTTAATAAAATATAATAGAATAAGTAGTGTAGTGTAGAAAGCTTGTAGATTGAAAATAGCCGAATATTGTACGCGCGTAAGTTTTATTTTAGTTGTGTTTAAGTTTGCATATGATTTGTGGCATAGTAAATATTTTTGATGGACACTCGGTCCATGGGGGGCGGTATGTTTACGCCAATAAACCCCAAATGCATGTTAGTAGGTGAAAGTGTTGTTGTCAACGGTCACTAGATGGCGCCATCATTTTGCATAGTGTGATGTCTGAATGGCGATGTTAAGATTCTTACTCGATTATATAAGCCTTAGAAAATAAGGTTTCTTTTCGAATACATTTATTCCTTTGAATTTGAACGGTGGTTTATTTTTAACCTACTTGCGCCTTTTAAAAGATTTTTTGGGATTTGTACAATGGGCACCAAAAATACTTAGCAATTTTGTAATCGAAATCCAACCTAAAAAATGCAAACTATTCATAATTAAAAGACATATTTGAGATGTTTAAATCTAAAGAAAAGTTTACTAGAAAAAAAAACACTCGGACCAGGCAGCAGACGGGACTCGAACCGACACCCTTTGCTATCCGGGCGAATGCACTGATCGTTATGCTACCGCGGCTCTGATGCCCGTGTCGAATTTTCTCTAGTGCTGTGCAAGCAGTGGATTTTTGAAGTTATACTTCTTTAGGCGCGTTATGAAAAAATGATGAGAGTGAAATTTTAAGATGCGCGCGCATCACTGTAACACAAAATATTAACAGCATGATGTTGGTCGACCAACTTCATGCTGTTACTTTTGTGTTTACCGCACATTAAGAAAATCTACCAACTAAATAGAATCTCTATTTAGTGGGTGCTAACGACTGCATTGTGAAGGCCTATCAAAAGTATTTATTAATCTGGAACAACGGAACCAAAGCGCGATTCAGGCAAATCGCATATGTTCTAATAAATTATATTCAGTAGCGATTTTAATTGAATATTTTGATTATTTATTTATTTTTTCAAATTAAAACTGAACTTTATTGACTGTGTCCTTTTCCAGACTTTTTATTAATTTATTGTAATTAATTATTTGCATGCAATTAAAAACTAATTTTAAACGATGCCAAAAGAAGGATAACTTCTCACGCGCCTACATAAGTACACGCACCCATTTTTTTTTTCTAGTAAACTTTAGATTTAAACATCTAGCAGTTAAATGCTTAAAAAATAAAAATATAATATTTAAAATGTTTTATCAAAATGTTGACATTATAGAGCCCAAAATTTTCAAGTACGATAACCTAGTTCAGACGCTAATAATTAAAAGACTGGAACATAAATTATTGGAGTGGGGCCATTTATACGTAGATAATGAAGTCGCTGGCATCTTCCAGTATAATGGTTAACGGAACATATTACTTTATGATTATCTATGTGGGAATGATGTTCTGAGCGTTGCTGTGAGAGAGATTGAACGATATTTTTGACTGAAAAGGATTCGTATCCTCCTTTTCGTTTCCTCGTGGAAAGACGTCAAGATGGGCAGAAACGAATGACGTAAGGGTGCTTGGACAGTCTGATCATAATTTAATAAGTAGATATTTCATAAGCCGAGATTTCCAATAAAACAAAATGGTTTCTACAGTCTGTTCTTTAAATAATCATCACAATCATAATCAAAATAATTTATTCAGTTTAGGCTGTTACAAGCACTCATGAATTTCTAGAAGCTACGCCATCGGTTCGTAAAACTACGGCGTGAGACCTTGTACTGGAGAATAAGCGACAAGAACTCAGCAAGGGCTGTTTTTTTCTCTCCCTGTTATATTAACACGCATGGGCTGTTTTCTTCTCCCTGTTTTATTGAAGTTATACTTCTTTAGGCGCGTTATGAAAAAATGATGAGAGTGAAATTTTAAGATGCACGCGCATCACTGTAACACAAAATTTTAACAGCATGAAGTTGGTCGCTTTAGCGACTTTTGTGTTCACCGCACATTAAAAAAATCTACCAACAAAATAGAAATAGAATCTCTATTTAGTGGGTGCATTGTGAAGGCCTATCAAAAGTATTTATTAATCTGGAACAACGGAACCAAAGCGCGATTCAGGAGACTACAGCGCCATCTCTTGACCATTGGTGTAGTAGAACCAAAAACCACATCTTTATTTTTTGTAATAAAGTAACAGTTATAGGTATTCATATTTATAATATTTATCCACATGTTTCTAGTTTGTATATTCGGAATACGTGTTTGAGATTCATACAAGTGCAAATCACATATGTTCTAATAAATTAAATTCAGTAGCGATTTTAATTGAATATTTTGATTATTTATTTATTTTTTCAAATTAAGACTGAACTTTATTGACTGTGTCCTTTTCCAGACTTTTTATTAATTTATTGTAATTAATTATTTGCATGCAATTAAAAACTAATTTTTAACGATGCCAAAGAAGGATAACTTCTCACGCGCCTACATAAGTACACGCACCCATTTTTTTTTAAAAACTATCCCAAATGTATGTGTTTGAAACTTACCATAGCGTGCGGAGAGAGCGTGTTGTCATCGTTGAGTTGCGCGTCAGTGGGCTGCGGGGGCGAACTGCCTTCATGCACGAGCTGCTGCCCCGGGCCTCGCCGCCACAACTGCGACCTATACCAGTTCATCAATTACTAGTGACCCTCCCTCGCTTCGCTTCGGTGTAGCGCTGTAGTGTACACTATAGTTTTTGTTCTCAGGCTTGTATGACACACAAAGAATTTATTTATAAACCTTCCATAAAAAATATTTAACTGATAGTGAAAAAAGCCAAAGCAATCAAAAGATACAACCATTTATGCCGCAAATTTTCGAAACTCGAAATCTTGAAATTTGGTACGAAGTAACATCTTATAGTACAGATAAAGGAAAAATTGCGAAAACCGTAAATTTTTAGTTACATCATATAATTTTTTTTTTAATTTTAAAGACCTCTTTTCTCATGACAGCGTAGTAGAGGTATTTAGTCGGAGCCCTCGGTGCGCGAGTCCGACTCGCACATGGCCGGTTTTTTTTTGGTTGAACGCGAAGATCTCAGGAATTTTGCCAGGCCAGATTTGAAAAAACTTTTTTTTGTTAGATAGTGCATGTATTGCGAAAGGCTTAAGGCTATATAAAATCAAGCTGCGACCAGCAGGAGCTAAAATTTCGCAAAAACGGGTAAAATATTCCATTTGTGAGCTTCGGTAGCGTGCGCTGCATAAATGATTAAAGTTACACAAAAATCATGTATGAAGGAATTGTTCATACGTGATTTGAAAAATTGCAAAGTAAATATAAGATTTTCGAATAAAATAAAATTTTATTGACTACAGACAGATGGGGAAATGTACAAAAATATTATTCAAGATGAGCATTTATCGACTGATAATAAAAATAAACTATTTACCTATCTCCATATCTCTTCTTCCCCAGTATGACCTTTGTAGACCCTAAAGGCACTTCTAGCACCAATACATCTTCGTCGTCAGCCATCGCACCATTCGCGTCACTAAATACAAAATAATAGTACAAGATCCCAAGCTTGCCAGACCTCACTTATTTCCTAATCGACTAAATATGGTTAATCGAGTCGTATTTGTGTGTACAACGTACGTGAACATATTCGCTAACTTATGATATGGACCAATTCTCAGATGGAACAGGTACGTAAAAGTTTTACTCACATTTTTATCTATGATATTTAGCGCACTATTTTAATGTAATTTTTAAGCTGCCAGACCAATTGTAGGGGTCAAATATCCGCTTAGCCTATTTAAAAGTTCAGGCGTAATCATGAATCGATCGCCTTTTTAAAATATTTTCATAACAGTTATCGTGTAAATAGTGTAATGGAAGTCTTAAATAGTAATAGGGTATTTGACAAGGTTTAGAAAATGATCTCACGCTATTGACTATTGTTTATGGAGTCCGCCCGGAGTGGAAATTCATCATTCTGTTGTGTATTTCAGTAAAAATAACCAAATCAAAAACTCCATTTTCAATTTGCCGCGAAAACGTTTCTTTGGACAATATGGAGTCTTACTAGTGTGTGACGTTACACGACTGTTATTAAAACGTCAAACGATACAATGTAATGTCACTTTAACCGGAAGTTTACTTGCGTGTGACGTCATTTTAGGCTCCGCCAATCCCAAGCGTTTTGGGTCACGTGACAATAGATAAGAAAACTATTATCTTTTTCGTGGGTTTTTAGTAAAATTATGAATATTTTTTTTGTAAAAATAGTAAAAACCCCTGCCAATATTCATTCATAACACAGATGCTAACAATTGGCACTTTATTTTTAATACTGTCAAATATCCTATTATGTTCTTACTATCTTATTATTGCAGAATAATGATTTAGAATATTCATGTTTCTAGTTGTCCATTGGCGGACGAAAGTGGTGTGGGTAAAGTTGGGGTCATTTTCAATTTTGGCGGCCACTTATGAAATTGTAAATTTTAAAGGAGCAATATAAAATATTTTTTGTTAATATAAAAGACTCATGCGCATGATGTGATTCATGTCCATGTGCGCTCTTACTCGCGGTGGAACTTTAAATACGCTTAGCGGAGTCTTGGCCCCTATAAATGGTCTAGCAGCTTACAAAATACATTATAATAGCCTCCTAAAAGTCAAAGATAAAATCAAGTCTCAGATGTACACATTAATTCTAATCTGTCAACCATATTTCGTTCGTAAGAAAATATATAAGTAAGGTCTGTCAGACTTGGGATCTTACCCTATAATTGCGAATTTGATTCATGTATGAATCCGGTATTAAAACAGAGTTCTAAATAAATATTGTTATCTAATTCTTCAGCAACAATAACGATAATGACATTGATGAGTTTATATGTTATATAATGTAATTCTTAAAATATATGTAATGGTACTATTATAATCGGCAGTGAAGAGCTAGTTTTATAAATACATAATTTTGAACATTCCTAAAGCTTTAGCTAATCCATAGGCCATACTATAGTCAATTTTTAGCAAAGTATGCGTGGTAAGGAACGTAAAAATTAACTGAGAGGATGAAAGGACATTGAATTAGCATGACACTTGATGTTTTTGGTAAAAATCATTTTGGAGGAGATATTTCGTTATTGTTTCAGATTCGCATCGAAGGATCTAAGGCTTACTTAAACTTCATATAAGAGTTTAGATATTGGACAGTTAAGTAGCGTTTTACACAACTGGGGGCCATTTGCCTAACGGGATTGCTTAGGAAAACGCTATCGCTTACGATTTTATTTTGTTATTTCTGACCGCCGAAGGTTTTCAAATACTTCACGTTTATTTTCTTTAATATTGTTATTATCAATGCAAAAAGAAAAAAAATAGAGCGCGAGGTATTTGAAAACCTCAGGTGGCTAGAAATAGGAAAATGAAATCATAAGCGATAGCGCTTTCCGAAGCAATCCCGTTAGGCGAATGGCCCCATGGCAAATTCCTGTCCAAACGTCGACAAGAACTCGATTCATCAAGACCGCAAGTTAACTCGCCAACGTACCTACCGAAGTGTAAAACAGCCTTTACATCCATATATGTATAAACATTGAGGAGCTCGAAGGCGCAAGTGGTAAGCGCATTCGGTTGCGATCGTTGAAGTTGAGCAACTTTCGCAGTGGTCGGTCATTGGATGGGTGACCAAAAATCTTCTATCTCAAGTTCCTCCGTGCACGGCACGTTAAGCCGTTGGTCCCTGTTGCATCTGTAGTCGTCAGCACCCGCCAATCCGCACTGGGCTCGCGTGGTGTGTCATGGCCCAATCTCCCTATTCCATCCATAGGGAAGGCCTGTGCCCCAGCAGTGGGGACATTATTAGGCTAGTGATGATATATTTATGTTATTATACTGTAATACTGATGAGATGTTTGTGAGCGCAATTTTCTTCAGCATCTAAAAGAAGGTTTGAATGGGTAATGGGATTCTTGGGAACAGGCCTGCCCTATAGGCCTGATCCCCAGCAGGGGGGAGATTTATAGGCTATTGATGATGAAGTATACAAGGGAAGCAATTCCTGGTTTAAGTAAGGAGACATACGTATGCGCGTTGGGCGTGAAGGCGACCAGCACGAAGTTCTGGTAGTGCAGCGTAGCGGGCGCGGCTTGTGCGGGTGGCGCGGGGTCAGCCAGCTGCACGCAGGCGCGCGTGCCCCCCGGAGCCCGGAGCACCACCGCGCGAGCCCCCTCCGGCTCCGGCAGCGCCCAGCGCGACGTGCCGTGAGACCCCACCACGCTCTCCTCCGAGCAACCCGCCTGCACGGACAATACCATTACTATCTACTCGCGTGCCCCCCGGAGCCCGGAGCACCACCGCGCGAGCCCCCTCCGGCTCCGGCAGCGCCCAGCGCGACGTGCCGTGAGACCCCACCACGCTCTCCTCCGAGCAACCCGCCTGCACGGACAATACCATTACTATCTACTCGCGTGCCCCCCGGAGCCCGGAGCACCACCGCGCGAGCCCCCTCCGGCTCCGGCAGCGCCCAGCGCGACGTGCCGTGAGACCCCACCACGCTCTCCTCCGAGCAACCCGCCTGCACGGACAATACCATTACTATCTACTCGCGTGCCCCCCGGAGCCCGGAGCACCACCGCGCGAGCCCCCTCCGGCTCCGGCAGCGCCCAGCGCGACGTGCCGTGAGACCCCACCACGCTCTCCTCCGAGCAACCCGCCTGCACGGACAATACCATTACTATCTACTCGCGTGCCCCCCGGAGCCCGGAGCACCACCGCGCGAGCCCCCTCCGGCTCCGGCAGCGCCCAGCGCGACGTGCCGTGAGACCCCACCACGCTCTCCTCCGAGCAACCCGCCTGCACGGACAATACCATTACTATCTACTCGCGTGCCCCCCGGAGCCCGGAGCACCACCGCGCGAGCCCCCTCCGGCTCCGGCAGCGCCCAGCGCGACGTGCCGTGAGACCCCACCACGCTCTCCTCCGAGCAACCCGCCTGCACGGACAATACCATTACTATCTACTCGCGTGCCCCCCGGAGCCCGGAGCACCACCGCGCGAGCCCCCTCCGGCTCCGGCAGCGCCCAGCGCGACGTGCCGTGAGACCCCACCACGCTCTCCTCCGAGCAACCCGCCTGCACGGACAATACCATTACTATCTACTCGCGTGCCCCCCGGAGCCCGGAGCACCACCGCGCGAGCCCCCTCCGGCTCCGGCAGCGCCCAGCGCGACGTGCCGTGAGACCCCACCACGCTCTCCTCCGAGCAACCCGCCTGCACGGACAATACCATTACTATCTACTCGCGTGCCCCCCGGAGCCCGGAGCACCACCGCGCGAGCCCCCTCCGGCTCCGGCAGCGCCCAGCGCGACGTGCCGTGAGACCCCACCACGCTCTCCTCCGAGCAACCCGCCTGCACGGACAATACCATTACTATCTACTCGCGTGCCCCCCGGAGCCCGGAGCACCACCGCGCGAGCCCCCTCCGGCTCCGGCAGCGCCCAGCGCGACGTGCCGTGAGACCCCACCACGCTCTCCTCCGAGCAACCCGCCTGCACGGACACAACCTACCATTACTATCTACTCTCCTGTCACCCCCCTCAGGTTCCAGTGACGGAGAGGAGACTCCCCTCGTGGGGAGATGCCACCCGCCTGGAATACCTCAAGAGGCACTCACCAATTCTCGGCTTAAGGTCCCCTTATGATCTCGCCGCCCTCAAACCCGGTGACGCTGTAAAGGTCATCTGCGACCAACAGCATATCACACTCAAAAAAATCTCCTGTCACCCTCACTCTACCTTATATAGCCTCTGAACCAACTGATTAGAATATATATTTATTTTATTTTATTATTTATTTATATGGAATACGAACAGCGCTAAAGTGGTTCAACGCAAACTGCGATCGAGTGGGAGAAGCGAAAAGGCGCAGCATCCGCGCCCGACACCAGCACGTACAGCGACGCGCCCCGCCCCACCACCTCCACGCGCAGCACCACGTACCGCCCCTACTGACGCCCCGCCCCGCCCCGCCCCGCCCCGCCCCGCCCCGCGCTAGTGGTTATACTCACCTGGTGGTACATGATGGAGACGGGCGAGTGGTTGTGTATGAGCAGCGGCGGCGGCGCAGCATCCGCGCCCGACACCAGCACGTACAGCGACGCGCCCCGCCCCACCACCTCCACGCGCAGCACCACGTACCGCCCCTACTGACGCCCCGCCCCGCCCCGCCCCGCCCCGCCCCGCGCTAGTGGTTATACTCACCTGGTGGTACATGATGGAGACGGGCGAGTGGTTGTGTATGAGCAGCGGCGGCGGCGCAGCATCCGCGCCCGACACCAGCACGTACAGCGACGCGCCCCGCCCCACCACCTCCACGCGCAGCACCACGTACCGCCCCTACTGACGCCCCGCCCCGCCCCGCCCCGCGCTAGTGGTTATACTCACCTGGTGGTACATGATGGAGACGGGCGAGTGGTTGTGTATGAGCAGCGGCGGCGGCGCAGCATCCGCGCCCGACACCAGCACGTACAGCGACGCGCCCCGCCCCACCACCTCCACGCGCAGCACCACGTACCGCCCCTACTGACGCCCCGCCCCGCCCCGCCCCGCCCCGCCCCGCGCTAGTGGTTATACTCACCTGGTGGTACATGATGGAGACGGGCGAGTGGTTGTGTATGAGCAGCGGCGGCGGCGCAGCATCCGCGCCCGACACCAGCACGTACAGCGACGCGCCCCGCCCCACCACCTCCACGCGCAGCACCACGTACCGCCCCTACTGACGCCCCGCCCCGCCCCGCCCCGCGCTAGTGGTTATACTCACCTGGTGGTACATGATGGAGACGGGCGAGTGGTTGTGTATGAGCAGCGGCGGCGGCGCAGCATCCGCGCCCGACACCAGCACGTACAGCGACGCGCCCCGCCCCACCACCTCCACGCGCAGCACCACGTACCGCCCCTACTGACGCCCCGCCCCGCCCCGCCCCGCCCCGCGCTAGTGGTTATACTCACCTGGTGGTACATGATGGAGACGGGCGAGTGGTTGTGTATGAGCAGCGGCGGCGGCGCAGCATCCGCGCCCGACACCAGCACGTACAGCGACGCGCCCCGCCCCACCACCTCCACGCGCAGCACCACGTACCGCCCCTACTGACGCCCCGCCCCGCCCCGCCCCGCCCCGCCCCGCGCTAGTGGTTATACTCACCTGGTGGTACATGATGGAGACGGGCGAGTGGTTGTGTATGAGCAGCGGCGGCGGCGCAGCATCCGCGCCCGACACCAGCACGTACAGCGACGCGCCCCGCCCCACCACCTCCACGCGCAGCACCACGTACCGCCCCTACTGACGCCCCGCCCCGCCCCGCCCCGCGCTAGTGGTTATACTCACCTGGTGGTACATGATGGAGACGGGCGAGTGGTTGTGTATGAGCAGCGGCGGCGGCGCAGCATCCGCGCCCGACACCAGCACGTACAGCGACGCGCCCCGCCCCACCACCTCCACGCGCAGCACCACGTACCGCCCCTACTGACGCCCCGCCCCGCCCCGCCCCGCCCCGCCCCGCGCTAGTGGTTATACTCACCTGGTGGTACATGATGGAGACGGGCGAGTGGTTGTGTATGAGCAGCGGCGGCGGCGCAGCATCCGCGCCCGACACCAGCACGTACAGCGACGCGCCCCGCCCCACCACCTCCACGCGCAGCACCACGTACCGCCCCTACTGACGCCCCGCCCCGCCCCGCCCCGCCCCGCCCCGCGCTAGTGGTTATACTCACCTGGTGGTACATGATGGAGACGGGCGAGTGGTTGTGTATGAGCAGCGGCGGCGGCGCAGCATCCGCGCCCGACACCAGCACGTACAGCGACGCGCCCCGCCCCACCACCTCCACGCGCAGCACCACGTACCGCCCCTACTGACGCCCCGCCCCGCCCCGCCCCGCCCCGCCCCGCCCCGCGCTAGTGGTTATACTCACCTGGTGGTACATGATGGAGACGGGCGAGTGGTTGTGTATGAGCAGCGGCGGCGGCGCAGCATCCGCGCCCGACACCAGCACGTACAGCGACGCGCCCCGCCCCACCACCTCCACGCGCAGCACCACGTACCCACCCCCAGAGCCCGCCGTCCCTGAGGCCCCGCCCGCCACCTCCCTGCGTCAATATCATCGTTATAAACGGCAGCTTAGTAAAGAAGAAGGAGGTTATGTGGGAGCCATGCTCTCTCAAGTCTCTTCGGTGGTGTCGAGTGAAGAGAGTGGATAAGTTCCCTAATATATGATTATAGTCTGTCAATTCTATTATTATCTTTTTGACAGATCGATCGAAGTAAAAATAGTGACACTCTATCACATAACTCGTTCGATTTAAAGCTATAATCGATTTTATGCTAGAACATTGTTTAATCGATTATAAGTATCGAAATTATTTTAATTATCAAAAATACTGGTGTTTAATAAATTATTACAAAATCTCATTAGATTTATTATTTTACCTAGTACAAATATTTGTGTGATGAGCACGAGTATTTATTCTGTGTCTGGATGTGATTTATCTATATTATGTATATATATACAACAAAAAAAGCTGTATAATATTTATATGTTTGTTTATTTTAATACTAATACTCTGTACAATTAGATTTATTGATTATAATTAATAATTTCATCTAAAAAAATGTTTCTAAAAAACTATATCTTTGACTTTTTTCCTTACAATTTGGTTATACTCATTTATTTCTACCGATTATTTGTAATCTGTGGCACAATCTTAGTAATCATTATGTGTGGCACATCACTAAGTGGGCGGTACCCGTCCATGAAGTACAATATTATTTGTATGACATTTTAACGTAAACAATACAAAATTTCATGGGCGTCGATCTGTCAAAAGGATAATGATAGAATGGACAGACTATTAGCGAAGCGATAGCTGATTCATGTGCCATGCTTGTAAACAGGTTCTGCCAGGGAAATGAGTTTGTTGTATACCACATAACTATCAAATTGTCACTTAACTATACCTAATATAAAAACTGTTTCGATCGTGGAAAAACAAAATCACTTAAACGCCACTTTAGTAACTTTAACTTCATAGACGATCAAAATTTTTTACACAAGAAAATACATGAGAAAAGCGGCTAGATTAGGGTATTGGAGATGATGGGAGCCGTTCTTCTGCATTCTTGGGCAAACACATTTTTTGGCTCCGTGCATAACCCCTTATGAACGAAACTTTAAAAGCAATATATTGCAAGATCAACAATAATTTCGTAAAAAGTTTCCTAAATACTTTCCTGCTGTCTCATGTATTTATTTCCTAACGTATAATACAAAAAATTCAAAGCATGTGGCGGCTTGTGGTAACAACAATTTCATTAAACAAGAATAAATTAAAGGTGCCGAAATATGAAAGCCAGAGTGAACCGCCGCTTCTTCTGGGTAAGGTCGCTACACCGTAGAACCTATCTCTCCGGATAGAGTCTATCCGGTCCGAGAGTCCGGTGTATAGAGGATCAAGAGCTTATCAATGAATCAATAAAAAATAACAGTAACTAACCTCGGCGTTCGGCTGCGATCGTTGAAGTTAAGCAACTTTCGCAGTGGTCGGTCATTACATTGGTGACTCAAAATTTACTATCCCGAGCTCCTCCGGGTTTCGGAAGGCACGTTAAGCCGTTAGTCCCGGCTGCATCTGCAGTCGTAAGCACCCACCAATCTGCACTGGACCCGCGTGGTGGGTCTTGGCCCAATCTCCCTGTGCCCCAACAGTGGGGACATTAATAGGCTGGTGATGATGAACTAACCTGCAGGCAAAGTGCGTAGTACGCGGAGCGTCGACTCGCGCGCCTCCCGACCACGCGGTTAGCGGCGTCGGCGTCGACGCGGACGATATAGCGGACGCGGAAGCGGAAGCGGAAGAAGACGCGGACGATAGCACCCGCACGCATAGCAGCCGCGGCCTATCGGGTCGCGGCCAGTGCCACGGCAGGAAGCACCCGGCCACGGCCACCACGTGCGTTGCCGTAGCGCCTGGGTCCGACTACACACACAACAACGGTATTTTTTTTATATATTACCAGCTGACCCAGCGAACTTCGTACCGCCATAAAAAAATAGGGATTGGTGGTAGAAAAGTGAAACTTTAGGGTTGTATGTATTTACTAATGCTGTATCATAAAAAAAATTCAAAAATTCTTGTTATCTAAAATTGGAAAAAAAATTTAGGGGTGGATTACCCTTAACATTTAGGGGGATGAAAAATAGATGTTGTCCGATTCTCAGACCTACCCAATATGCACACAAAATTTCATGAGAATCGGGAAAGCCGTTTCTGAGGAGTTTAACCACAAACACCGCGACACAAGAATTTTATATATAAGATAGAGGGCATACGAGCAGACGGCTCACCTGATGGTAAGTGATCACCGTCGCCCATGGACACTTGCAACACCAGGAGTATCACAAATGCGATGCCGGCCTTTAAGGAAGGAGTACGCTCTTTTTTTGAAGGTTTTTGGGTCGTATTGGTCCGGAAACACTGCTGGCGACAATATATTCCACAGTTTTGTCGTACGTGGTAAAAAAATCGACAAAAACGCACGGTTGTGGATAGCCACGCATCAAGATGATGGGGATGAAATTTTTGTCGCGATGTACGTTGGCGAAATGCAGCAGCTGGAATTAATCCGAACAATTCCTCAGAACACTCCCCGTGATAAATGCGATAGAAGATGCAGAGCGAAGCTACATCCCTACGCAAAGCCAAAAGATCAAGCTGATCGACTACACCTACGAAACGATATTCAAATCTTTTTTTGCAGAATATGCTTAAATGGTGATACAGAGATAATAAGAATCCTATATTCTTACCCAATGGGGTGTGCAAATCGATCGACATGTCGAGAAAAAAAACTTATTACAATTATTCCTATTCATTGAGCATAATATAAAATTATAACTTGTAAGATATCTTATCATCCCACTAATATTATAAATGTGAAAGTCTGTATTTTTGTGTGTTTGCATGTTTGTTTTCAATAACGCACAAACTACGGCAAGGATTTGGATGAAATTTGGTACGTATATAGTCTAGTACCTGGATCGAAACATAGGATACTTTTGATACAGGAAAATTGCTAGGGATTTAAAAAAAGAAAATTAAGCGCGGACGAAGCCGCGGACGGCTGCTAGTAATGTTATTACTTGCTTTGAAATTGAAGATTTTCAAAAATGTAGTAGCTATTTAAAGCATTTCTCTTCTTTTTACTCTATCCATTCAAGCGAAAGTAAAAGATAAACCTTAATCCAAAAAAAAGTATGCACGGACCACACAGCTGAAGTGAAACTTCTTTTCATAAATAAACTAACATTAGGCGGTGCATAAGGCATAGGGGAATGAAACAGCGCACGCATCACTCATATGTATGAACATATATGAATATACTAGAGGTCGCCCGCTACTCAGTCTCCGTTGACTTAGTTTCTTGAAAATCCCTATGGAACCTAACATTTTTCGGGATAAAAGTAGCCTATGTGTGAATCTAAGGTGTCAGCTAACTCCATACTAAATTTTATTAAAATCGCTCCAGCCGTTTAGACGTGAAGAAGTAACAAACATACACACTCACATACTCACAAACTTTCGCATTTATAATATTAGTGTGATTTTTGCGTGTGACTCTCGTAGCGTTTCAGCCTTTGCCTACTTCTACCTTCGACCTTCTCTTACTTTCATGCTCGTCAGGAAGAGCACGCATCCCCATATATAGTCGTGTGACGCTCGTGACGCATTACCGTCTCATATTTTCCATAAGATTTTTCCATTTACACCCTATCCGAAAAGAAGTTTCACTTCATAAATCGAGGCCAAACATATATTGGAAAATTTCTAAAATAAAGCACGTCATTCCTAGTTAAACATCACACAAACACAAATCATTCGTTAACTGTCCCTTTAAAACAAAATTAGCTTCACCTTTTAACAGAATTAAAGATGCAAACAACGAGATATGCCATGATGTTGACATCTTTCATGCTCCACTGAAAGCCCTCAAAAATCATCTGTATGGTAACGTTCAAACCGAACAGTAATTTGTTACTGTTAAAAGTATAAGTAAGTACCTACCTACATATAGTCAATGTTGTACATGCCTGCAATGGCAATTCACACGGTTGAGTACTACCTTTTTTTTTTAATACGCAGGTAAAAAATCTATTTACAGACGACGGCGCCTTTAAGAGGCACACCGCCGAACGGACCTCACACCTGGCTCCCGCAAGTCTTACGAACCCCACAGTGGTTGCCCACCGAGGACCCCGCAACTCTTACGGGCGCTTTACGGTACAATATCCGCTAAAAAGTCCTGCGAATACCCTCTAAGTTGCTTAGTGCGAAACCGCGGGATCCCCGTTTAGGGATTCTTCCGCGTACGGTTGAGTACTACCTGCATCTTTAATCTTTATTGAAATTTGTGAAATTGTCGATGGTATGTCAAATAAATGGGTGCGTGTACTTATGTAGGCGCGTGAGAAGTTATCCTTCTTTGGCATCGTTTAAAATTAGTTTTTAATTGCATGCAAATAATTAATTACAATAAATTAATAAAAAGTCTGGAAAAGGACACAGTCAATAAAGTTCAGTTTTAATTTGAAAAAATAAATGAATAATCAAAATATTCAATTAAAATCGCTACTGAATATAATTTATTAGAACATATGTGATTTGCACTTGTATGAAACTCAAACACGTATTCCGAATATACAAACTAGAAACATGACTCTCAACAATTTTTCAGAACGCGCCTAAAGAAGTATAACTTCAATAAATAAATAAACATTGATTAAACTACAGGACTGACCACAGTAGTAGCTGTGCATTTCTGGGCGAACTGCAGCGTGAATGGTGTGTTGTTGTGCAGCTGGTAGCGCGGCGTGAAGGTGACTATGTTGGTGTCCCGGCGCCGGCCGCGGCCCGCCCTCACTTCCACCCCGATCCAGTACTCGCGCTCCTCGCCCGACTCCGAGCCCGGCTCCGCCCCCGCCCCGGCCCCGGCTCCGCGGCAAGTCAACCGCTTCACGGTTATGCCGGGACCGAGTCCGAAGGGGGAGCACCACTGCGTACAATTGTAGCAATAAATTAGTGTCTAAATTAAGGTAAACGTAACATATACAAAAAAACGGTTATCTGTAAAGTCGGTTTACTGACGGTAGTTGAACGTGACAACGTTTTTTTTCAATGTACATAGTGTATACAAGTATGAATGTGCTTTAAGCAATTGTTTTACAACCTTTATTTACAACTTATGAATATGTGTGATATCATTACCTTTATCGCCGCAATTACCTTTGCTATAAACAATTGACACCACATTCACTTTTCACTGCACTTCATACTTGACGAAAATATGTAAATGTATTATTGTATAGCAGCTGTCCACGCGGATGCATCGCTCACTCAAGTAGGAGAGAGACAGATGTCGAACGCTGCCGAAAGCCGAGGCTGATTGTGCCTCTTTCGCTCGTTGCGCGCTCTCGCTTGTACTTCAATGGAAGCGGAGCCTTAAATGGAACGCCTCAGAGCGAGGTAACGCCGCTTGAGTCATGTTTTTTGTAAGTGCAGCCGGCTCCATCGAGTTGTAAGACGTTGTCACGTCAATAAAAATTTCAATATAAGTTCCGGTCAAAGCACGAATTTTTGACAGCTCCGTAACGTATCGCCTCGTCAAAGTTTTTATGAAAACTAAGCAGCACCCCCTATCGGACGTTAGAAGAAACTGGCTTTTTTCGTACAAAATTTGACGATAACAATACGTTACCGAGCTGTCAGCTTATGCTGGGGCTTCAGGACTTATAACAAAGAACAGTAACTAATAAAGCGAATCAAATTTACTAGAAGATTATGATCTACAACAGTTTCTAAAATTATTACAATTTAATATTTTAGAAAGTAAAACAATGTTGTTTATGGTATTTCTGTAGGTCATTTTCAGCAAAAATTTCTAGTGCTGTTTTTCACTCAACATTATGTTTCAGAACAAGATTATAAAATGGTATTACATTTTAGTGTGAAAAACTCAAGAAGACAGGATAAGAGCACAATTGCAATGGAATATAAATTAACTGTAACGTGCTCGGCGCCCTGCCCCGCCGCCTCGCCGCCCTCCGCGCCCGCCCCGCCCCGCCCCGCCCCGCCCCGCCCCGCCACTAGTGGCATACAGTACCTGCGCAGTGGGCGCGCGCTGGTGCCCCAGCCGCACGGACAGCGTGGGCGCCTGGTCCGCGCCCGTGAAGCTGAACAGCAGCGGCTGCACGACGCGCGCCACCTCGTGCTCGGCGCCCTGCCCCGCCGCCTCGCCGCTCTCCGCGCCCGCCCCGCCCCGCCCCGCCCCGCCCCGCCCCGCCCCGCCACTAGTGGCATACAGTACCTGCGCAGTGGGCGCGCGCTGGTGCCCCAGCCGCACGGACAGCGTGGGCGCCTGGTCCGCGCCCGTGAAGCTGAACAGCAGCGGCTGCACGACGCGCGCCACCTCGTGCTCGGCGCCCTGCCCCGCCGCCTCGCCGCTCTCCGCGCCCGCCCCGCCCCGCCCCGCCCCGCCCCGCCCCGCCCCGCCACTAGTGGCATACAGTACCTGCGCAGTGGGCGCGCGCTGGTGCCCCAGCCGCACGGACAGCGTGGGCGCCTGGTCCGCGCCCGTGAAGCTGAACAGCAGCGGCTGCACGACGCGCGCCACCTCGTGCTCGGCGCCCTGCCCCGCCGCCTCGCCGCCCTCCGCGCCCGCCCCGCCCCGCCCCGCCCCGCCCCGCCCCGCCACTAGTGGCATACAGTACCTGCGCAGTGGGCGCGCGCTGGTGCCCCAGCCGCACGGACAGCGTGGGCGCCTGGTCCGCGCCCGTGAAGCTGAACAGCAGCGGCTGCACGACGCGCGCCACCTCGTGCTCGGCGCCCTGCCCCGCCGCCTCGCCGCTCTCCGCGCCCGCCCCGCCCCGCCCCGCCCCGCCCCGCCCCGCCCCGCCACTAGTGGCATACAGTACCTGCGCAGTGGGCGCGCGCTGGTGCCCCAGCCGCACGGACAGCGTGGGCGCCTGGTCCGCGCCCGTGAAGCTGAACAGCAGCGGCTGCACGACGCGCGCCACCTCGTGCTCGGCGCCCTGCCCCGCCGCCTCGCCGCTCTCCGCGCCCGCCCCGCCCCGCCCCGCCCCGCCCCGCCCCGCCCCGCCACTAGTGGCATACAGTACCTGCGCAGTGGGCGCGCGCTGGTGCCCCAGCCGCACGGACAGCGTGGGCGCCTGGTCCGCGCCCGTGAAGCTGAACAGCAGCGGCTGCACGACGCGCGCCACCTCGTGCTCGGCGCCCTGCCCCGCCGCCTCGCCGCTCTCCGCGCCCGCCCCGCCCCGCCCCGCCCCGCCCCGCCCCGCCCCGCCACTAGTGGCATACAGTACCTGCGCAGTGGGCGCGCGCTGGTGCCCCAGCCGCACGGACAGCGTGGGCGCCTGGTCCGCGCCCGTGAAGCTGAACAGCAGCGGCTGCACGACGCGCGCCACCTCGTGCTCGGCGCCCTGCCCCGCCGCCTCGCCGCTCTCCGCGCCCGCCCCGCCCCGCCCCGCCCCGCCCCGCCCCGCCCCGCCACTAGTGGCATACAGTACCTGCGCAGTGGGCGCGCGCTGGTGCCCCAGCCGCACGGACAGCGTGGGCGCCTGGTCCGCGCCCGTGAAGCTGAACAGCAGCGGCTGCACGACGCGCGCCACCTCGTGCTCGGCGCCCTGCCCCGCCGCCTCGCCGCTCTCCGCGCCCGCCCCGCCCCGCCCCGCCCCGCCCCGCCCCGCCCCGCCACTAGTGGCATACAGTACCTGCGCAGTGGGCGCGCGCTGGTGCCCCAGCCGCACGGACAGCGTGGGCGCCTGGTCCGCGCCCGTGAAGCTGAACAGCAGCGGCTGCACGACGCGCGCCACCTCGTGCTCGGCGCCCTGCCCCGCCGCCTCGCCGCTCTCCGCGCCCGCCCCGCCCCGCCCCGCCCCGCCCCGCCCCGCCCCGCCACTAGTGGCATACAGTACCTGCGCAGTGGGCGCGCGCTGGTGCCCCAGCCGCACGGACAGCGTGGGCGCCTGGTCCGCGCCCGTGAAGCTGAACAGCAGCGGCTGCACGACGCGCGCCACCTCGTGCTCGGCGCCCTGCCCCGCCGCCTCGCCGCTCTCCGCGCCCGCCCCGCCCCGCCCCGCCCCGCCCCGCCCCGCCCCGCCACTAGTGGCATACAGTACCTGCGCAGTGGGCGCGCGCTGGTGCCCCAGCCGCACGGACAGCGTGGGCGCCTGGTCCGCGCCCGTGAAGCTGAACAGCAGCGGCTGCACGACGCGCGCCACCTCGTGCTCGGCGCCCTGCCCCGCCGCCTCGCCGCTCTCCGCGCCCGCCCCGCCCCGCCCCGCCCCGCCCCGCCCCGCCCCGCCACTAGTGGCATACAGTACCTGCGCAGTGGGCGCGCGCTGGTGCCCCAGCCGCACGGACAGCGTGGGCGCCTGGTCCGCGCCCGTGAAGCTGAACAGCAGCGGCTGCACGACGCGCGCCACCTCGTGCTCGGCGCCCTGCCCCGCCGCCTCGCCGCTCTCCGCGCCCGCCCCGCCCCGCCCCGCCCCGCCCCGCCCCGCCCCGCCACTAGTGGCATACAGTACCTGCGCAGTGGGCGCGCGCTGGTGCCCCAGCCGCACGGACAGCGTGGGCGCCTGGTCCGCGCCCGTGAAGCTGAACAGCAGCGGCTGCACGACGCGCGCCACCTCGTGCTCGGCGCCCTGCCCCGCCGCCTCGCCGCTCTCCGCGCCCGCCCCGCCCCGCCCCGCCCCGCCCCGCCCCGCCCCGCCACTAGTGGCATACAGTACCTGCGCAGTGGGCGCGCGCTGGTGCCCCAGCCGCACGGACAGCGTGGGCGCCTGGTCCGCGCCCGTGAAGCTGAACAGCAGCGGCTGCACGACGCGCGCCACCTCATGCTCGGCGCCCTGCCCCGCCGCCTCGCCGCTCTCCGCGCCCGCCCCGGCGCCGGCCCCGCCGCCCGCCGCCACGCCCGCGCCCGCCACCAGCGGCAGCCCCGACCGATTCACCAGCCAGTACGCCGCTAGCACGGATACCTGCCGATCGCGTGCCATACCATCAAACAGAGCCTAAATGCAAGTATGAAATGAAATGATAAGTCGTTTATTCAGTCTAGGCTGTTACGAGCACTTGTGAAAGCCGAGAAGCTACGTCATCGGTTCGCAAAACTACGGCGGGAGACCTTGTACTGAAAAGAACCAGCAAGAAACTCAGCAAGGGCTGTTTTTTTCTCCCCGTATTGCTATATACAGAGTCGTCAAGTTGAAAAATGACTTCAGTGATACGTCTGAAGTCACCTTCCATTACATCGTTTAGAATATTATTATATAGTTACAATAAATTTTATAGTTAACATTATATTTAGTATATAGGAAGCGGCATTAGATAGTTACTATATTACTTTTATGAAAAATGAATAATACCCATCAAATAACAAATTACAAGAAACACTATGTCCATGCATTACGATCATTTAGATAAACATCAACTTTATAAAAGTCCTTATTCATAAGAGTATTCTTGATCTGAGATTTAAATTTGGTCAGTGGAAGCTCAATCAGCACTTGGGAAACTTTATTAAACAATGCTATACTACAACCCAGAATAGAACCTCTTGATTTTTGGAGTCTCAAACATGGAACGGCAAGCATGTTCTTAAATTTCGTGTTAAAGTTATGGTTTTGACTTTTATTTGCAAATGCATCATAGTTTTTACTTACATTAAATTTTCATAAATGTATTGCGATGCCAGTGTTAAAATATTAATTTCTTTAAATTTTTCTCTAAGGGATTCTCTAAACCTTTAAATTGTATATGGCGTGAACAGCTCTCTTTTGCAGTACAAAAATGCTTTCGATATTAGCTGCTAAGCCCCACAACAAAAGGCCATATGACATAACACTATGAATGTAACCAAAGTAAACCAATCTTGCCGTTTCCGTCTATTTTTTTAACAGCGAATATCAGTTAAGGGTCTTATTTTTTTAACAGCGAAAGTGCAGAGCCCATTGCAGTCGAGAGTCTAAAGTAATACCCAGAAACTAAAACCACTGGTACTTGGGATCGACTGTTCAGAAATAGACTAATGCACTTAGGCAAATAAGGTAAGGAAACTGATATCTAAAGACAGGCAGCAAGACCTAGCACAGCTTCGGAAAGCTGATGGCTCCCTCACAGAGACAACGGAGGAGGCACAGAGGGTACTAATTGAAACCCACTTTCCGGGCTGCATTATACACACGACAAACACATGGAATGACACTAGCTGGACCCCCACGGAACAATCCTGGAATATTGCAGTGAGGACAGTGTCTATGGACAAGTTAAGGTGGGCCATTAACAGCTTCCAGCCATTCAACGCAGCCGGACAAGATGGCATCTTTGCCGGCGCTGTTTCAATGGGCAGGTGAAGCGCTAATCCTTATCCTGGTGCCCCTCCTGAGAGCGTGTCTTGCATTTAGATACACGCCGAATCTCTGGATAGGTCAAGGTAATCTTCATACCAAAGCCAGGTAAGGCAGACTACAACGAAGCGAAATCTTTCACAATAAGTCTCTCATCATTTCTGCTAAAGACCTTAGAAAGACTGTGCGACAGAGAGCTGAGAGACAACCAATTAGTCAATGTTCCATTACATCCGAACCAACTCGCCTATAGTCCAGGCAAGTCGACAAAATCTGCACTACATGCAGTCGTAAGTAAAATAGAGGATAGTCTCAGACGGAAAGAGCTATGTTTGGGCACCTTTATAGACATAGAAGGCGCGTTTGACAAAACAAGCTTCGCCAGCATTGTAGACGCACTCGGCAAACACGGAGTCGATGAGACCATTATATACTGGGTAAGTAACATGCTCCGTAACAGACTAATCAGACTACAAGACGACAACCATCTCAGAGCATTGGCGACTAAAGGATGAAGGAGAAATGAAAGTGGTTGAAAAATGGTGTGACGACTACGGCCTTAAGGTGAAACCAGTGAAGACAGAATTGGTCATGTTCACGAACAAAAGATCCTTAGGCGACTATTGGCTACCGAAACTATTGAACACGATACTAAGGTTCTCCAATGAGGGAAAGTATCTAGAAATAACCCTAGACTCCAAACTGAACTGGGGATCACAAATAGACAAAACTACCACAAAGACCAACATCATTTTCTGGCAATGTCGTAAAATGATTAGCAAAACTTGGGGACTTATTGTTAGGTGGCTGTACACGACCATAATTAGGCCCATCATCAGCTATGCAGTAGTAGTATGGTGGACCAAGACAATCCTGGTAATGACAATTAATAAGTAAAGACGTCTCCAGAGGCGGGCCAGCTGTGAATCCACCGGCTGCATGAACACTTCTCCCACATCAGCACTGGAGACTATACTTAATGTGAGACCACTCCATTTTTTTGTCTTTGTTTTGTCACCCGTCCTTACTTATGTCTTTAATATCTGCTTATCAACCGGCGTGTTTCCGAAGGTCTTTTAAAAAGCAATTGTTCATCCAATTAGATAGAAGTAACGTGCCTAACTATCGACCTATTTCTGTCTAGACTGCAATAAGGTCTTTGAGAAGATCCTTAGTAGTCGTCTTATTAGCTATTTAGATGCTAACCATATTATAAGTCAAAATCAATATGGCTTCGTAGCTGGTAAGTCTACGGAAGACGCTGTTTTGGAGTTGACGGATACTGTGGCTAAATGCTTGAACAGCAAGATTAAGAATATGGGTATATTTTTGGATCTCACCAAGGCCTTTGACACTGTTTCCATACCTATTTTACTTAGAAAACTTGAGTTTATTGGAATTCGGGGTCATGTCCTAAATATGTTTAAAAGCTACCTGAGTGATCGTATACAGTGTACTAAAATTGACGGCCACGTGAGCAATGATAGTTTTATCCGTTATGGCGTCCCACAAGGTAGTGTTCTTGGACCCACCCTATTTTTAATATATATAAACGATCTTTGCAACCTAACCCTCAAAAACTGTAAGATTTTAACATATGCCGATGACACCATTCTATTAATTCTGCTTAGCCAGGGAGGGATCCAGCAGGACGGCCATTGGTCCGGAGTAAGTTAATCAGACTACCTAGAGAAGCCCTAAAACAAATCTATATATATATATATATATATATATAGGTATGCTTACGGGTCACGGCTACTTCAACAAACACCTTAGTAATATAGGTATTTCTGACAGCCTTCTGTGCAGAGCCTGCCTGGAAGAGGAAGAGACGAGCGCCCTTCTCTAATGGGAAGCCCGAAGACAATAGTAAAGGCCTGCAGCAACATTCAGGGACTGCTGAGTTTCTGGAGGAGCTGGGATGGCAGGACTGATGCCAATCCCCACGCAAAATAGGCACTGGGTGTCGAGATGCGGAAACACCCGGCTGTACTACTAAGACTATGACTACCCAGAAACTTTGTAGAATCCACTAACACTACAAGCTGGTCACAAATAACCTTGAAGCTGGAGCCTGTCAAGGCCACGAGCAATTTGTTGCTCGTAAATGGTGAACTTGGCACGTACTACACCATAACGATTTTGATCGCTAAGGTGTAGTACGTGCCAAGTTCACCTTAACAGTTCAACTGCACAGATAAATTTGAATTAAGTAGAGATCATACACATTGCGGTAAACCTGTATAAAGTGTCAGTTAAAACCATAGGCCTGGAAGCGACACTGGATTTTTTTTAAAGAAATGATGGGATAAATTTAACGAAATTCTATTTAGTCCGTTAGATTATCGAAACATAATGGAGTCTTTTTTTTGTCAATCCACGAAAATATTACAAAGTTATAGAGGGAAGCTTTGGGAGTGGCATCTCGTGAGATCACTTTTAATAAGAAATATGAAATGAATTAATAAAAAAAGAAATCATGTGATTTCAAATCAATATATCTTGTGATTATTGATTATATGAATAAGAAAAAATACATGTCCAAAAATTTTTGTTAATTTAGTCAAGGTATGACCGATTCGCGAAATGACTACAGGGTCTATAATTAACCAATTCTTGAAATGTTAAATTCTATAAATGACTCATTCTACAAATGACCGATTTTTTAATTGACTAATTCTACAAATTACTGGTTTTTAATTTTTTGATATAAAATCTAAACCTGGTACATAAAATGCAATATAAGGACTTGAGAATCATTTATTTAAAACTGTTTGAATTTTTTATTGTATAGTCGCATCGATGTCTGTAGAGCTACAGCTCTTACTATGGCGAAACGAGGGAATCACGTTGAGTAAGTGCTTCTGTCGTCAGTAATCTCAGAGGTGAAGGTTTTTCCGCCGCATGTCCACGTCGTGTCGTGTCGTGTAGCGAAAATATAATAAGGATTTCCTAAAAATATACTCATCAAAAGAGATGAACCTTTTTTGATGTCTAATATTCTTAATACTAATAATCTTTTATAAATAATTGTTAAATAATAATAATAATTTATTCTCAGACAATATTATACAGTCCATAGAATGTCAGTAACAATGTGCTTTAAAACTATGTTAGTAAAAAGCAAAAACTCTTTTGAATAAATTATACATGTGTCATTCATAACGATAATATAAAGTATCAACAGATAAAACTTGCAGTTTGCGTAAATGTCGCGTGTTGCTTAAATTTAGTATACATACCGTGATCGCGTCCGTGTTGGATATATTGACGCGCGCAGTGAGGTAGAGCCGGCGCGCGCGCGTGTCCCGCAGCTTGAGGCGCGCCGTGAACGAGCCCCCTCCACCAACCCCACCCCCTCCCCCAGTTACACATACCGTGATCGCGTCCGTGTTGGATATATTGACGCGCGCAGTGAGGTAGAGCCGGCGCGCGCGCGTGTCCCGCAGCTTGAGGCGCGCCGTGAACGAGCCCCCTCCACCAACCCCACCCCCTCCCCCAGTTACACATACCGTGATCGCGTCCGTGTTGGATATATTGACGCGCGCAGTGAGGTAGAGCCGGCGCGCGCGCGTGTCCCGCAGCTTGAGGCGCGCCGTGAACGAGCCCCCTCCACCAACCCCACCCCCTCCCCCAGTTACACATACCGTGATCGCGTCCGTGTTGGATATATTGACGCGCGCAGTGAGGTAGAGCCGGCGCGCGCGCGTGTCCCGCAGCTTGAGGCGCGCCGTGAACGAGCCCCCTCCACCAACCCCACCCCCTCCCCCAGTTACACATACCGTGATCGCGTCCGTGTTGGATATATTGACGCGCGCAGTGAGGTAGAGCCGGCGCGCGCGCGTGTCCCGCAGCTTGAGGCGCGCCGTGAACGAGCCCCCTCCACCAACCCCACCCCCTCCCCCAGTTACACATACCGTGATCGCGTCCGTGTTGGATATATTGACGCGCGCAGTGAGGTAGAGCCGGCGCGCGCGCGTGTCCCGCAGCTTGAGGCGCGCCGTGAACGAGCCCCCTCCACCAACCCCACCCCCTCCCCCAGTTACACATACCGTGATCGCGTCCGTGTTGGATATATTGACGCGCGCAGTGAGGTAGAGCCGGCGCGCGCGCGTGTCCCGCAGCTTGAGGCGCGCCGTGAACGAGCCCCCTCCACCAACCCCACCCCCTCCCCCAGTTACACATACCGTGATCGCGTCCGTGTTGGATATATTGACGCGCGCAGTGAGGTAGAGCCGGCGCGCGCGCGTGTCCCGCAGCTTGAGGCGCGCCGTGAACGAGCCCCCTCCACCAACCCCACCCCCTCCCCCAGTTACACATACCGTGATCGCGTCCGTGTTGGATATATTGACGCGCGCAGTGAGGTAGAGCCGGCGCGCGCGCGTGTCCCGCAGCTTGAGGCGCGCCGTGAACGAGCCCCCTCCACCAACCCCACCCCCTCCCCCAGTTACACATACCGTGATCGCGTCCGTGTTGGATATATTGACGCGCGCAGTGAGGTAGAGCCGGCGCGCGCGCGTGTCCCGCAGCTTGAGGCGCGCCGTGAACGAGCCCCCTCCACCAACCCCACCCCCTCCCCCAGTTACACATACCGTGATCGCGTCCGTGTTGGATATATTGACGCGCGCAGTGAGGTAGAGCCGGCGCGCGCGCGTGTCCCGCAGCTTGAGGCGCGCCGTGAACGAGCCCCCTCCACTTCCCCCCGTCCCTGCCCCTCCCCCTCCCCCAACCAGCAGCGCAGACGACCAGCCAAACCCCTCCACGCGAACCGATATCTCCACCCCTTCTTCTACGTTCACCTGAACATCACACTATTATTAAAAAGGTGAAAGTTTTCGAGTGTGTGAGTGTGTATGTTTGTTACTTCGTCACGTCTAAATGGCTGGAGGGGTTTTAATAAAATTTGGTATGGAGTTAGCTGACATCCTAGATTATCACATAGGTTATGTTTTACGGAGGAAAAATATCCCTAATAAGCCGCGGGTAACACCGTGGGGCACAGCTAGTGTGAAACAAAACTTTAATCCAAACCACATAGCGACTATGGACCGAATACTGACAGATATGAAAAGGCTTGTTAATCAAACTGCAACACCCCAATTAACTATTTCATTGTCCTTTAAAAACGACCCAAATCAAAATCTCAATATTAATAATTAAATTCAATATGCATAGTATCAGCAAAATTATTATCATTATTGCGACTAGGCAATCTAGCGAATCGTTTGAAAAGGGTTGCTATAACCTGAAATAATTAAAAAAAATAACGTTTCATAACTAATTTCTTTTCAATTTATATCGCCCCTTATTCAAATTGGAAATGAATTTATGTTAAAATCTATGTGGTTTAGAAATGGACGAAATAATTTATCAACAAATAATTTAGAACGAAATATCTATATATATAAAACTCAAAGATGACTGACTGACATAGTGATCTATGAACGTACAGCCCAAACCACTGGACGGATCGGGCTGAAATTTGGCATGCAGGTAGATGTTGTGACATGGGCATCCGCTAAGAAAGGATTTTGATCAATTCTATCCCCAAGGGGATAAAATAGGGCATGAAAGTTTGTATGAAACTTTGTCAATTTTAAAACGATCGGGCTGAGACTTTGCATGCAGCTATAAGAAGAATCATAGATGAATGTCATTGTGTATAATACGAGCCTGAGAACAAAAACTGTAGTCTAGTCTTCAGCTCTACACCGAAGCGAAGCGAGGGCGGGCCGCTAGTTATTAATAAGATTAGGTCGAGCGTAAATGCAATGACAGTACCTCATGAAACGGCCTCGTTTGGCCGGCGGCCAGCGCGCCCATAGCGGCGGGCGCAGGGGCAGTAGCGGAGGCAGAGGCGGCTGCGGGCCCGCAGCGGTAGTGCATCTCCACGGGCAGCAGGTTATCCAGCCGCAGCGCCGGCACTAAAGTCAACGTGTGCCCCGCCATTGGTGCGCCACGATCCGGCGGAAATCTCTCCCGTACGATGGAGCAGCAGAATCTATACCAATATAACACAAAGCGGGTGGAAGGGACTGTATATAGGCTACACATTTAAACTACCATCTCAATGCGTGGTGTGATATACACGTAAGCTCCACGGGATAGGAGATAGGGTCAGAGTAGGCAAAGGTGCTAGTCATGTAATTGATATCGCAAGCGTTTATAAGCTATAGTGGCCGCTAATTATCAGGGTCATACGCTTGTTTACCAGCCTTTTAACGTAACAAAAATACAGGTATAGCGGTCGATCAAAATCGTCCATTGACTTTGAGCTCAATAACGCGTGACAAAAGATTCATAATCTTTCTTTCTTCTTTTGGTGGTTTTGTGTTTCTGTCGGTGAGTAATATTCTGGGGCTCTACGAGGCAGGGAATTGGGTCAGGGTAGGCAACGGAACGAGTCATATTTTTTGTATTTGTAGCGTTTATAGGTTATGATGGCCGCCTACCATTTTACCACCATTTTAACTTAAGAAAAAACGAGTGTGCTTATGACCACACGACTAAAGTGAAACTTCTTTAGCTCCATCCGTATGTATATATATATATGTGAGTGTACAATATATACATCTATATATTTCACTTATTAGTTATAAGGGAAAGAGAGAAAGAAAATATACGCGCGCTCTACTTTCTCTTGCCTATATCTCCCACTCAACTCCCGTTCGCATCCCCCGAACACACTTTTCGTAACGCGTAATGCATTCGCCAGCTTATCCCCTAAGTCGAGGGTGCCTAAAGAAGTTTCACTTCAAAAATGCAGTATAATCAAGAGTTACCTGTAGACATAGTCGGGCGGCGCCCTGCATTGGTAGTGCAGGAGGGCGGCGTGCGCGGGGTGGGGCGCGTCCCGCCAGTCTATAGCGGCGGGGGCGGGCGTGGGGCCGGGCGCGGGCCCGGGCGGGCCCAGGGCGGGCCCCCGCTCGGCGTGGGGCGCGTGGGGCGCGTGGGGCGCGTGCAGCAGGGGCCGCGCCCACAGCGCCGCGGGCCGCGCCGACACCGGGGCCGCCCACGACTGGCCCGCGCCCACCACCGCCACGCGGACCCCGCCACCGGTCCACGAGCCTGGGGGGACGAGGGCCACGGTTACATTCAAAAAATGATGTGGTGTCGTGGGACACCAGGTAGGAACCAAGTTCCTTCGGCTAATGCGCATTTAACGGTTTTATTCCACGCACTTTTTCCACGGATTTTTTCTTACTAATAATCCACGGATTGTTTTACCATCACATTTTTTCCAGTTCGGTCGCGCAGCAAAATCCCTATCCCCTCCAAGCCTGCCATAATGTGAGTGTTCGCCACGTGCTTGTCCATGAATTCATGAGTATATACTATGCATTGGCGGGGTGGAGTGGTAATAGAAAGAGAAGGGATGAGAGAACGAAAAGAAAGAGGGAGAAAGAGAAAGGTATTATACACTACTCGCCTGTGTATGCGACTGTCGCGCCTGCGCACGTCTCATTTAACGGTCTTATTCCACGCACTTTTTTCCACGGATTTTTTCTTACGGTTTTACTATCACATTTTTTCCAGTTCGGTCGCGCAGCAAAATCCCTATCCCCTCCAAGCCTGCCGTAAGGAACTTCGTTCCAAAAAAACTTAACTTTGAACATAAATCCTACAATTTTACTTTTATTTTTAGACCGAGGATAGCCTACATATAGCAAATCAAGGAAAAGGTTGGCGTCGAATCGTACAAGGGGCTCAAAGAGTTGGCGGAGGAGGGAGATGAAGGTGGATACATAGTCTGCACCGACAAGAGCATAGCTCTTAAATTTAGAGAGAGAGAATGTTACTTTAAAAAGGAATTATTTAACTTCAGTAGTAGTTTTAGGTCTATACTATAATTGCAATAAATGCACGAACCGCCAACGCCGATGCCTGTGCGTTGTCGTCGTACAAATCAACCTATATGCCTATACAAATCTACATCTGCGCGACCGCAACCCGCCGCGGTTGGCGACTCGTGCGTTATGCTACTAAAGTATAAATACAGACGTTTCTATTTCCAAAAATAAAAATAGTTACAAGTTATTCTATTAATAAAAACGAAGCGATTAGAATTACACATTTTTCTTTAATAAATTGTATATAACATAAACTATAATTTAATAAAATCAACATCGCTATGGAAATCAAAACTATTTACATGATTTCTTAGTTTACCAGATACATACAATATTAAACTCTTTACACATTACGCAAGTAGTTATTAGTCATATTACTCACACACTAAACTCAGTTATACAGAAGAAAACTTACACCGAACAACACAAACGACTTATTTAAGCACGATTAAAGATGTTACTGCAATCCTACAGTACAGCTGACTACAATAAGAGCGGTGTGAGATTGAACACAATTACCGCCGTTGACAACGACAGGATGTAGGAGCCGTAATAGCGGCTCGAGGCGCGGGCGCGGCAGACGCGCGGTAACCGCACGGCACACGCCGCCGCCACTACCGCTGCCGCCGACACTCTCTGTACCAACGCTTAGGGGTCGATACTGATACTATCATTTATACCTGACCTAATCACCTACCTACTTCAATTCATAAAAGATAAATAATAAATAAATAAATATTTCCAACACTCACACCAATTAGCCTAGCCCCAAAGTAAGCACTATAAGGCTTGTGTTATGGGATACTAGGGTAACGGATAGAATACATAAACTGTACATATATAAGACTATTTTTTTTTATAGAAATACATATTAAACATCCATGACTGGAGTACAAATGCTCGTATTCATCACACAAACATCTGTCCCCACCGGGATTTGAACCCGGGACCTCTCGAGTCGGCGACACCATGAAACCCGGCGTACAAACCACTCGACCACGGAGGTCGTCAAAAAGATAATAATACAGTAATTAATAAAGTACTTTTTCCTACACTCACATTAGCCCCAAAGTAAGCACTGTAAGGTTTGTGTTTTGGGATACTAGGGTAACGGATACAATACAAATATACTGTACACATATAAATATATTTATATAGAAATACATATTAATCATCCATGACTGAAGTACAAATGGTCATATTCATCACACAAACTTTCCGTTTATGTCTTTCTCTTCAGGACACAACACTGGAGCTAGAGAGCAGTATCACCATGTTTGGTATGGAGATTCGCTGTGACTTAAATCCAAAGAATTACATCGAAAGTGTGATAAAAACAGCCTCACGCAAACTCGGAGTCCTGAACAAAGTGCGGCGTTTTTTCTTGCCTGAGCAACTGTGCTTGTTGTATAAGACGCAGGTGCGGTCCTGCGTGGAATATTGCTCGCACCTCTGGGATGGCTCCGCCAAGTACTTGCTCGATGCTTTGGATAGGTTACAGCGGCGCGCAATCCGCATCATAGGCGATGAGGAGGTGACCAAACACCTCGAGCCTCTTCAATTACGCCGTGACGTGGCGTCACTAAGCGCGTTCTATCGTCTGTACAACGGCGGTGTTCGGAGGAGTTATTCTCTCTTATTACACCTTCCTTCAGAGGACCACGCGCGCGGATACCTTGCATGTGGGCGTGGTCGCGCGGCACCCGCAGCTCGAGCGCGTGGGGCAGGCGGTTGACGAGCACGAGCGCGGACCGCACCGTCACCAGTTGCGGGCCGGCCCCTCTACAGTGTGGGGGGAGGGGAGGGGAGGGGAGGGGCGGATACCTTGCATGTGGGCGTGGTCGCGCGGCACCCGCAGCTCGAGCGCGTGGGGCAGGCGGTTGACGAGCACGAGCGCGGACCGCACCGTCACCAGTTGCGGGCCGGCCCCTCTACAGTGTGGGGGGAGGGGAGGGGAGGGGAGGGGAGGGGAGGGGCGGATACCTTGCATGTGGGCGTGGTCGCGCGGCACCCGCAGCTCGAGCGCGTGGGGCAGGCGGTTGACGAGCACGAGCGCGGACCGCACCGTCACCAGTTGCGGGCCGGCCCCTCTACAGTGTGGGGGGAGGGGAGGGGAGGGGAGGGGCGGATACCTTGCATGTGGGCGTGGTCGCGCGGCACCCGCAGCTCGAGCGCGTGGGGCAGGCGGTTGACGAGCACGAGCGCGGACCGCACCGTCACCAGTTGCGGGCCGGCCCCTCTACAGTGTGGGGGGAGGGGAGGGGAGGGGAGGGGCGGATACCTTGCATGTGGGCGTGGTCGCGCGGCACCCGCAGCTCGAGCGCGTGGGGCAGGCGGTTGACGAGCACGAGCGCGGACCGCACCGTCACCAGTTGCGGGCCGGCCCCTCTACAGTGTGGGGGGAGGGGAGGGGAGGGGAGGGGCGGATACCTTGCATGTGGGCGTGGTCGCGCGGCACCCGCAGCTCGAGCGCGTGGGGCAGGCGGTTGACGAGCACGAGCGCGGACCGCACCGTCACCAGTTGCGGGCCGGCCCCTCTACAGTGTGGGGGGGAGGGGAGGGGAGGGGAGGGGCGGATACCTTGCATGTGGGCGTGGTCGCGCGGCACCCGCAGCTCGAGCGCGTGGGGCAGGCGGTTGACGAGCACGAGCGCGGACCGCACCGTCACCAGTTGCGGGCCGGCCCCTCTACAGTGTGGGGGGAGGGGAGGGGAGGGGAGGGGCGGATACCTTGCATGTGGGCGTGGTCGCGCGGCACCCGCAGCTCGAGCGCGTGGGGCAGGCGGTTGACGAGCACGAGCGCGGACCGCACCGTCACCAGTTGCGGGCCGGCCCCTCTACAGTGTGGGGGGAGGGGAGGGGAGGGGAGGGGCGGATACCTTGCATGTGGGCGTGGTCGCGCGGCACCCGCAGCTCGAGCGCGTGGGGCAGGCGGTTGACGAGCACGAGCGCGGACCGCACCGTCACCAGTTGCGGGCCGGCCCCTCTACAGTGTGGGGGGAGGGGAGGGGAGGGGAGGGGCGGATACCTTGCATGTGGGCGTGGTCGCGCGGCACCCGCAGCTCGAGCGCGTGGGGCAGGCGGTTGACGAGCACGAGCGCGGACCGCACCGTCACCAGTTGCGGGCCGGCCCCTCTACAGTGTGGGGGGGGAGGGGAGGGGAGGGGAGGGGAGGGGCGGATACCTTGCATGTGGGCGTGGTCGCGCGGCACCCGCAGCTCGAGCGCGTGGGGCAGGCGGTTGACGAGCACGAGCGCGGACCGCACCGTCACCAGTTGCGGGCCGGCCCCTCTACAGTGTGGGGGGGGGGGGGGGGGGAGGGGAGGGGCGGATACCTTGCATGTGGGCGTGGTCGCGCGGCACCCGCAGCTCGAGCGCGTGGGGCAGGCGGTTGACGAGCACGAGCGCGGACCGCACCGTCACCAGTTGCGGGCCGGCCCCTCTACAGTGTGGGGGGGGAGGGGAGGGGAGGGGAGGGGCGGATACCTTGCATGTGGGCGTGGTCGCGCGGCACCCGCAGCTCGAGCGCGTGGGGCAGGCGGTTGACGAGCACGAGCGCGGACCGCACCGTCACCAGTTGCGGGCCGGCCCCTCTACAGTGTGGGGGGAGGGGAGGGGAGGGGAGGGGAGGGGCGGATACCTTGCATGTGGGCGTGGTCGCGCGGCACCCGCAGCTCGAGCGCGTGGGGCAGGCGGTTGACGAGCACGAGCGCGGACCGCACCGTCACCAGTTGCGGGCCGGCCCCTCTACAGTGTGGGGGGAGGGGAGGGGAGGGGAGGGGCGGATACCTTGCATGTGGGCGTGGTCGCGCGGCACCCGCAGCTCGAGCGCGTGGGGCAGGCGGTTGACGAGCACGAGCGCGGACCGCACCGTCACCAGTTGCGGGCCGGCCCCTCTACAGTGTGGGGGGAGGGGAGGGGAGGGGAGGGGAGGGGAGGGGCGGATACCTTGCATGTGGGCGTGGTCGCGCGGCACCCGCAGCTCGAGCGCGTGGGGCAGGCGGTTGACGAGCACGAGCGCGGACCGCACCGTCACCAGTTGCGGGCCGGCCCCTCTACAGTGTGGGGGGAGGGGAGGGGAGGGGAGGGGAGGGGAGGGGCGGATACCTTGCATGTGGGCGTGGTCGCGCGGCACCCGCAGCTCGAGCGCGTGGGGCAGGCGGTTGACGAGCACGAGCGCGGACCGCACCGTCACCAGTTGCGGGCCGGCCCCTCTACAGTGTGGGGGGAGGGGAGGGGAGGGGAGGGGCGGATACCTTGCATGTGGGCGTGGTCGCGCGGCACCCGCAGCTCGAGCGCGTGGGGCAGGCGGTTGACGAGCACGAGCGCGGACCGCACCGTCACCAGTTGCGGGCCGGCCCCTCTACAGTGTGGGGGGGAGGGGAGGGGAGGGGAGGGGCGGATACCTTGCATGTGGGCGTGGTCGCGCGGCACCCGCAGCTCGAGCGCGTGGGGCAGGCGGTTGACGAGCACGAGCGCGGACCGCACCGTCACCAGTTGCGGGCCGGCCCCTCTACAGTGTGGGGGGGAGGGGAGGGGAGGGGAGGGGCGGATACCTTGCATGTGGGCGTGGTCGCGCGGCACCCGCAGCTCGAGCGCGTGGGGCAGGCGGTTGACGAGCACGAGCGCGGACCGCACCGTCACCAGTTGCGGGCCGGCCCCTCTACAGTGTGGGGGGAGGGGAGGGGAGGGGAGGGGCGGATACCTTGCATGTGGGCGTGGTCGCGCGGCACCCGCAGCTCGAGCGCGTGGGGCAGGCGGTTGACGAGCACGAGCGCGGACCGCACCGTCACCAGTTGCGGGCCGGCCCCTCTACAGTGTGGGGGGAGGGGAGGGGAGGGGAGGGGAGGGGAGGGGCGGATACCTTGCATGTGGGCGTGGTCGCGCGGCACCCGCAGCTCGAGCGCGTGGGGCAGGCGGTTGACGAGCACGAGCGCGGACCGCACCGTCACCAGTTGCGGGCCGGCCCCTCTACAGTGTGGGGGGAGGGGAGGGGAGGGGAGGGGAGGGGAGGGGCGGATACCTTGCATGTGGGCGTGGTCGCGCGGCACCCGCAGCTCGAGCGCGTGGGGCAGGCGGTTGACGAGCACGAGCGCGGACCGCACCGTCACCAGTTGCGGGCCGGCCCCTCTACAGTGTGGGGGGGGGGGGAGGGGAGGGGAGGGGCGGATACCTTGCATGTGGGCGTGGTCGCGCGGCACCCGCAGCTCGAGCGCGTGGGGCAGGCGGTTGACGAGCACGAGCGCGGACCGCACCGTCACCAGTTGCGGGCCGGCCCCTCTACAGTGTGGGGGGAGGGGAGGGGAGGGGAGGGGCGGATACCTTGCATGTGGGCGTGGTCGCGCGGCACCCGCAGCTCGAGCGCGTGGGGCAGGCGGTTGACGAGCACGAGCGCGGACCGCACCGTCACCAGTTGCGGGCCGGCCCCTCTACAGTGTGGGGGGAGGGGAGGGGAGGGGAGGGGCGGATACCTTGCATGTGGGCGTGGTCGCGCGGCACCCGCAGCTCGAGCGCGTGGGGCAGGCGGTTGACGAGCACGAGCGCGGACCGCACCGTCACCAGTTGCGGGCCGGCCCCTCTACAGTGTGGGGGGAGGGGAGGGGAGGGGAGGGGCGGATACCTTGCATGTGGGCGTGGTCGCGCGGCACCCGCAGCTCGAGCGCGTGGGGCAGGCGGTTGACGAGCACGAGCGCGGACCGCACCGTCACCAGTTGCGGGCCGGCCCCTCTACAGTGTGGGGGGAGGGGAGGGGAGGGGAGGGGCGGATACCTTGCATGTGGGCGTGGTCGCGCGGCACCCGCAGCTCGAGCGCGTGGGGCAGGCGGTTGACGAGCACGAGCGCGGACCGCACCGTCACCAGTTGCGGGCCGGCCCCTCTACAGTGTGGGGGGAGGGGAGGGGAGGGGAGGGGCGGATACCTTGCATGTGGGCGTGGTCGCGCGGCACCCGCAGCTCGAGCGCGTGGGGCAGGCGGTTGACGAGCACGAGCGCGGACCGCACCGTCACCAGTTGCGGGCCGGCCCCTCTACAGTGTGGGGGGGGGAGGGGAGGGGAGGGGAGGGGAGGGGCGGATACCTTGCATGTGGGCGTGGTCGCGCGGCACCCGCAGCTCGAGCGCGTGGGGCAGGCGGTTGACGAGCACGAGCGCGGACCGCACCGTCACCAGTTGCGGGCCGGCCCCTCTACAGTATGGGGGGGGAGGGGAGGGGAGGGGAGGGGCGGATACCTTGCATGTGGGCGTGGTCGCGCGGCACCCGCAGCTCGAGCGCGTGGGGCAGGCGGTTGACGAGCACGAGCGCGGACCGCACCGTCACCAGTTGCGGGCCGGCCCCTCTACAGTATGGGGGGGGAGGGGAGGGGAGGGGAGGGGCGGATACCTTGCATGTGGGCGTGGTCGCGCGGCACCCGCAGCTCGAGCGCGTGGGGCAGGCGGTTGACGAGCACGAGCGCGGACCGCACCGTCACCAGTTGCGGGCCGGCCCCTCTACAGTGTGGGGGGAGGGGAGGGGAGGGGAGGGGAGGGGAGGGGCGGATACCTTGCATGTGGGCGTGGTCGCGCGGCACCCGCAGCTCGAGCGCGTGGGGCAGGCGGTTGACGAGCACGAGCGCGGACCGCACCGTCACCAGTTGCGGGCCGGCCCCTCTACAGTGTGGGGGGAGGGGAGGGGAGGGGAGGGGAGGGGAGGGGAGGGGAGGGGAGGGGCGGATACCTTGCATGTGGGCGTGGTCGCGCGGCACCCGCAGCTCGAGCGCGTGGGGCAGGCGGTTGACGAGCACGAGCGCGGACCGCACCGTCACCAGTTGCGGGCCGGCCCCTCTACAGTGTGGGGGGAGGGGAGGGGAGGGGAGGGGAGGGGAGGGGAGGGGAGGGGAGGGGAGGGGCGGATACCTTGCATGTGGGCGTGGTCGCGCGGCACCCGCAGCTCGAGCGCGTGGGGCAGGCGGTTGACGAGCACGAGCGCGGACCGCACCGTCACCAGTTTGCGAGCTGATCCCTCCAGAGACACTTCGAACACTATGCGCGCTGTGCTGCCCGACTTCTGTGTCAGCAATAAAATAATTGGTCATAATCTATGGGTAGTGTTGTTAACGAGCGGGAATGTTTTATATTTAACGTTTTCAAACAAGGGCCCAAGCACGAGTTTCATCATCATCATCATCAGCCTATTAATGTCCCCACTGCTGGAGCACAGGCCTTCCCTATGGATGGACTATGGATGGAATAGGGAGATTGGGCCATGACCCACCACGCGGGTCCAGAGCGGATTGGTGGGTGCTAACGACTGCAGATGCAGCCGGGACCAACGGCTTAACGTGCCTTCCGAAGCACGGAGGAGCTCGAGATAGTAAATTTTTGGCCACCACATGCGAAAGTTGCTTAACTTCAACGATCGCAGCCGAACGCGCTACCCACTTGCGCCATCGAGCTCCTCAGTACGAGTTTAAAGTATCGTTGTTATCAAATTCTGAATGGAAAAAGCCAGTTCGTTCTCACCTGCTTAGTTTTAATAGGAACTTTGACGGTGAAATACGATTAAGAAGTTGTCAAAATTCGTCCTTGCGCTTCAGTTGACCAGACTCGAAGTAATCAAACATTAGCAAGAAATGACAGTACTTTACTTAAAGCTTTTTTTTATATTAAACATTTATGAAAATAAATTATTGTCAAAAGAGTATTTATGAAACAGTCCCAAGTAAAAAGATATCAACAAAGGCTACTTGTATACTTATTTACTGTCACAAAGTGCTGTTAATAGGGTATTTGACAGTATTAAAAATAAAGTGCCAATCGTTAGCATCCATAAAAAATATTCATAATTTTACTAAAAACCTACGAAAAAGATAACATTATTATCTATTGTCACGTGACCCAAAACGCTTGGGATTGGCGGAGCCTAAAATGACATAACACTCAAGTAAACTTCCGGTTAAAGTGACATTACATTGTATCGTTTGACGTTTTAATAACAGTCGTCACACACTAGTAAGACGGCATGTTGTCCGGAGAAACGTTTTCCCGGCAACGTGAAAATGATGTTTTTGATTTGGTTATTTTTACTGAAATACAAAACAGAATGATGAATATCCTTTTTTACGGACTCCATAAACATTAGTCGATAAAGTGAGATCGTTTACTAAAACTTGTCAAATACCCTATTTAATGATACCGTAACGAACGATAAAACTAACCGTATGAGTGATATGCCTGAAGTATATCCCGACGCGGTCGACGCACACGGGATCGGGCGGCGCCCACCCCTCCAGCCTGAGCGCCAGTAGATGTAAGGCTGGCGCTCGTTCAGCGGAGGCGGAGGCGGAGGCGGAGGCGGTGGCGTGGTGCCTGGCGCGGCGCCGAGCCCCGAATGAGAACGGCTCGGTTTCGTCTGCGCGTACGCATACCCAAGAGTCGTCCGGACCGCCCCACCCCGCGGTCGATTCTACCGCCCTGGCAATCAAAATTAAAAATATTCAATTTCGCAAACCCAATACCTACATCAACTAATATATGAATATACTATATATTATAATATTTTTTTTTTATGTATTCAAGTATTAATTCATTAGTTAATTTAATTCATAAAGTAATATTATATAATTATTTAAATTGCATAAAGTTGTAACAATGAACCTAAAACTAAAAACCTTAAAAATATAATATAATAACTAAAATTAACATTATGTACAAGAATAAGATACAAATACTAATAATATTCAAATATCACCCCGTATCGTTTCTGCCGCAAAGGTGCCCATTATGCTTGCAGCATTGCCACGCTGGATGGCAATAGACAATCTTTGTGCCAGAAACGACCCGGAGCGAGGGTCATTAGTTTTTTGCCTGAGTCGGCGGCCCAGGTCCCACACAAATTGCAAAAAATAAATAATAGATATTTCCAACACTCACGCCAATTAGCCTAGCCCCAAAGTAAGCACTGTAAGGTTTGTGTTATGGAATACTAGGGTAACGGATAGAATACATATACCTACTGTACATATATAAGAATATTTATATAGAAATATATATTAAACGTCCATGACTGGAGTACAAATGCTCGTACTCATCACACAATCATCTGCCCCCACCGGGATTCGAACCCGGGACCTCTTGAGTCGGCGACACCATGAAACCCGGTGTACAAACCACTCGGTCACGGAGGTCGTCAGATTATAAATATGGCTTGTAGTATTAAATATTGTTTGTTGTACTATCAGTTAAATCGATTCCTGAAACAGCATAAACTTATTTTCTTTCAACCATTTCAAAACAATAAGATTTTTGCTTTAGCTGTTTTTTTTATATTACTGAGCAATCAAGTTTGACGTGACAGATTTTGCTTTTAGTTTTCCAACGTTTTTGATAATGTCAATAAATAGAAAGAGTTTCTGTTACATTTACGATTTTATTCATTTTTTGCTATTAATTTTTAACTATTCCGGTTCATGTACAAAATGATGTAATGTATTAAAAATAAAGGTCAAATTTCAAAGGTACTTGATCCATATTTACGCAGTTCCTTGTGACTAGAAGGTCTCGAATACAATTACGTATTCTCTACAAAGGTCAACTTTTCTGTTTAGATTTTGCAAGCGCATTATCCGGCAAGTGGGTCAGGAATCAATCTGTTCGAAAGTATTTATGGAATGTGTAAAAAATTAATGAGTTAAAATTAAATAGTCAGAAGAAATTAAGTTCAAAGTAGTAAAAGGGAGTATTAGTTTACTGGTGCGCTGTGGTAGAGAGCGTGGTGAACCATAGCCGGTGTCCGGTCCGGTTGCGCAGCGCGTACGGCACGAACGGCGACCGGCGCCGGTGCCCCGCCGGACTGCCCTTAGGAGACTGCCCGGCCTCACCGCCCGCCCACTATCCGACAACAACAATATCATTCTCTTAACTTAAAAATCAGTAAAGGAGAGCTTTTCATTCCATATAAAGAAGGACAAGGATACACTGCTGTCAAATTTAATTTTGGGTTTTTATAAATCATGCTAAAATGGACACTTATATCTATGGCCGCGTGGTTGATCACGGCCCAACCTCCCTATTCTATGTATACAATTCTTTTTTATTAAGCTTTATAAAAATTACCAGTAGGGGTGGCCGCGATTTTGTTCGCGTAGAATTAGACATTTGGGTACTCTATTTTTTATCTATTTCGCATTTTCATCAATGTGAAATGGCAAACTTTATAATTTATTAAGAAAAGTATTCGTACCAATGTTTAAGTTCAAAGAATAAGATTTTGCATACATACTTTCATTCCCCTTTTTGTACCTTCTTAGGGGTAAATTATATTGAACCCCTGATACACGTTATTCTTTATTTTTGGTCTTTAGTTGAAATACCAGATTTCGAGATAATCTAAATTTGCGTTAAAATTTATCTACAACTACAACACGTTCGAATCCCGCTTTTAGGGGGTAGTTTAAGAAAACTAAGGCCCCGTGATGGCCGAATAAAGTCGCATAGTCGAACGGTCGATGGCGCGCGTCGCTGAGAATCACATGCTAGGTACCTTAAAACTTGCAAAGAATGCTCCATATTGGAAAAATCCCTTTCATTATGTCATTTGTCATGACAAAGTTTGTATATATATATAGAACTTTGTAAGGAAACATCAGTTTAAATTTACTGATATAAACGTAATATACGATGGAATCTAAACTTTAAAGCAGTTATGAAGTTAACAGCGAGTGCAGCTATGCGCGGGTTTCAGTTCAATGAGATCCCGCGAGTATTTAGATTTACATAAATTTAATTTATAGCACAGTGTGACCTAAACCCGCACTTCAAGCACGCTTTTCCGTGACCTAAGTTGCCTATTTCTGCACGGTGTGTAAATGAATTGACCAACTTCACTCATGTAGAATTAGTACATTACGATACGCGTAACTTAACTTTACTATGCCAATAAAGGAATAAACGTTCATGGATACATTGAAATTCTATTTTGTTGAAATGATATTTGATTTTTTCCTTTTGAAATATACTTTCAAAATGGTAATCTGAACCGGAATTCTTTCTTTTCAGAGTTTGACTTGCAGTCTGTATTGCAATTCCTTGTGATTGCAATACATGAATTTTACTTTCAAAACACTAATCGCATCCCTCGGTGCCCCAACCCCCCAACCCCCCCCCCCCCCCTTGCCCGCGTCCGGGGCGGGTTTATGTCACACTTGCTATAAAATAGTATACGATACTTGTGGCCTAAGTTGTCTATTACTGCACGGCGTGAAGTTAGCGCCCGAGCGGAGCGAGGTCACGCATCGTAATGTACTATTGTTGCGCTGAGATTTGATGAATCTATATTTTTTTTAACACAGGGTCTCCTTGAATTTAGCACAGTTAAAATGTGATCTTAGTTACAACGCATATTCAATGATTATTAGTGAAAACTAGTTAATAACTAGTAATATCATACAGAAAGGGCCCTTATTAACAAGAAATTTTCTACCTGGTATAGGCACCCGGTGTCTGATCACAAAGAATTGAAGAGAAGAAAGTATTGAGCGCCGGCTACCTAGAATATGTATCCTGGGTTGGTCAGGGCTGCATTTAGAGTTTTGGAGGCTCTGGGGCAACACAGCCGTTATTAAGTCTGAATCGTTCTCTATGAAAACTGTCCATACTCCGCTCGCGCGCAGCTCATATACAAAGCACCTGTCCATAGTAGTCGGCGGCCCAGTTGTGCCGCACCAGCTGGCACAGCTCCACGAGCGCGCAGGTCACGTTGACGCCGAGGGTCTCTAACGCTCGCACCTCCACCTGCACTCGTCCCGGCGACAACTCGCTGGTCAGCGTGCTCTCCCAGCTCGTCTCAAATCTTAAACATGTGAAAATCTAATTGAGCCGAGTATCTTTCCCATGGAGGAGGAGCTCGATGGCGCGAGTGATTAGCGCGTTCGGCTGCGATCGTTAAAGTTGAGCAACTTTCGCAGTGGTCGGTCATTGGATGGGTGACCAAAAATTTACTATCTCGAGCCCCTCCGTGCTTCGGAAGGCGCGTTAGGCCGTTGGTCCCGGCTACATCTGCAGTCGTTAGAACCCACCAATCCGCACTGGGCCCGCGTGGTGGGTTATGGCCCAATTTCCCTATTCCATCCATAGGGAAGGCCTGTGCCCGAGCAGTGGGGACATTAATAGGCTGATGATGATGATCTTTCCCATCACAAAGAAAGTGAATTTGATAAATAAACAAAATGATTTTATTTAATAGTAGATATTTGTCATTCTGTTGAGTATTTTAGTATAAAAACTAAATAAAAAAACCATTTCCAAGTTGTCGCGAAAACGATATGACGTCTCATTGGTTTGTCATACGACTGTCATTAAAATGTCAAACGAAACAATGTAATGTCACTTTGACCGTAAGTTTACTAGCATGTAACGTCAGTTTAGCCATCGCATCATCAGGCGTTTTCGGTCACATGACTATAGAACAAAAGATCATTTCTATGCAATGATTTCTTAAAAAAGTTATTAATTATTTGGTCTCTCAGAATAATTAAATCGCTACTAATATTCATGATAAATACAGATACTTTATTTTTCTTACTGTCAAATTACTGCAAAATTAGGTAAGCCACGAAAAATCCTATAAGTAGATTTTTAAATTCACGATCTCTTTAAAATAGGTCTGGCTGAAACGGGCTACATAAACTAAAGATATTTACTTATTCATATTTACATTTTGTCTCTGCACATCACTTTATGTAACAGGCGTGACATCAATGATGATTTATTGCAGTCTGTTATAATAATATCCAGTGTCCGTCCAAACCAAAAATTACTTTGACCAAAAAAGAACAGCATTCAAAAGTTACTAATTTTTATTATTTTAAAGTATGTAACTGCTTGATGTTTAAATCTCAAGAAAATATAACAAGAAAAAATTCCACGCGGACCAGGCAGCAGACGGGACTCGAACCCGCACCCTTCGCAATCCGGGCGAATGCACTGACCAATTATGCTACCGCGGCCCTCACGGACCGCGTCGAAATTCTTCTAGCCATTCTTAAGCTGCAAGGCAGCGCCATCTCTTCGCATTATAGGTAACTCACAATGTCAAATGAATACTTTTACAAGTATTAAACATTTGAAAGAAGAAATAGCAATTATAGTTATAATTTTTATTATTTTAAAGCATGTAACTGCTTGATGTTTAATTTTTTTTTTCTAGTTATATTTTCTTAAGTTACTTATTTAATATGAAAATTCACTTCCTTTCCTTTTTTATTAAAATTATGAAATACTGCAAAATAAAGTCCCCGTACCCGCTCCCGCTTCCACTCCGCTTATGACGAAAACGCCGTCCGGAGTGAGGTCATAACAAGCACTCACCGCCATGGTTCGATGACAGGTTCCCATCCAGAAAGGGTACGATTGTAGTAGTCTGCTGACAGTATCGCACTCAGCCGGCCGCTGCCCGCTGCCGCAGTCGCCCCCGCTGCTGCCACCGCTCCCGCTCCCGCCTCCGCTCCGCCTATGACGGAGGGTGCTGGGCCGGCCGGTGTGCACACTAACAGCGGATCCTCTAGACCTTCTTCTTCTTTGCGAAGATCCTATATATAATACGTAAAAGATGCGCAGTTTTAAATACATGTCGTTAGTTTCTTATGTTTTCATACACATCACTCATTAAAACTACCGACTGTAGAATTAGAGACAAGTTTAGCAGCTAGCCTCGCATAATACCAAAAATCTGAATACAGCAACTTATTGGCCCGATGAATAACCCACGAAAAACTGCTTAAAAATACTCTAGGATTAAAAAAGTCTAAAGTCTAAAAAATTTCTGTCTATTTATATTTATGTGTACAAAATATATAAATAAATAAATAAATGATCAACGTCATAATGAAACATTGAAGAAAAATTGTATAATTGGTAGTTCTGATATCACGCGAAAAGTGAGATAATTTTACATGCCGACGCTTGGGCCGATCGTGTCTCTCTATCGCTTCTTCCACGCTCTCGCTTTCGCACTCATTGTCAGGCAGAACGTGACACATTTTCGTGCGTGCAGCCGGTGTTCATCGATTTATAAGATCGTTATCACGTTAATAAGTGAATTAGTACTCGCATACCTGTTCGACGCGCAGTTCTCCGAACGACACCTCCAGGAGGGGCACGTCCGAGTCGAGGCAGTCATCGATCACGCACAGCGTGATGCAGTCCGCGCTCACCTGATATATCAAAGATATTTTAGTGAATGGTGCGCTAGCAAATTAAATGAAAATACTGGTAGGAAAACCGGATACTAAACAATATATGTAACAGTTACAACAAACAAACAGTATCCGCCTTATTCCAAAACGCGGACTAAAATTAGTCTTGGTTTAAAGATAATGTCGTTTTACTCTTTTTCAGACTACGTTTTGTAATATGGCGGTATATGCTTATTTTTAACTTTTTACTTCCGAATACTTAAAGTGATTTATTTCTCTTTAAAGTCAGTTTATCATCGAATAACTCAATATTTCACTACCAAATTGTTGTAGATAGTTCCATTTTAATGGAAATCTATAAATATTGTTTGTATTTATACTGACTTTGTAATCTCATAGTTACCTGTACTGCTTTCAGCGGCCATATAGAGGATTTGTTCTGCGGCGAGGGCGGTCTCGGCGGCGTTGGTGGGGGCTGCGATCTCAGCCAGTACACGCCCCAGCCCCCCGCCCCTGACCCCGGCCCCGCCCCACCCCCCGCCCCCTGGCCCGCGGGACCAAACTCCGGCAACGACCTTCTGTGCGACTCTACATCCGGTGAGTTAGCCCACCCACCGGACCGCATGTGTACGCTGTTGGCCGGCGCGTCCTCCTCCTCAGAATTAGGCAGCAATTTGCCTAAACAAATGTTATTTTTACAAGCTTTTATTTAACTTGCTATGTATGTTTGTTACGGTCAAATCTTACAACTCAATTTTAAAGTACTTGCCCTCAACCGATTAAGCTGAAATTTGGTATGCTCGTTCAGTTCGGATGACAATGCATGCTTAACAGTGTGACGTCATTCTAAATCCAATATGGCGGCATACCCAAAATGGCGGACCAATAATTTTTAATGCATTCCTACAATATGGGTATCAAATTAAAGGGCTTGCTGAGAATAACTCGAAAAAATGTGACGTCACTCTCAATCCAATATGGCGGACTTTTAAAATTTGAAAATCTATTTAGAAACAAACTTTAACTAAATTTTGTTTTTTTCTTTTTAGCGCATTTGAATAAAAGCTTGTTTTTAAAAAGGTTTTTGTACTTTAATTTTATTGAATTATAATACTGACAACGATATCTAGGTTTTCATGTCAGAAAAAATTTTAAGTAAAAGACAATTACAATATACTAGCAAACCAGTGAACCAAATGTTCACCAAAACATAATTTAAAAAAAAATGTATTTAATTAATTGAGAACTTCGGAGATTTTGTGTGGTTTCGTTTGAAATTCGTGATTTCTCGAAAACCGGAAGTGCTACGTTACTCAAATCCGGTTTGTAGTCTTATCAGACTATTCTTAACTTATAACTTAAATATTCTTTTTATCTGTCTCTTACGGTTTGGCTGCTGAAACAGCACCACAGACAGACAGACGGACGGACTTGTCTACTAGATAAAAGATAATCCCTTGGTTTTTGTATCAGGAAACAATGTGACTTGATTCACGAGAAGATAAAGCGATATCTCGTAGATAGATACTTTAGTAGCTCGCACTCTATCGCCAAAACGTCCGTCTTATACACCCATACTGGTTGACTGGTGGAGAATTCCTATGGCATTACGTCCACCGTTTACTGTTTTTGGTAATAAAGAATAAATAAATAAATAGACCTCTAGTAGATACATGTTACCTAAGCTTCCAACTAAATCAAATAACTCGAGTCGCATCATTCGAAAGCTAATAATCTTTTCAAATTATAATTCGCCCAAAATTACTTTTCGACTTACATTCGACTGACAAATATTCTTAAAATATATAACACCATTGTGAGGTGGAAGAGCATCAAAGAAATAACTGATAGAATTGATCAACTTTATTCGTTGATAGTTTTTCCTTCGTCTCCTGTTTCTCGTGAGTTTTGTCGATACTCACGCGATAGCGCGACGCGCACCTGCGCGGGCAGCGAGCGCAGCATGGCCGCGAACATGCGCATGTCGTGGTACGACAGTCGCAGGTGCAGAGTGCCCATCGACACCTGGGGTAATGAAAAAGATCGGTGCTAAAATAACTGTCAGTGTTCGCGTTCGTGGTCCGTCGGTAGGGGTCGGCCATGGTGCCAGTTTTACCTCCCGCTTCGGAACAAGAACTAAATCATAGAAAAAGTTTAAATTCAATCATAAAGTCGACTCATATAGTTTATGTGTGATTTTGACTGACTTTGGCAATGAATGCTTAGTAATTTTAGGTAGTGATTGACACTAATAAAGTATTCTTAAATTAGAGTATGTGTTGTCATTTGGTTGATTTTAAATTAATTAAAGACTTAGGCCCGTATTACAGAATGACAACTAAGTGTTGATCTTTACTTGAGTATAGTTAGAAAGGGATGTCGCTATGTGCTATATATAGCGACATCCCTTTCTAACTATGCTCAAGACTAGAGAGATCATCACTGAGAATGTTTCTATACTACGGGCTTAAGAGAATGGATGGAGTTTTTTTATCCAAAGAAAAAAAGCTGGTCGGAGAAAGAGTAAAAGACGAGATATGACTACGCGGCCAATAGATCGTTTGTCATTTGGCTGCATACCCGCTTTTCAGACATATATTAATTCCAGGCAAGTATCACTCAATACGTGTATGTTATCCAACGATATTAAAAGCCCTAGATAAAAGACACCACATCACGATTAAAATTGTGGCAGGAACCTGTCCAGAAGATATATTGAACGATCCATGAAGCTTCGTGGGATGATCGCGTAGTAAAAAACATCATAAGGCATTATTTAAAAAAAAAGTCACCATTAATGCATGTAAGGTTTTAATTTAAACGCATACATCAGAGCTATGATAGTTCGAAATGCAAGCTCGTAAAATTTTACGACATGTCGCTATAGGCGGAAGAATATAGACTTTATTACTATGACTTTATATTGTAATTCTGACAGCGCTGTTAGCAATATAACAGGCATGGAGCGCGAGGGAAAGCGACCATTTTTTATTGATTCTGTTTATAAAACAAAATGGATGCGTGTAACTTATGTACGCGCGTGAGAAGTTATACTTCTTTAGCATCATTAAAAATATTTTTTAATAGCATGCAAATAATTAATAATTACAATAAAATAATAAAAGGACTGGAAAAGGATAGTTAACTCAGTCAAGTCAATTAAGTTCAGTTTTAATTTGAAAAATTAAATAAATATTCAAAATATTCAATTAAAATCACTACTGAATTTAAGTTATTAGTCCATATGTAATTAGCACTTGTAAGTAACTAAAACACGTTGTGTCTATATAGAAGCTAGAAACATGTGGATAAATATTATAAATATGAAAACAGTGATCAGAGGCGACGAGCGTGCCAACATTGTTTCTTGACAACGCGATCATCTTATGGAGCTCCGTGGATCGTTCAAAGTACCTTTCGAACAGATGTCTAATAATGGTGGATTATTTACTATTGTGTTACAGTGATGCGCGCGCATCTCGAAATTTCACTCACATGATTTTTTCATAACGCGCCCGCGGCCTACTTCATGCTGTTACTTTTGTGTTACAGTGATGCGCGCGCATCTAAAAATTTCACTCTCATCATTTTTTCATAACGCGCCTAAAGAAGTATAACTTCAAAAACAAACACATACTTTAAGTATTTTTTTCACAGAGCTCCGCTTCCGCTGTAGTGGCGTTCAAGCACTATCTTGATTGGGATTCATTTTGAACGCTCGTCGTCTAGGGTTATTAATATCGTTGATGGTAACTCCAAGCAAGGAGCTCCAATAGGGATGATGACTATTTTTCTTTCTTCGTTTATAAGGTAGATTATCAAAAAGTATTGGACACGTATTTTTTCTTTTTTCACATAATATAAACATTGCAGAGATATATTGATTTGAAAAGTCGCATGACGTCACGTTTGAGTACACTTTTAAGTGAAAATTCAAAATTCACTCAAAAGTGACTTCACGAGTCCCTACTCCCAAACTTTGACGCGCTATAACTTTGTAATTTTTTGGTTGATTGCCCAAAGAAAAAATACGTGTCCATTATTTTTTGATCATCTATCCGACGGACTAAATAGAATTTCGTTTACTATATCCCGTCATCACCCCTATTGAGGAGCTCGATGGCGCAGGTGGTTAGCGCGTTCGGCTGCGATCGTTGAAGTTAAGCAACTTTCGCAGTGGTCGGTCATTGGATGGGTGACCAAAAATGTATTATCTCCATCTCCTCCGTGCTTCGGAAGGCACACTAAGCCGTTGGTCCCGGCTGCATCTGCAGTCGTCAGTACCCACCAATCCGCACTGGGCCCGCGTGGTGGGTATAGCCCAATCTCCCTATTCCATCCATAGGAAAGGGCTATGCCCCAGCAGTAGGGACATTAATAGGTGTGTTGATGATGATCTCCAATCAAACGTCGCTGGCTACTGTTTGGATAATCTAATATATAAAATTCTCGTGTCGCGGTGTTTGTGGTTAAACTCCTCCGAAACGGCTTTCCCGATTCTCATGAAATTTTGTGTGCATATTGGGTAGGTCTGAGAATCGGACAAAATCTATTTTTCTTCCCCCCGAAAAGTTAAGGGTAATTTTTTTTTTCAATTTTAGATATATTTTTTTTAATATTTTTATGATACATCATACAAAAATAGATACGACCCTAAATTTTCTCCCTTCTAACATCAACCCCTATTTTTTTATGGCGGTACGAAGTTCGCTGGGACAGCTAGTAAGACTATAGTTGTTTGGGACCAAGGGTCAGCAAAAGTACTTGGCGAATTGGGATTCGTTGAAATGATAGAACTTCGTACTTAAAAACTAATGTATTCTTAAAATAAACATAACAAATCAAACAGAATCTTGAACTGGTACTGAATCCTTGATCTATATCTATTCATATAGGAAACTACTTATAGAAAAGCACTGCAGCAATCTATACCGCGATTACAAGGACTTAACGTGACATCTATTAACTAAATAAAGAACTAAAGTTGTTATTATGTGAAACTTAGGAACTTAAATCATAGTGCGAGTAACAATTGCTACAGCGCCATCTTGCTTCTTATAAAAGAGCTATATGAACTTGAACAATAGTTACGTGCAGCACGGCGTCAGCTCGTAGTGTGGCGTGCAGCGCGATGGGCTCCACGATGGACAGCGCCGTCTCCTCCTCTAAGCCGAGGACGCACGAGAACACCTCCAGCTCGTTCAGCTCGCAAGACAACGGCTTCAGCGGGTCCGACAGCCGGTACGTTATCACGGTCGTACTCTGGGAAAAACAATCAATTGGACAGTTGCCAGACGCAATTATCTGCGATTCCATACTGGTTTATGTTCGACAAATTATAGACAGAATTCCTACTTTAATAGAGTAAAACAAAAATTCAATAATAATTATTCAAGTGATGTGGACGTATTTCTGGCGAGACAAAATTATTTCAAAACGATTGTGAATAGTAAATTTTAGGAACGAAGTTCCTTACGGCAGGCTTGGAGGGGATAGGGATTTTGCTGCGCGACCGAACTGAAAAAAATGTAATAGTAAAACCGTAAGAAAAAATCCGTGGAAAAAAGTGCGTGGAATAAAACCGTTAAATGAGACGTGCGCAGGCGCGACAGTCGCATACACAAG